CCCCCTTCCCTCCCCCCACTCATCCTCATCCTCCCCCCTCGGCCTAACCCCACACTCCAAACAAAACCTCTTCCCCCTCTCCGCCATCCTGGCCGACCGTCCCCGTCCGCGCTTCAACATCCGATCCGCAAAGCACCGTCCCGGCCGCAAACGCAAACAATATCGACAGGCGTAGAGATCGTGCGTGATTGCGTAGTCGGATGTTTCGGCGGTGAGGAGCTCGAGGTGCGTGGGTGCGGGCAGGAGGAAGCGGAAGTAGGTGTTTGTTTGGCGGAAGTAGTAGAGGGTAGGGAGGAGGGGGAGGTAGGTGCTTATTTGGAGGTGGAGTTCGGGGGGGAGGAGGAGGAGGGGGGGTGTTGGTTTTGGGGATGGGGATGAGGATGGGGGTTGTGGTTGGGGGGTGGGTATTGCTTGTTGTTGTGGTTGGGGGGTGGGTTGGGATGCGGGTAGGGGTGGGGATGTTGGTTGGGAGATTCGTGTAATCGGCAATTGGTGTTGGGTGGTTGGATGTTGATGTGTAGTAGAGGTCATGGTGGTTTGAAGATGAGGATGGAGAAGGAGATGTTGGAGGGGGAGGGCGGAGAGGGATGCGGGGGTGATGTAATGGAGGTAGACACGTGCCTGGGCCTGTTGAATTCTAGGTTGTAGGATGGCAGCTCATGCATCATTATTCATCTTTATTATTCATCTTAACTATTGCTCTAATCCTGTCTAGCAGGATCCTGAGCAGGCTTGTTCTGCAAATACTCGTCAATCTCCGCCATAACCTCCGGTGTCAGGCGCGGCAACAGCTTCAGACTCTCCACGTTGTCGACAACCTGTTCTGGCCTCGAGGCTCCGGTGATAACAGACGAGACGTTCTCGTTCTTCAAGCACCATGCCAGTGCCAGCTGCGACAGCTTGACTTCCATCTTGTCCGCCAATGCCTGAATCGGTTAGCCAACGCCTTTACATACGCTCTGACAGCTTACCTTCAGCCCCACGATCTTCTTAATATTTCCCGCCCATTGCTCGTTCTCCCAGTCCCGGCGTACGCTGCTTGCATACTTGTCGTTGCTCTCAGCGAACCGAGAACCCGGTGGAGGCTGCGTCGTCGCATCATTATACTTGCCACTGAGAAGACCCATCTTCAAGGGCGAGAACGTGGTCAAGCCGATTCCGCACCGGGAGTACAACCGCTGGTACTGCCCTTCCACCTTCTGCCGATCCAACATGTTATACAGGGGCTGTTCAACAATGGGCGCGATCAGTCCCAGAGCTCGGGCAATGCCACACGCCTCGCTGATCTCGTCCGCGGACCACTCCGAAGTACCCCAGTAAAAGGCCCAGCCTTTCTCGATGACATAGTTGAAGGCCCGCACGGTCTCTTCCATGGGTGTGAGGCGATCGGGGCGGTGGGCGTAGATGATGTCGACGTATTCGAGTTGTAGACGCTCGAGAGATGCTCGTGTGCCTTCGACGATGTGCTTACGGGACAGGCCGTGGTTGTTAATCAAGATTTCGCCATTTGCGAGACCCCAGTTGAGCTATACTTCGTCAAATCTGTACCTCTCTTGGTAATGTAAGCGATGTGGCTTACCTTGGTGGTGATGACGAGATCGCTGCGCTTCCAGCCAAACTTCTTGATGGCCTGACCCATGACAATCTCTGATTGTCCACCCGCATAGCTTTCAGCCGTGTCGAAGAAGTTGATTCCCAAGTCGTAGGCTTGCTTCATGCAGTTAAATGTGATTTCTGTGGGAGCAATTAGAGTCGGTACACTCGCGGGCTAGGTTTGGAGATTGTACCGTTCTCGACATGACCGCCGAATCTAAGGAAAACAATGTCAGTCATGGCTAAACCTTGCTAAGTGAGGCCGCAACACTCACGTCAACCATCCACCCAGACCAAGTGCAGAGACGTGCAGGCCTGAGTTGCCCACCCGCCGATAGAGCATGTCCTTGTTCTTGTTAGGCCACGCCATGATTATGAAAACAGTACTTTTCAGAGTTGAGGGATAGAAAAGGAGTCAATAAAGCGAGGCAAAGTAAACAATTGCATCCCACGAGGGGCCACGAATCAATTTATCTGCCAGGTTGCGACAGTCATTGCGTCGCGCCCGCGGAGGTGAAATCGCATCTCCACGGCGATTGGCCAGCAGCGCTGTTCTCGACGAGAACCCCGGGTCCTCGTGCTTGGTCAAGGCCAATCATACGGGCAGCAGCACACGGAGGGGCTAATGCGGAGGCCAGCAGAGGCGTCGGAGGAATACTCGGAGGGTCTTTTAGTCTGGAGGCCGTTAGCATCGGCACTAGTGGCCTGGCCAGGCTGCTCAGGGTCTATCTTCATCTTTTACCGTGTAGATTCCACAACTGAGGGTAGCATTGTAGAAATCAGGAGGTGATCTCGGTGGCCTTCTCGGAGCGTAGATTAGCAAGAGAGAAAGAAGCGTCTACAGAAGAATACCAGGTCAGGTGACAGCACGCAGTTGCCAAATAAAATCTACACAACAGCGACCGGCTTTCCTCTCCATCTTTGCTGGAAATTCTCGGATGATCATCAGGTTACGTTATTCTCACCTCTTCATACTCTCCTGTCATTTTCGAATCCTGCAATAAGCTACAGTTATTAGCAATTGCTCTGCAATCGCCAGATTGGATGCCAGAGCTTCTGGCGAGGTACAAGGTCAACGTCGCAAATTCACTACAAACGTCTCTTTCCGTAACCACCACCTGTTTTGGCCTTTACTTCTGTGTCCATTTGACTTTACAGTTTCATCAAGTTTCTGCTGCTTGAAAAGGCCACGATGCTCCAAGTCGCTAACTGCATGCTGGATGCCAGGCACACCGGGTGGGTCTGGACAATGGCGTGCCGCGTGGAGATGAAGGCGCAATCACCGCTATCGCCCGTACCGCATCGTCGCAACAGCTTTCGCGACGAAAAGATCGTAAGACAGCACTCTACTCCGTAATGGACATCACCTCGGAGTCACCCTGAGTCTGCTCCATTGAATACTCGGATACGCCACGCCTGCACCAGTGCCTCGCTTCGAGCTGCACCACTCAAACAACGCATGGCTTGCCCCGCAATGACCTCGGGATGAGCGTCTCCCCTTGAAGTCCCGAATAGTCTGGAAATGCAGCGTCACGCTACTGGTTGAATTTCGGCTCAACTGACACTGTCGCCGTCGAACTTTCCCTCATCCTGTTCCTGCTTCATCTTGTCATGCTTTCAGCCAGAATCGCTTGCGCTACACCGGTGACTCGACAACGCGAAAATGTCCTCCAGAACAAGCATAACCAAGAGAGCATGCGACGGGTGTAAGATTCGAAAGATCCGCTGTGGTGGCGGCCAACCGTGCCGGTCGTGCTTCAATGCACGCATCAAATGCACCTACATTCGAGTTCAACAGCCTCGTGGTCCCCAGAAGCTGCGGGCGACAACCAAGTACCTCATAGACCAAGCGCAGCGGGGAGTTGAAATACATACTTCTTTACCCTCGGCTCCGCTGAGCGGGGAGGTCCTGGAAAATGACCACACGCCGACACCAGTGCCTCAGAAATGCGGCGAGAAATCAGAAAGGTGCGTTAATATCTACTATTCTCCTCGCTGGTCACAAAAATGCAGCATTTCCGCTACATCCCCGACGGTGGCATTATTTGGTGGTTTGCGACCATCTAACTCTTGGAGCGCAGATCTCGGATACCCACAAACGTCCTTGCTTCTCCGCTGTATATCTACCACGTGCGAATGTATCCCGTCTGGCCCATCGTCGACGTCGAAAGTGTCATGTCAATCTTGCAACAGGATACCGAAGTGAAGGACCACGAAACCTACGCACTGGCAACTGCCGTGGCAGCGGCAACGATCGCTCAGTTAAGGCTAGGGCAGAATTCCCTTCCCGACAAGTCGATAACTGCCGAAACCTTTGCAACGGAGTGCATGAGGGCCCGCAGGTCCTGCGATTATCGATCAAGACTCAATTTGAACAATGTGCGGACGGCCTTTTTCCTGCATGTTTATTACGAAAATCAGCAGTCAGGCGCAAGCGAATCACTCTTGTACCTCAGGGAGGCCATCACACTGGCTCAGATGATGTATCTACATCGAGAAGCCTCATACAGTGGACTTTCTCCGGAGGAGCAACAAATGCGCCGTCGGGTGCTATGGCTATTGTTCGTGACAGAACGGTAGGTACACTGGTCTTTCTGCGCCAATGTTACTAATGTTTTTATCTAGTGGTGTCTGCATCCTCCACAAACTTCCGGTTGTCTTGAGGACCGATATCTCAACTCCAGATCTTGATGCGAATGATGAGCCCCAGGTTCTCCCCGCGTTCCTGAAACTTCTCAATCTCTTTCGTCTGTTCGAACAATCAAAAATGTTCGATATCATCGAGGATGACCATGGTGGAATGGACACAATCTCCAATGAAGTCCATAACCTGGACAAACGGTTTCTGGGGCTATTGCAGGATAATCTGCAAGACGGATCAGCCCTGCTGGACCACATCTCGGACGTACAGAAAGCAGACCTGTGCGTCACTAGACACTGGATGCGCATGATTCTGTGGAAAGTCTCGTCCAAGAAAAGGCCTCAGGGCTCGTCTTCTTACTGGCCGACATCTCCGTCCTTTCCGATATTAGTCGCAAAAGAGCTACTGAACATAGTCTCTCAGCTACCGAGAGCGGCTATTGAAGCCCACGGGCTCGGTATGGTATGTTGATTTTGAGCCACACTAAGAAGGGCGTGCATTAACTATAGACTGCAGGAGCTGAAACTCTACGAGATTGCCAGCTCACTCGCCGATGCCGTAATAGATCTTGCAATGTTGCCCCGTGCCCCGGCCTGGGACAATGAAAGCCGCCCCAGCAATATCCTAGCCCGACTGCACTCGATTCTCTCCACCTTCAGAGGTGGGGGCAACAAGGAGCTAGCGGAACTACTGTATAAGAAAATGGCAGACGCCCAAGCTCGAAGTGGCCCTGCGCTATCGCCGCCAATAAGAGACCCGCATATCCCAGTCAAGAGTAAAATGCTACCTGGAACGATCGATTCTGTTCCAGGTGGAGAAGGGCTAGCCCATAAAGGGTCCACTGCTGCAGTGGAAGCTGCAAGTCCCATGCCTGACGACATCGATACGATCGGCAATTGGTCGTCCCAGCATTCTGGCATGCAGCCTATGGGTCAGCAACCCCAAGATCGTATCAGTCTGGAGCAGGCGAGCGGGTACAACGATCTCCAGTCACTCGAAGATATGCTTTCCCCCACATTTCCAGGGACAACACTTCCGCAGCCTGACTATTCTCAATTTGCACATAACCCTTGTCTCAGCACCCTGCCATACCCCGCCTTCGATGATATGAGAAGCACGCCTTTGAGTTTCTCCTCCCCGTCGCCTTCTCTACCCTCTGGATCAGTCGAGATGTTGATCAGTGATTTCATCGCCCAGATCCCTGAGGGTCAGTTTCCGCCCGATCACTACTTCTCGGGCAATGACTTCCTTGATCCAGCCTTGTCCGGGGAAGGCTTCCTGGCCTGACGTTCTGAATGCCCTAACGAAAACCCGCACCTAATTTATGAACACACTCCTACTTCATATATACCCTATGATCAGCATATCTTGAAATAAATGCATTATATTATGTAGCTATGAAACCCAATACCAGACTCAAATTACCATACCTGTCAGCTTAAATACCATATACGCTCTCCTCGTTCAGTACTTGAAGCGGAAGTCTAGCCGCTTATTGCCCTCCTTTTCACGAGCCTCCTTGTCGGCCTGATACAAAACTCGCTCTTGAGAAGACAGAGCCTGCCACTTCTTCTCCTTCTGCCTGTTCAAATACCGCAAGACCTCGCGCTGAAGAACAAACACCACCAACGAGAGCACACACAGGGCAATAAGCACCTTATTCCCAGTGTAGTAGTACGGTGAGTCACTCGACCGATAGATTTCTAAGACACAAGTCAGCCAATCAAGCTCACAGAATCACCCATCAAATAGTAAACACAAGTACTCACGCGACGAAATAATCGATCCAACCTGCACAATAACATTATACGTGGCAGCCGTAATCGCTCTCTTCTTGACATCGAACGTATTCTCCGAGATCCACGCGGACACAATCGGATGAAAATACGGATATCCCGAGATCATGGTGGAAATGGCAAACCGGGGCCAATTGTATCCGTGGTCCGGTAATCTGAGCAACGCGATGAGGAGCGGGAGGGACCAGAACTCTCCGAAAAAGCAGTGGAAGGTGCGTTCGCCGAAGATGTCGCTGCTTTTGCAGACCGCTAACATGAGGATGATTTGCAGGGCGGCAGAAGGGATAGAGAGCATGTTGGCGTCGAACTTGTCGAAGCCGAGGCGGGTCAGGGTGAGGGAGAGGTAGGATTGGACGGGGCCTTGGGGAATGTAGGCGACCAGTCCGATGAAGTAGAGACCCCACATTGAGGGGTCTTTCCAGGCTTCGAAGATGTCGTGTAGGGTGGCGCGCTGGTTGATATGTGTGAGGCCTTTGGAGGGGTCGTCGCGAAGGAGGCGCTGGTGCGGTGGTTAGGTAGGTGCTTTGTTGGTTGTGGGGATTGAGGTTGGGGGCTTACGTTGATCATGATCACTTCTTCGCGCTCAGTGTACCAGGGGCGAGGGACTAGGACGCTCTTGGTGTTGGTTGGGGATGTGGGAAGGTAGAACAGACTCTGTGTGGTTGTTAGAGAGGGTTTGTTTGGGTGAATTGGAGACGAGTGCGTACGACTAGTCCAATGAGGAACGTAAGCAGTCCATCAATGAGGAAAAGCCAGAACCAGCCTGACTTCCCTTCGACGCCACGCATCTGGAGGATTCCGGCGGCCAGAAGAGACGAGACGATACGTGCAACCTAATGAAGTTGTGGTCAGTTTCATTGATTTGAGGGTTCAGTGCGAAGGAGAAACTCACGTTCAGCGTGGACCAGAAGAATGCCAACCGGACCGCGAGTTCTTTGGTCTTGTAAAAGTACGTTGCAAAGAGGATTGTACCGGGAATGAAGCCACCCTCAAAGGCGCCGATTAGAGCTCTGGTCACATAGAATCCAGCTCGGTTGGTCATCCAGGCTTGCGTCCAGGATACCAAACTCCATGCGAGCATCATAGCGGGAAGGACGCGTTTGAAACCATATCGTTTAATAAGAAGTTGGACTGGGAACTCGGCGGCCAGGAAGCAGACAAGCTGAATGGTACTGCCCTACGTATTTATAAGGTTAGCGATGCGCTTCACACCAAGGTAGGACACTTACATTGTTGTAATCATCGGTCGTCATGCCCAGATCCGCGAGCAGATGGTCTGTGAGTGCGTTCGACAAATTTCCACGGTCGAGTTGGAGTCCGAAGAACTACTTTGATTAGCCCTTGTTTGGGTACATTCATTTCGAGCGATCAAGGGTATCGGCCATACCATGAAACAGATCCAAGTCAGCAGCATCAGATCGGTCTTGAGAACAAGTTTTCTTTCTTCTTTAGGCGTCCAGGTAGCAGTCGGGTCGAATCGATGGTATCCTTCGAATGATTCATGAGGAGGGGTGACTCCAGCGAGGTTTTCCTGCCCAACCTCGATTGAAGCCTTAGAAGACTGAGAATCTTCGACATCATGAACTTTGGCGGAGCCCTTGAAGGCCTGCTCGATATCGGCCATGGCTGCTTCCACAAGTCTTCAAGTGATGAGGATGCGGGAAAGGCAGAGGTACGATGAAATCTCAAGCGTGGGAGCAACCTCCATGGCTATATACTTATATGCCTTAGAGGCATGACGGTTGAAAATTATGGTGTAGTGCCAATATTCGCAATGGCGGATGGCGATGGTTGCTCTCTCAGCCAACCATATCCGTGGCGTTGTATGTTACTGCTGGGCACGAATACCTTCAATCCAGAAGGAGACTAACCGGATTGCACAAGACGGATCACGGAGCACATCATCGCCTAGGGCCCTGGGTGTGCGCGACCTAGCCGTATTCCAACAGCACCCTAGAAAATTCTGGCCAATGGCCCTTAGGTGCTCCCGGAGAAGCACCTTGAAAAGATGGGTCTGATCGAATCAACGATAGTCATCAGGTTTACGTAGGGCGGGTAAAATTCACTCTTGTTGAAGATCGCAGATGCGCTTCCCCAGATATCCTCTTTTTTCTGCAGCTCGGCAATATGATGTAACCTATTCCTCATAGGGTCAACTGATGGGCTTCCCCAGGTTTGTCCTGTCGCTATTGCTATTATGTGGCCAGTGCCTATTCACATCCACGCTGGGTAGAGACTTGCGCGGCTTGCCCACGGACACAGTTCATTCGCTGGGAGGAGCATCTTAGCGGCCGGCACTAGAGCGACAGGCTGGCAGGATGCAAGCATCCCTCCGAAAATTTCGCCGACGCCCCGCCGATAGCAGCCCCGTCGGCTTGTGACTGGTGGTCGAGGAGGCGGAACCTTCAACGTGCTGGATGCGGGGGACGCCCTTGTCACCGGTCGACTAGAAAACCGAGTCAGGTCGTGGCGGACCAGCATGGAACATGCGACAATGACAACCAGTAGATAGCATCAGTTTCACTGTAACACCCGATACATGTGGTACGATTGACTTCCGCTGTTTCCATGTTTTATCTGTCCCGACACGTTTCCCTTGCCGAGGTGGGGATGATATGTCGATGTCGTGATTGTCTCCAGAGCAAAGAAGTACTCTCTATACATCGTCGGCTATATAAACGGTTGTGATTCCACCGGGTGGCGCTGGCCGATATTTCACATACTTAGCTGTTCTGGGTTGCAATCAATACCATAATAATCAGACAGATTAGTATTCACCATGCCTTCAGTCGTTGAAAATGCCTCGACTTCGACAATTCGGGGAGGACATGAAGAGTCGCGCCCACGACTCTCAGAACCCCTGCAGTATTCAGGATCATTAGACTCGTATTCCCACCAAGACTTGACGCCGGTCATTGGTAGAGAGTACCAGGGTCTCCAGGTGGCAGAAATCCTCAAGTCGGAGAACTGCGACCAGATTATGAAGGATCTCGCGGTGACCAGTGAGCCTTCTGTGCCCCAAAGCTTATCCTGCGATCCTAACAATTCCCAGTTTCCAAGAGAGGCGTCGTCTTTCTGCGCGATCAAAATGTCACACCACAACAGATGCGCGAATTCGGTGAAAAGCTGACTCTCCTAGCCGGTTGCGTAAGTCTCCAACTCTTTCCCATCCATCTTTCCAAAAGAGGACTCACTGACATTTCCGCAGCCCGAGTCCTCCGGCCTCCACGTCCACCCCCTTACCGAAGAAGGCAGTGAACTGGGCGACCAAATCAGCGTCATCAGCAGCGAAAAACAAAAGAAAGGAGGCGGTCTTACCCACCAACTCAGTGACACGAGCCGATTTGCCTCAGTAGGATGGCACACCGACATCAGTTTCGAGCGCGTGCCTTCCGACTACGCCATGCTCAAGATTCATACTCTTCCCGAGACAGGCGGCGACACTCTCTGGGCCTCAGGATATGAGATCTATGATCGCCTGTCACCTGAAATGGCAGCTTTCCTGGAAGGACTGACGGCCACTCATGACGCCAACTTCTTCCATGATGAGGCGCGCCGGTTGGGAAATCCGCTGCGGAAGGGAATCCGAGGGTCGCCCCTCAACTCGGGCGAGGACCTCAAGGCTGTGCATCCCGTGATCCGGACTAACCGTATGTGATCCCCCGCTTTTCTCCCTGGGGTTGTGGGTTGCAGTACTGATTTTTCAATTATAGCTGTCACGGGCTGGAAGTCGGTCTATGTGAACAAGGGATTCACCAAGCGTATCAACGGTGTGACGAAAGATGAGTCGGATATGCTGCTACACTATCTCTTCAATGTAAGTTTGAAGCCACAGGTTTATACTTCAAGGGTAGGATGCTGACCCCCTATCAATAGCTGGTCACCCAGAACCACGACGCGCAGGTTCGCTTCAAGTGGAACAAGAATGATATGGCTGTGTGGGATAACAGATCTACCTGGCATTGCGCCACCTACGACTATGTAGAAGCCCGGGCTGGTGACCGGGTCTGCAGTCTGGGCGAGGCTCCTTACTTGGATCTCCAGTCCAAGTCGAGGAAGCAGGCGTTGTCGGAGGCTTAGACTGAGGCGATCGTGTGCGGATAATTAGTTCATGTGGCAGGTACCACGGGAAATGCAGTAATGAATTACAAGCTCGTGTTTGGCAGACTCATTTATGGGTCTTGACTTGTATGATGGATATCACAATAGCGTCTTTTGGTAGCTCTAAACACGTCTTATAACTAGTTTGCTTGCTCTGTAACCCGTCCTAATTGCGCGGTTCATTTAGAAGTAGGCCGTACTGAGAGAAAGGGGAGAATTAAGGCAAAAGTTCAATGGTAGATTATAGATGAGATACGTCAAATATGTCTAGACAAAGGCAACTATCAGAAGACCAAAACGCCAGTGAACCCGTGGTCAGACCATAACCAACTGATTAGTGCCCATTCACTACAGGGGCGCGGTACTAAACCCAACAAAAGCTGCAGACTCGAGTCCCCGAGTGAATGGCTAAGAAAAGGAAGACCAAATGATCTCCCTAAATGTCAAATTGACGACAAATACCTGATCTGTCAAGTCGAACTGAAAGGTCGTATATGTTGCTGAATCATGCCTTGAAAGGCTCAGACATGCGCATATAATTCCAGCAAACTGCACAATGTTAGAGAATCTCATGTCAGACTCATTGCCAAACGTCATCGCCAAACGTCATGCGAGCCACTTACTGCTATAGCCCATATCATCACCAAACATAACGTCGTGGACATCTTCGCCATCCTTCGTCCCTTGATCCGGGGTGTACGTGACTGCCGTCTTGCCCATAGCGAGCGCCATCATTGGAGGCACCTCCTGAAGAGTCACAAACTCAGGCTTGCTGCTTGAGACCTCCGATAGCATAAGCTGATGAACATTGTTGCCTGCATGGTAGCCCATATGCATCGCAGCGCCGCAGCGTTTGATTCCCGACCAGGATACCATATCACCGACGGCAAAGTGATGGTCTGCGTTGGGGACGTTCTTAGGGAATTGCGTGCTATGCAGGGTTAGACTTGACTGCGAATCGCCATACAGGGAGGGGGTGAAAAATTAACATACGATGCCTGGATCTTGACATAACCTTCTTCAGTCAAAGCCTCTTTCGGAAGGTACGACGACGTGGGAACGCATTTAGAAACGGCGTTCATGACGTGGCCCGCATAGATATTTCTGCGATCGGCCAACTCAAGCTTCCAGATCCGTCGTCCTCCCTCCGTCTCGATGGCTGTGATGTCGATCACCCGTTGTCCAAAGATCCCCTTCACACCCGCCTCCCCGAGAAGAGATCCAACGCGGTCTTGGAAATCAACCGGGAGAGGTTCAGCTGAAAGTACACGCTCGCGCGAGTGAATCAGGGTGATTTTTTTATCGGGATGAAGCATCCTCAATTCAGTTGCCATTTCCACGCCAACGGCGCCTATAGGACCATGAGCTACGTCCGAATACCATATTCAATAATCGACTTACCTCCTCCGATAACCACAATGCCATCATGAGCATTGCGGATCTCATCCGTGTGCTTCTTGGCCTCATCCATAAACTCATCTCTGTCTAAAGACTGCGGAACCGTCGGGAAAACACGTCGCAATCCCGAACTAGCGATTAGGAAATCATACTTCTCCTTTCTCGTTTCCTTGGTGTGGGCGTCGAGGATACGGGCTACTTTGCTTTGACAGTCCACAGAGTTCACGCTACCCCGGAGAAAGCGGATATTCGGAGACTTCAAAGCTTGAATGTCTTCGAACCTTGTCCAGGTCTTGGACGCATACTTCTCACACGCCAATGCCCGGGGTGAGCCGATCAGATGATCTAGGGTGGTGTATGTATTAGTGATCTGTTGGGACTACGGAGTTGTGAAGTAGGGAAAAGATACTCACAGAATCCATCTCGCTCGTCCACCACGGTTATCTGGACGGGAATTTGTTTTTGAGGGGCTTGAGGATCGGGCGTGTGATTGAACCGGGCCACTCGGCCGTGAGACAGGTCCAGCAGCGTCAGAGCTGCGCTTAAACCACCATAAGAGCCACCGACCACCAAGACGCGAAACTGTCGCGAGATGGTAGAGACGCTTGTGGCTGATGGCATGTTGACACTTGGCACGAAAGACTGGCCGTAAAATATGAGAAATATTCAAAGAAGAGAGGAGAGGTAACTCAAAAAATAAGGAGACTACGAAAACGAAACCGAGAAAAACAGGCGGAAGCACTGCTTTAAAGGACGGGGACGTAATAATTTCGGCGAAAGAGAGACACGTCCCAAAACCGAAAGACAAGATCGCTACCGGTGGAACCAATGGATCCCTTTCCTCCGAGCAATCGCAGATAACTTCATTGTTCTATCGTGGGACGAACCGCAAAGCTGGCACAAGAACTGACCAATATGATGCGCAATACTCCACTCATTGGGGAAGAGAACGTCTGGAATCGACGGGCCAAGGCTTCCGGTCGGATGCCACGGAGGACTAGCAATAGTGGCTTATTGGCATATTTCCATCAGGATCAGCAACACGGTACTTTGGAAGCTGTGGAATGTTGGACACCGGGTCGTGTGATTCCGGATATTGCCAGAACTGGGTCCCAAGCAGCCAATGATATCCGCTCTCGACTGCGGTCCATCTTATCAGATGGGATAGCAGCGAGGTCGGCGGTGCCCTTCCGGGCGACGCACACCTTCGAATTCCAGAGCCAGGCCGCTTACAAGCCTCTTTGTTCCGCATGGAAGACATTAAACTACATCCAGAAGGCTCCTCAAACCAAAACATCGAAAAATGAAGAACTCAACAACAAGAACAGAAGCAGAACATCTCCACAGCCAGAATTTCTCGGTCGGCCCCGATTTTTATCTGATCCGCCTCGGCAGCTCAACAACCCGTTATTGTTTCCTATTACGGAGTAGTGCTGCTCGCGTACCTCTGCCCCTCAGTCTTTCTTCCAATCAGTCAGTATTATTAAAGTTATCAGATGGAGGGGTACGACGGTCATTTCCCCATCACGACGCGCTTTCTGGAATGAGATCATCTCGCCTAGAGATTTAGGCAGCCGTTCGCTGGGCCTCGCTATAATTAGGCCGCAGGCTTGGAAGGGTGATGCCAGAGGACAGGTTGAGGCTGATTAACTCACTACCCTTCCAAGGACCATTTGACCTGAGAAGTGTATAGCTGAACCGATAGGCATACTTGGTTACACATGAAAATTTTCCACGACAAGTGATAGTACTATACATGGGCTTATATGGACAACTTTGACTCGGCACTACAAGAATTGTCAATTGTTGCTTCGTTAATAATCTACCACGATATCTTCACCCATTTTAGTAGGACTTTCTCATGCATATCATAGTGATCACTTCACGCAAACTAGAACGCAAGGCAAGCAAGGCTTACTCGATCCAGTAAATCATCACACGTAGAGCCAGTCAGGTGACACTGAAATCCATATTGGGAAACAGGCCTCAAGTTGCTGACAATAGTTCTTCCGCTCCGATAGTCACAGGAAAGCTATTCTGTAATCATGTGACTAATGGAGCTGGAACATCTTCATTACGGCATGTCTGTGGATAAATCAGCAGATATTATCAATGGCTCTCGCGATTGGTTTTAGGTGGATGGACTACCTGGTATCATCAACGGCGATTGTAATGTCTTGAGGTGGTTCAACCAGTGCTGTTTCAGCAGTGAGTTATTAGATATCAAAGTGGTTACTATACAATGTGAGAGAATGTCGATGGTGGACGATTGAGCAGTGCGCAGCAACAATATATAGAATCAGACTACTCTATCTATTGATTCAATCCTTCAACCAAGGCAGAACAGGCCGAAACAGCGCTCAATTGCAATGCAGCAGTTCCCGTAGCACCCCAAGGACACCCCGGGATGCAAGTAAAACCAGTCCTATCTTTGATGGAAAATCGATGACACCACTAAAAAGAATGGGAGTACAACTGCCAACCAAAAGCGTACGTTCGCATTCCAAGAATTCATGATCCCGGCAGATTGGGATAGGGGCATAGCACAAGACAGGATAACTGATAGATAGCGATATGGATGATATCGGATGGCGGCGGTAGGTAGTCCAGGAAACGCCCGCGACTTCCAGAACGATGATGATTATATTCAATGTCAAGCACTCGGGACACTTCCCCCACAGTCGTCAGCCAGACATGACATGTACACAGTATGTAAAGAATGGGAATGCGGTGGCAGGCACGCAGCTGATGAGTCACGGACTAGTGATCGTCTATTGCACATCCATACCCCGCTGCAGCGACGATTCCAGATCGTTGGGGTGACCACCGCCTGCGGCGAGCGCTTCCTGAGGCTTGGGCTCCTCATGCTTCCACCCGCTCTGCTGGTTATCGGGAATGGGCACGTTGGTCTGCTGCTGAATCTGCTGCTGCGCCGCGGCGGCCTGCGCCTGCGACTGTTGCCGGACCAGAGCCCGGAAACGCACGACCTCGTCATAGATCATGTGGCGCATCTCCTGCACATCATCGACAACCTCGAAGTGGAAGTCGAAGGTCGTCGGGCAGGTTGGCTCATCCGAGGCATCGTGCCAGATATGCAAGTAGGGGTGCTCCAGAGCCTCCTCGACCGAGATACGCGACGACGGGTCGAAAGCGAGCATCCGATCGAGCAGATCGAGAGCATCAGGGTTGGCGTTGGGGAAGAGACGCTGGAAGGGAATCTTGGGCATGAAAGGCAAGTTGCGCACGTATTCCTGGGCGCGAGGGGAGCCGATGCGGCTAAGAGTGTCCTCATTTGGAGTACCCAGATAGTGGAGGATCTGGTTGAGCTGATCAACATAATCGCGACCTTTGAAGAAAGGACGACCACCCAGGAGCTCGGCCAGAATGCAGCCAACAGACCAGACATCGACTGGGAGCTAATCAGCATACCGCACGGAAATAAGAAGAGGACAGGGATACGTACTGGCTTTGGTGTAACTCTGGAAGCTCAACATGATCTCTGGCGCACGGTACCATCTTGTCGCAACATATTCTGTCATGTATCCCGCATTCTCCTCAGGGTCGATCGAAAAACCACGGGCCAGACCGAAATCGCAGATCTTCAGCTCGCAGTCAGCGTTGACCAGGAGGTTACCGGGCTTCAGATCTCGGTGCAGGACGTTGGCCGAGTGGATGTACTTGAGACCACAGAGAATCTGGTAGATGAAGGATTGGAAATGAGCATCGGTTAGGGGCTGTCCAGAGCGGATGATAGCGGCCAGATCGCATTCCATCAATTCTATAGAGGACCACCATTAGCAGCAGGAAACGAAGAGATGATGAATGCAGAAGACTAGCTCACCTTCGTACAGATACGTTTCGTTAAAGTTATCCGGGCGGGGAATGTCCATGTCGTACAAGCAGGTGATCTGAGCCAGCACTCCGTCAGAGACCATTAACATAAAAGCAGGTATTGGGAACAAAGAAGGAATGACGCACGTTGCGGTGGCCTCTGAAGTGCTGAAGGAGCTTGATTTCTCTCAAGGCGCGCTTGGCCAGGATCTTCTTACTGAAAACATTGGTAACCTTCTTGATGGCGACGCCCTCGCCAGTCTGGCCATTGGTGGCAGCGCTAATATCGTTAGAATCAAAGCATTTACTCTAGCGATTCATCTTGTGATAAGTGACGCTGACGCAGGTCAGACCTACCAGACGATACCGTATGCGCCCTGACCCAGTTCCTTGGTGACAGTGTAGCGTTCATCAACGATGAAGTCCTGGTTGAAGACCTTGAAGATCTTGCGACCCTGCAAGTCGGACATGATGAACTCGAGAAGAAAGGATCGGGGAGGATATTGGGAGGAAGCGAGACGAGGTAAGGCGGGGGAGGTAAAGGGGAAATGTACGGCGTCTGGAAGGCCGATGAGGTAGGGAGAGAGTTGTTCCGATGGATGGCACCAGGTGGGGTAGTCCGTTGGCTGGGCCGGCGGTGGGTTGGGAGCCTTGAGGGGGGAGGAAGCGGCGGATTCGGGTTCAGAAAAATGGCTCCTGCGTTTAGTTGTTGAGTTGTTGGTTCCTCTTTGTCACTTTCTCCAGACAGGGCGGTAGGGTGGAAGGAAGAGAACCAGTCAATTCACGAGGAATGGCGTCTGTCAACTCAGTCCGTCGTCTGGGTCGCGCCCCGCCAATATCCGGGAGGGTCTGGATTACTCTGAAACAGGAGAACTCTGGAACTGCGGGATCAACAGAGACACGGGAGAAAAGCTGGCAATTATAACCATGAAAAAAGAAATGGGCAGAATCTCAGAGAGAAAGAGAAATTTCCTTAAAGTGATGAGATGTGACGAGCATCGAAGGTTGATTTCTGATTGGGTCTAGGAAGCGCGCAGCGTGCAGTAGTTGAGGGGAAGGACTATAGTCGGAGATGCAGTAGACGAGGAGGAACAAATAGTAGCTTGGGTCAATACAACGCTCCAGCTGGAAAGTCCATCTGCGAGAAATGGTCCAGTAAAGAGCAGCTGGAGGCTAAAACCCGAGCCGACGTGGTTTGTTTACAATTTACACATTCGGCTGGTCAGGTGCGATCAGGTGCGATCAGGTGCTGGAAATGGCTTTATGCCTGAGGCATCAAAGAGCTTCTGCTCCAAATAGGCAACATCGTCTCCGTCCGTCATCACTCCAAGTGCGAAAAGACTGGACCAGCCGAATCCCACCATTGAGTTGGAACCCTCAATACAATTTACAAATTTCCAAGTGGGTGCTGAGACTGAGTTTATCCTGTGTTTAAAAAGTCCTGCCAATCGCCATTGTTCACTTTGCAGGACACACACCGGGAGGCTGGGACAATGCATAAAATGAATAGGGCAGTTGAAGGGACAAAGAAGGAACGTGGAGTACATACTACTAATATACATCGCCCATATTTACGGAGTATCGGCTCCCAAATGGTAGCCACCTCATGCTGCAATGTTCCAAACCACCTCTAACACCTCGGGTTTCTCAGGTTCCACCTCATGCACATAAATCTGCCGCACTCTTGCTTTCTCTTGAACCGCATCCTTCAATCGGAAAGATATCTTTTTTTCGTCCTTGCGTCGTAGCGGCCCCAAACTGAAGGTAAAGGGGTCCGGACCGGTATACTTGCTTGCGTTCCAGGTCTGCTCCATGGCCAGGGGGTCGTCTGATATGGTCGAGTATTTGATCACAGAGAACCCATTGACGAGGTACCATTCGTCTGGCAAGAGCCACCGATGAAGCAAACATTCATCACCGCAGATGCTGGCCGCCTTGCTGAGAGCCACCATATCGGCCTGGAACCAAGACTTCCAGTGATGCACAGAGAGCGGTTGGGCCCGCCCAGCCTCGTAAAATCCAGATGCATCGCCACGCAGGTCTAGCTGGAAGAGGTCACGCTCCCAGGAGAGCTTGGTATTTGTATGTGCGTAAATACACTGCGAAAGCATGCGGTCGCCGCCCGATTTGAAGGCGTAGCATTCATCAAACCAAGGCTGGAGCTCCGTGAGGAGCGGGATAGAGAGGAAGATCCCAGCGCCACCGTACGCCATATAGCCGCTGCTGTACAGCTGTTGCAAGTCCTCGGTCACAGCCCCGATGTACTGGGGCTTGTTGGCATCATAGGTGGCCAGCCGATCCACTAGCCTCGTCATCGATGGGAAGAACGTATCATCGTCCATCATAACCACCCACTGAGTGGACTTATCTTTGTTCTTATACAGGTATCGAATCAGATAAAAATATCGATCCAAGCGCTCATCCTCCTCTTCAAGGATAGTAAGACGGATCCCGAGCGCCTCCGCCCGCTTCTGAGCCTCCTTCTTCCCTGGACCTCCGCTATCAATCACAGCCAGAATCCGGGCATTGCTACCCGCAGCCCAATGCGCAAAGGCATCTAGGGAGTCGATTAATCTATCAACGGATGTTGCGATGCCGAATATGATATGCGATGCATCTGGTTGGGCACTGGGCATGGGGCCCTCAATCGTCACGGAGGGAGTACATCTGTCCGGCGGCAGACCTTGTCGATGCTCTTCCGTGTCTAACCGCACGGTGCTAAACTTCGGGAATCGCGCACCAAGGGTGTCTGTATAGCCAGTGAAATTCTCCGTTGGTGCGACGGCTATCTCTAACCTGGCATATTCTACCGTGGTGTTGGAGTACTGTCGGAGACGATCGAGATCCACATAGCAGGGATTGGTGTCATCGAGGGAAGGTGCTAGCGAGTGACTGGAATCGAGATCCGAGATTGGAGCGACCTGGCTAGGCCTGGAGTAGAAAAACACTATGAAGCCTGCGGAGAAAAAGGCCGCCGCGAAGATTAGTACCGACGCCCTTGATTGGCGCCAGGAGCGACGGTGCAATGGCGGAGACATCATGAATCAGTCATGACGGTGATATGCCTGGATCTTCCAAAATGCAAAATGTTGTTCACCGCAAGGACCATTCTTTTCCGGGCTGAGAAGGATTCAACTTGGTCCCAAGGAGTGGGAATGGATGGCGAAAGGTAAACGTGGTGCATAAACCCGAGCTGTTTGAGACTGGGACTTGGGTCGGCCTTCGGAATGAGCGGTCGGACCTCCGGAAGGCAATCCGTGGCCAGGGTTTGAGACCAACGGACTAAGTATTACCCCCTGTCAGTTATTGGGTGGGATTTCATTCATGAATTGAGGTACAGTTTAACAATAATGACTAGCTCTAACGCCCCAGCAAGTCTAAACTATCATCATCTGCCATGGTTCAAGTGCACTTTTGCCCAGAAAGCTACAGGTATCTACTTTTCACCAGAAAGACACACAACCCCCCCTAGGAATCCCCGGGAACTCTTCCGGTAATCTGCTCGGTACTCCGTACCTACTCCTGATTCTTTTCAGCTAAACTAGCATCGATACCCAGGTGACCTCTTATGATCTAGTATCTAAACCATGGTATATCGACACGTAGATCTCTCGGTATCTTCGAGCAAGCAATGAAAGCCGGGATGCAAACGGCAAGGCGAAAGTAGGAAATAACAGCTTCGTTTACAGAGAGTTGACCAGTCTCCGCTCCTTCCGCAGAGACCGGAGCTTCTCGCGGGCCTCCTCAAGGGGAATCATCACGCCCTGCTTCTGGGTTGCGGGGTCATCACGGTTACGAATGTTAACCGTGCGACTCTCCTTCTCTTGGGCGCCAACAACTGTTTCATACAATCAGAGATCCGAAGGGAAAGATAGGAAAGACAGAATTCGAGTCTTGAGCATGGATGATAACTTACCAAAGATGAAGTTGTATTGCTGAAGCTGTCCGGTACGGATCTTCTTCTGCATAGTATTTCCGCTGATGTCGATGTCCACGTTCAACTTGTCTCCGCGCAGAATCGTCTGCAGCTCCTCAACATAGTCGTTGACAGCGGGCATGACGGGAACAATCAGGATTTGACGAGGGCTGATCCAGAAAGGCCACTTGCCGCCAAAGTGCTCAATCAAAATACCAAGGAAACGCTCAAAGCTGCCGATAATGGCACGGTGGATGACGACGGGGCGGGCGCGGCCGGGACCAGGCTCGTTGGGCTTGGCCTCACCCTCCTTGGTGGCCTCGTCGGACTTCTCGGCCTTCTCATTCGACATGTACTCGAGCTTGAAGTTGATAGGCGCCTGGTAATCAAGTTGGATCGTGGCGCACTGGAACTCTCGCTTAAGAGCATCGGCGATGGTGATGTCAATCTTCGGTCCATAGAAGGCACCATCACCCTCGTCAATGGTCCAGTCGTTGCCCTTGAATTTGGTCATTGCTGCCTTGAGCTGGTCCTCGGCATAGTTCCAGGTCTCCAATTCACCCAGGTACTTCTCGGGCCGGGTAGAAAGCTTCAGCTTGAAAGTAAAGCCGAACAGGCCGTAGATACACTGCAGGAAGTCGAACAGACCCTCAATTTCGGACGTGATCTTGACAGCATTAGCCTATAAATTGCCGCAAATAACCTTGGCTTATCGGCACTCACCTGGTCCTGGGTACAGAAAATGTGCGTGTCATCCTGCTGGAATTTGCGGACACGGGTAAGACCACTCAAGGCGCCGGATGCCTCGTTTCTGTGCAACACACCGAAGTCGGCAATTCGCAGAGGAAGTTCTCTGTAACTTCTCTCACGGTGGCCAAAGAGCACAAAGTGACCGGGGCAGTTCATGGGCTTGAGAGCCCACTCCCTCTTCTCAACATCAAGCTTGAACATGTCGTCCTTGTAGTGGGCCCAGTGGCCAGATGTCTTCCAGATGCCGACATCATACATGTTGGGGGTCTGAACCTCCTGGTAACCCCGCTTGCGGTACTCGGAGCGCAAAAGGGACTGAAGAGCGTTGAAGATCTTGGTACCGTTGGGCAGGAGGAAAGGACATCCCGGAGAAGCCTCGTCAAAGAAGAAAAGCTCTTGCTCCTTGCCGATCTTCTGGTGGTTGCGCTTCTCGGCCTCCTCCAAGAATTTCAGGTGTTCCTGCATCTGCTTCTTGTCGGGGAAAGCAACACCACGAATACGCTGCAAAGAGTCGTTGGACTGGTCACCAAGGAAGTAGGCCGAAGAGTTCTTTGATAAATCAGTATTACAATTCTAAACAATGAATGAGCACCACTGCATACCTGCATGATCTTGAAGGTCTTGATCTTTCCGGTGCTCTGAATATGGGGACCTCTGCACAGATCGACCAAGGTACCACACCTGTAGACAGTGCTCTTCTCTCCGGTCACCAGCTTATCGATGTAGTGCAATTTGTACTTGCTGTACGCAAACATCTTCTTGAGGTTTTCTTTCGTAACCTCCAGTCTGTCGAAGCTCTGCTTCTCCTTGAAGATGCGGGAGGCCTTGCTATCCAAAGACGACCAATCGGATTCCTTGACGACACGGCTGCTTCACCATTAGCTTTCCTGTTCAACCATGCAACACCATCCATGCTTACTTGTCCGGCATAGCCATGTCATAGAAGAAACCCTGGGGTGTAGGAGGTCCGTGGGAGAGAAGACATCCAAATTCGCACTCGCAGGCCTCGCCCAGACAGTGAGCGCTAGAGTGCCAGAAAACCTCCCGACCTTCGGGGTGGTCAAAAGGAACATAAGAAACGATACAATCGCCCTCCAGGGGGCGGCCCAAATCCCAGAGCTCCTTGCCAACCCTCGCCAGAACAACATTCGCGCTCAAATCCTTGGGCACGTTCTTGAGCAGCTGTGCGGGGGTGGTTTCCCAAGCGTTCGCAGTGACATTGATAGAGTTTCCATCACCAAGCTCCAGAGTGACGTTGATTTCGGGATGGGGCTTGTTCTTGAGTTCCTCGAGATATTGCTGCCACAGTTCCTCGAACAGATTGTTGCGCTCGATGATGAAATCGGGGAGCGAGCCGTTACCTGGCGCTGTCAACTGGTAAGGAGGGGTCATGCAGCATTTGGCGGGGCAGACAAGCGACTCACCAGCAGGTTTGGCGTCGCCGGCGGGCCTGACGGGGAGGTCCTTCGAACCTTCAGAAGCCATGGCTGTATCCCGAAGCGTCAGGGGAACGATCTGGGAGGGTTGGACCGAGGAAGCGGGGTTAAACCAGCAACAATGCCTGACTTCCGTATAGAAATCGGACGATCATCAAACGCAAATCGACAGTGACTCAGTGAGGGACCGAAGGCGGTGAGGCACGTGACAAAAAACTGCCCTTGCGGCTAGCGACACTTTACCGTTTCGAGCTTCCCACCATTCGAAAACTTCTCCGGACTCCGAGATCCAGGTCGACCGCAACAACAGCAATTCAAGATGTCTTTCCGTGGAGGCCGTGGTTTTGCGTCTGGCGCCAACCGTGGCGGTTTCGGTAGCCGTGGAGGTGGGTTTTCGCAGAATCCGAGGGTCGATTCTTGCGCTGGATATGAGCTAACGAAAATTTTCGTCGGGATAGGTCGCGGAGGTTTCCAGGCGCCTGTCGGACCCCCTGCTCAGGTTCTGGGTAATTATACGCCAATTTACGGCCAAAATCATTGCGACTAATGTGGAATGATCAGAGATGGGAACTGTGATGCACGCTTGTGAAGGCGAAATGGTTTGCGAGTCGATCAACCCGAAGATTCCTTACTTCAACGCCCCCATCTACCTCGAGAACAAAGTATGATCGACCTGGAATCTGTTCGGCATTGCGCAATGGGCTAATAAATCTTGGATAGACCCCTATTGGCAAGGTCGACGAAGTTCTGGGTCCCATCAACCAGGTCTATTTCACCATCAAGCCTCAGGAAGGAATTGTCGCGACCTCCTTCAAGCCTGGTGACAAGGTCTACATTGGTGGAGACAAGCTCCTTCCTTTGGAGAAGTATGTGCTAATAGTTCTCATCTATCATGTGGACACCACTGACTTGGACACGCTAGGTTCCTTCCCAAGCCTAAGCCCGCCCCCGGTATGAACTCAACCGTATTCCGCATAGGTCGGATGTGCCTGATCCTAACCAGAATACAGGTGCCGCGAAGCCCAAGAGAGCTGGCGGTGGTGCCAGAGGCGGTCCCATGCGCGGTGGTCGTGGTGGACGTGGTGGTCCCATGCGCGGTGGCCGTGGCGGCGCACCGAGGGGACGCGGTGGACCCCGTGGAGGTGGTTTCCGCGGTGGAAGCGGTGGTTTCTCGCGGGGTGGTGGCAGAGGAGGACCTCGTGGTGGTGGTGGTGGTTTCCGACGATAGACAGTCTCTGTCTTGCCTGGTAGTACTGTCTTATTACGGCGTTATGGGAAAAGGGAGCTATTGCAGGAATTTATTTGTCTCTATATTCTTGTGCATCCTAGGAAAAATTTGCTGGTTCTCTGTACGCAGAGGCTGTCGTGAATCTCGGCCATCAATTTCATGTATTGCAACGATCAATTATGCCGAATATCATTGTTCTTCGACCATCGTCCACCGGTTTAAGAAGTGCCTTACTAAGCGTCGAGTACTTGTGGCGCAGTAGATCTTCAGCAAGGGACCTGAAGTGGCTAGTGGCTGAGTGTGGCGCAGGGCAACACCGCCTTGCAATGACGTCTGGCCACGCTTGAGCCGTAGAATCTGTGCGCCTGTCAACACTTCTCAAGGCAGCTGCCTACCATTGCATCATTTCTTTTCCATTCTCACCACCCTCCTCCGCATATACTTGATTTACTCCCCCGTATTGATTATTTGCTTTGAGAGTCCTTCCCGTTCGTCATTTCTACCTGAGCATGTCTCGCCGGGTTTCTGCCATGCCGTCAAATACTTCGACTAGCGGTGTCCCACCTGCGGGTGATGGTGGTGAGCCTGCATCCTTGCGATATCTCCCTCGAAGCTTGGAAGCTAAAGGATGGTAGGCCAGGAAAAGCAGAAGATGCTTCTATCGTCGGAAACAGGCCATTTTAGCATGATCAGGTAGCCATTGAGCCTTTGTTATTTCGGATTCTGGCAGGTTACTTACGCATATACGCACACCAGGGCTTTGCATCTCGCCGATCTAGTGACTGAACTCAATGGTAAGTCACCAGATGCTCCGTGACATCTATATGATACCTAGTATCCTGCAGTCGCTGACATCTTTTGTAGGATTCTGTGGAGGCAAGCCCATATTTCACTCAAAAACGACATCTACGGCCCGACACTAACCGCTCATATACAGTGATGTCCGTCTTCTCTTCTATGCGCTACTGCCTAGGTGATCCTCACGACTACGGTCCGATTTGGGCCGCTCTGATCTTCATGCCCTTTGGACTCTTTTTCGACTTCATGGACGGAAGGATTGCTAGGTGGAGGAAAAAGTCATCCCTCATGGGACAAGAACTGGATTCATTGGCTGATCTGGTATGAGGTTCCAACTCACTATCGCATTGCTCCGTTACTTACTGTTCGTGTTTCCTGCTATAGATTTCCTTCGGCATGGCACCCGCCGCGGCAGCTTTCGCGCTCGGAATGCGCACCAGCCTCGACCACCTGTTCCTTTCCTTCTTCGTCCTCTGCGGCCTGACACGGTTGGCACGGTTCAATGTGACTGTCGCTGTTCTTCCCAAGGACAAGTCCGGCAAATCCAAATACTTCGAGGGCACCCCTATTCCGACAACCTTGTCCATTACCTTTTTCATGACATACTGTGTTTCTCAAGACTGGGTGCTGGACAACCTACCGCTTGGCCTTGTAGCCGAGGGTACGGCTTTCGAATTCCACCCCCTGGTACTGCTGTTTGTCCTGCACGGCTGTCTCATGGTCAGCAAGACGCTGCACATCCCTAAGCCTTAGAGGGAGAACGCCACCCGGGCAAGCAGGAAGTTTGTCTAAACCAGGATTCCCGTTTTTGATAGAGATGTCTTTTGCGAGCCATATATACCAAGGGAAACCAAAAACAAAAGTGGGCATGGGAGCATTTGTTGAAGATAACGCAGTTGTCGCTAAATGAAAATGATTTGCATATCTTGCATAGTAATGCGGTTGCTCCCATAAATACGGGGGCCAGAATTTTTTATCCGGGCATGTCTCCTTCGGGGTTGTTGTATTAGGATCAATCGTACTACATGCTACTTCTACACTTCAGTATTATGCAGCATAAATCTCTTACTGTACCCCTACGACTCCTTCAATTTCGGACGTCTCCTATCTACCCTCTGGATCGATATATACAATCCAGTTCGCATAATCTTGATAGCCAGCATAAGGGGTAGAATCTGCCCAGATACCAAGAACCTAGGACGTAAGACAGACATCCGACGTATCATAGTCATCAAAACATGCCACATGACCTATTGTAAGCGGAGTAAGGACCAAGCCACGTTGGCCTGAGATCCTGAGGAAGCAGTCCGCTCGCTCGTGTTGATAGCCTGATCAGGACTTATGGCTGAATGACACTCCATCCTATACAATTGCTCAGCTAAGGTACTGATCAACAAGTTAACTACAGAGTATTTCAAAGCCAATACCTATCATGACTTCGAAGATGATAAACTAGATTCTCAAGTCTTAACAACCGAGGGAAAGATACACCCCCAAGACCCTGAGCCCCCAACCAAGACCCATGCCCCAAGACCCATTCGTATTATTTCCAGGCCCCGGAACCGGGAATTCACTTGGCTAGGCAATGGCAAATCCTGCACTATGGGTTATTATTGCGTGGTATCGACTGTTTACCATTATTGACGGCATGGATAAAAATGGAAACTCCCGGGAGAGACATCGTGGATCCTGGTGACACGTTCTAGACCTCGCCGAGAGTTTCACTTTGAGCTGGGACCAATTTCTTCTTTGCCTCTGTGTGTGTCTTCTACCTAGGTGGTGGTATTCTAGTAGTGGTTGGTAGATGGGTTTTGGTTGACTCGCCGTCTAATGTCTATCTATTTGGCTTGGAGGTACTTTGTAATTCGCGCAATGACTCCGTTTTCTTGGAATGATTCCAGAGGGTCTTGGGGCCGGACTTGGTATCCGGGAGGCCGAGAAAATTGCAAGTCGATTTGGGTGTGGGTGCCGTCATTGCCGGTGATCTTCCTCTGTTTTACTGATGGGGTTATTGAGCGTGGTGATAGTTTCTGATTACTATTGTAGTTAGAAACTGGTGTTCGGGTTCCTTGCTGTTCTGTTCCTTTCTTTTCCGGGTGTATCGGACTCTGACTCGTTGAAGTGATTGATGTCTTAGGTGGATCATGACTTGTGAGGTGAGTGAAACCCACTGTATTCCAAGTCAAGCCTTGCCAGTGCAACCGGATATTGAAGCAAAAGCATCATCGCTGCAATGTGATTCCATAGGACACAATATTTGGAGGTATCTGATATCCGTCGGTGAGGTGAACGTCAAGGGGTCGCGTCATGAAACATCCGATAAGCTTATTTGGCATGTGAAGACGCTTCATACTTCTAGAATTCTTTCCATGCGCTGTGAACATAGCATTTATCTCGCAGAGGTATTGTCTTCGAGTTATGGAATGTGGCACTTCCGAGGTGTATCCGGCAATGGTCGGCAATCCCTTTCACGCGCTCAAGGTGCATGTAATGGCGGCCTAATGTTGACGGTTGTTTCTTATTGAAGATCCCGTACCCAAGGAGTCGTCATCCTCCTTCGTCGCCATCTATTGCAGACAAATCAGCGCACCATCTCAGTGGACGAAGTACTCCGTAGATAGTTCCTAGATAGACTGATGGTCGTCGAGCCACCGTGTGTGCTTGCATGCATGAAGCCGCCGATATACGCGTCAAGGGGCGGGGAACCCTTACGTTGCGTTACGCTTTCCAGGCCTATTCGATACGGGGCGAAGCTGCTGCAGGGGTTCCAGCTTCCAGGTCCACCGCACCCCGGGAACGACCCGACCGCTTGAACCATCGGAACCATCCTACATTTCCATCGCATGTTTACACTTTAGAATGATGCAAGAGGGGGCCTGTTTCGAAACTGCAAAGTCAACAAGCCCGCCCTGTCCAAGTGTGCCTTGACGGACTGCTGTAACTGAGAGCGCCCGTGCCAAGCTGAGGAAAGTCGGACTCGAGCTGCGAACTCCTCCCCAGAGGGTCCGCCTGCACTAAAAACTGGAACGCTTCACCCGTGACGGCGTACCGCCTCGCCCAGCATGGGTCAAGGGTCCATTTCTACCCAAGCACCGGCTCTTCCATTGGCAGAGAATGCGGACCCAGGATAAAAAAGGTCTAGCCTGAAATTTCCAACGCTCGTGATGGCCCCGGGTTTGGGCGGTTAATCGAGTCCCCTGACCAGTGACATCCACCGCCGTTCCTCGATGTGCCGGCTGAAAGTTTGGGGAAAAGAACACAATGATGGATATTTGATGCTTCTGTCTTTGGTACCTCGATCCGATCCCAATGACGCAAACTGGGGGATATGTTGATGCTAGAATCGACCCCATGCCCGGGCGCTTTGTACCAAAACCGCCTTGCAAGTGGCCAGGCACATCGCGGGCCCCGTCCCGTTTGGCAGACACGCAAGGAATGGTGCAATGAGGCATCGTATGTACAGAGTACAACTCATCACCGGTTGGTCTCATTCAAAAGACGTCGTGGAGCAGTCGTCCATCAATGTCAATTGTCAATGGCTGGCGCCGGCCCTTGAGAGGAGGTGCGAAGTTTCTGTCCTACCTGGGCCATGAGTGCCCGAGAGCGTGCCGAGGATCCTTACTATTAATAAACACTCATCCAATTCTGGTCATCCCCCGTCCTTGTACAGAATACACGGTATTCAACTGGGTTTCTCCAACAACATCGCTCAGTAAAGGACGGCCTGCCATGTTGCTCTCAACGAGCACGCCTGGAATGTACTCCGTAGGCATATTGAAATGTCAACTCGGAGAAAGGAAGACGGACTACTGTGTAGATCGATTGCTGGCATGCTCCTATGAGTCGTACACACATTGTTGCTCAAGGACTCCGCGGATGTCATGGCTCCAAGTCCGGCTCCTTCTGGCCCCCGGAAGAGGGAGTGAGAAGAACAATTTACGCCGGAGCATGTGCCAGCTCTCCCCTCTTTGACTGAAATACTATGTACTCCGTACTCCGTATCTATTCCGTACAGCGCCGCCACCATCCCATGACCGGGGATGGCTTAGTGCATGCCAGCAGCAGCTCCGCTGTGCCGCTCGTGTGGCCGGGAAGGGAAAGGGATGAGCTCTGCCCCCTGGCCAGGATCGGCTGATGTAAGCCAGACGGGCGGGCTCGGCGGTCTCTGATTGGCTGCAGGCCGGCAGGTACGCGGGATGTGGTAAATTACCGCCCTGCGCATCCAGGGTCAGGTCCCGTCGGGGAACCACCAGGAAGCGTACCGCGTCTGAAATGGTGGGCTGCCATTGGGGGAGAGGAGAGGGAATGATGCTCCCTCCTCACGCTTTGTTTGTCCCTTTTTTTTCGCCCGGCCAGTAGGGGAAAGTTTAGTTCTCGGGACCCCCTGTTGCCAGCTGGGCTACTACTGGGCTAGTCTCACCCGTCAGTGCGTCGCTTAATGCCTGCCCAGTCCGTCAGTCCTCCTCTGCGCAGTCACCCTGCCTGTGTCTTCCCAGGAAGGAGTCTGTCAATCGTTCTGTCGCTTCCCCTTCCTTGACCCTCTTTCCCTCTGCCTCAACCTAGTCGCTCTTTTCGGCACTGCCATCGTTCAGCAGTGCATTCTTGTTTATCTTCCCTCTTTTCATTCTCTCGCTCTTTTCAGAAGGTATCCCATCTGGCCTTGCTCTTTCCAAGGCCATAATAGAACTACGCCCTCCTGCTGCTCTCTCCCACCCCTGTTGCTGCCCGTGATTTCGACCCTGGCTGATTGACTTGCCCTTCCTGAACCGCCCCCGTTCAGGCTGGCTCATTAAACCCTCTCCGACAGAAAGGGGTGCTTGAAACGACCGGTCCAAAGGGCCTTTCCCCGCCAGGGACCGCCTTCTCCCAGCGCAGACACCACACTCTTTCATCGCCATCTGCACTCCAACCTCCATCTACCCTCATCATCTGGCCCTCTGCTATCGCCCTACCCGACCTGCTCTCCCACGTCAATTCTAGGCCCCATACGTCACCCGTCCTCAACATCGGCTCCCCGTCAACGCTTGCGCTATCCACTGCGGAGTTTCGTTGCGACAAGTCCAACCCTAGGACATAGGAGAGACTGAACAATCAGCTTTTGAAGTAGCTCCGAGGGGTTCCAAGGGTTACGCAGGTCGTCCCTTATCGTTCGATCAACCTCCTTGGCCGTGTCTAAAACAACCTCATCCCGTTCCCCCTTGTGATCGTTTCTTACGTCGACCATGTACCACACCACGAAATCCTTTACGATGCGGTCGGCTCTGGCGGCCTCTGCCCTTCTCTTAGCCATCAGTCTACCTGCAACACATGCTTATACGGAGGAATACAATGGATGTTACTCCGACTCGACGCCACTGCAAGATCAGGGAACATATACATATCAGAGTGATGGATACTGCCAGAAGCTATGCTTGAAGTCCAACTATGCCGTCTTTGCCCTGCATAATGGACAGGACTGCCTCTGTGGTAATGAGCTACCCGCCGCCTCCGCCAAGGTTTCCGACAGCAAATGCAATATCGAATGTGCCGGTTGGCCCAGTGTGGACTGTATGCTCCCCATTCTGTGCTATTTCGTGTCCACAATTTGCTAACGATCATCATACAGGTGGTGGCAGTGACACCTACTCTGTTTATCTTACTGGTATCGAGAGCGATGTGGACAACTATTCGGCCTCGAGCACAACTACTTCCAGCACCGAAAGCGAAACGTCTACCTCCACGACTCAACAAGCAGCCCATGTTGTCACCAGTTCTGGCACCACGCAAACAGTATATGCGACAGCAGCAAGTGAGACAGAGGCGGCGGCTACTGCAGCTGCCGAGAGTGCTACGGATCCTGCACAAAAGAAGAACGGCTCGAGCGCCAACACAGCTGCCATTGCCGCAGGCGTCGTTGTGGGTGTGGTCGGAGCCTGTGCTCTCGCCGGCGCCGGATTCTTCCTTTGGCGCTTCAAGAACCGCAAAGCGCAATACCGCCGTAGCATTGGCGTGGACAACTATGGCAATCCGATGTCGCAACACAACATGTCGGATTCTCGCTTTGACGGCGACTTCATGGCACAACGACGTCAGAGCAATGGCAGCATCGATGATGACCAAGACTTTTCACGTCGGATTCTGCAGGTGAGCTTGGCCCCACGGTGGATCGGGACGGAAGTCCCGGCTAACATACCCTCTAGGTGACCAATCCCGACCGACGCTAGAAGGAATATGATTCCAAGTCTCCTATGGACAGTGCCGGGGGTGAACCATCTAGGTTCTAACTCTGCATTTCCGAACGATTAAGCCATGCCCTTGCCTCATATCCTTTTGAACCTTACATTCGACCTTCGCTTGTCACAATACGTTAAGCTTCATGGAAGCTGCTCTTTCCCTCTTTTCCCATTCTTGCCCGCCTATTCAGCGACCTTGCGGTATCAGTGCATGACGGCAGACAGGATATGATGTCACCACCAGTGGTTATGAAAGATCTTCCGCTCCGAAACGGGTGCGGTTCATACCGCCCGTGGCGCATAACAACCTGCCAGGAGCACCGCCCTGAAAGATTCACGGTGACTCCAACTTCCCGAAAGCTTGGGGATCCTCGAGGACCGTCCGGGTCGCCCTCAGATCAATGGTTGTGATCACACTGCTGACCTGGGAATTTATGTATCGCAAAGGCCTCTGGAGGTCAGGGCTCAACGAGCCGGGCTGAAGCATGTCAGTCCAGGATCTCAGTTTTTGAAAAGGCGTTTGATGTGGGTTGTATTCTAGTCGGTTATCCTCGTGGGCAGCATTTATTTTCCCATACCTTCTGTTATTGAGCCGAGAACCCCATTTGTTCCATTTATGTGATGCTTGTTTCTATTGGCGATCTGCCGCTTTGCTTCACCACTTTGCTGCATATAGTAGCTTGTGATGTGAAGACTGTAAGTAAGGTGACGGACAGCCCTGTAGCTAATGTGAGGATGAATCGATATCATGTATTGCCGATACTTTCCAAGTCCCCCGCGACCGTCTGCTGTTTGGGCATGCTATGCCTTGCATAGATGAGGATCGCCAGTTAACAATATCTTCAAAAACTTCCTGGCAGTGTATAATATTTCCTCATCTGCGCCGTTGTGTCCACCCTAACCTGCTTGGTGAAATATCACCTTTTGCATAACGAATGCCTCCACCCAACAAGGACCAGTCATTTAATTAACATCACTCCAACAGTGAGAAGTTCACCGTTTCAAACCCAAGCCTATTTTCGTATCACACCATACAGATAAACACAGTTTCTCTCCCTTGGTTCTCTCGCCTTATCATCAAAGAATGAACTGATTCACATGTGAGTCATCAGGATAGATCAGAACTACAGCTCGAGTGGAAATTGCTTCATTAAATAGGTTATGATCTACGCAGGCCTGACTTGTATCAAGTATTCAGCATCAAGCATCTTGTATTTCGTATAGTATATTATATCACGATTTACCACGTGGCGTTGTGAATTCGCTTTACAAAGCGCTCGGGAAAATCAAACATAGTACTCAGTGGAAATTGATACAGGCTCTCTTCGTGAGTTATGACTTTATTACAGGTTCATTGAACTAGTAGATTCCTCCTGAAATGATTATCATTTGAGTGAGTGTGAGCTAAGGACGAAGTTTGTTCTCGTTGAAGTTGAAGTTATGTCGGATATCTACATCGATATATATTTAGGCTGTGTACGGGAAGTCAGTCTTTCGACTATAAAGATGATCATCCATTTCTTGACTGCTCGCATTATTCTGGTATCTCGTCACACCATATATAGGTAGTGAGGAAGTTAGTACATCTTATTGTTTCATGATTCTGGAGTCGCTGTTGTGAGAGGGGGGGGGGGGTTCTTCGAATCTCTAAGTGCAGTGGGTAGTGGATGCGACCGTGAGTTTATGAAGTGTTCTTTTTTTTTTTTTGATATCATGGGGATGGGGATTATTTCTTGATTCACTGGTGTTGAGTAGGGTGCTAGGTGTGATCTACTATATTTTATCTGATGAAGTGAGGCATGGGTTGGGTTTCCAATGATTTTCGTCACATCTTGTGGTTCTGGTTTACTTGTGTTGTTGTTGAGTTGGCGAGATGAAGATGATGGGCATAAATGCCGGATTCGGTCTGCCGTTCTGCTTTTCATATCATGGTGAATTTTATAGAAGATCGATTGAAGAGATACTAGGAATACTGGTGCAGTCCAAACAAGGGAGTTGGTGTTGTGCGATACTTCGAGATAGTAACTATGGGAGAGACGGCCTCGTACGCCACGGGAGTGGAACAAAGAACCGACCAACAGGAATGCACGGTCCCAACCCAGAATGCGGGGAGTACTTAAGCATTCCTTGTTCTTCATTGTCTGAAGACTGGAGACACACTCTTCACCTACCTGGAGCTTGAAGGCCTGTTGACGATCTACACCGCAGGGTGGATGTATATCTCTACCTATCTGCCCAAACCGCCCATATCTACACAAAAGGGGAACAGATATGCCTCGCAAACGTGACCCAAAGAGTGAAGGGGAACTCGGTTCCCCCCTGAACGGATCAGAGTCAGATCCACACCGAGCGCCGAAGAAGTTCAAATCGGCCCTCGGCACCGGCGATAGCGATGGCCTGCCCTGTGGTCTGGACCAATTCCGGACATATCCGATCCACAAGGTCAATCGACTCTTGGAGCCAGGCCCGATCCTGCTCGTGGCGACCGGCTCCTTGGCCAACAAGACGCACAACATAATGACAATGGGGTTCCACATGATGATCCAGCACGAAGAGCCAACACTGGTCGGGGCCTGCATTGGGCCGTGGGACAAGAGCTATGATAATCTAAAGAGGACGGGCGAATGTGTGCTCGCCGTTCCGGCTGTGGAGATGTTGGAGAAGGTCGTTGACATTGGCAATTGCAGTGGGGAGGATGTTGATAAGTGGGAGACTTTCGGGGTAAACCCGGTGCCGGCGCCGGATCCTGCCTTGGATTCTGGGTCTGGGGATGGAAAAGGGGCAGAGGAAGGAAGAGCACGGGCACCGTCAGTTGGAGGAGAGGGGGTGATTGCCAACATCCAATGTACGGTCCAGGATCGAGCGTTGGTGGCGAAATACAACTTGTGGGTATTGAGGGTGGTTGGAGCATGGATCAATAAAGACATGGATTTGGAATATGGGCAGGGAAACCAGACGCCAGGAAACGATAGCGATCCTGTTGGTGGTGGCAAACCAAGGAAGAGGGAAATGAAGATGGCTCACCATCGCGGAGATGGAAGGTTTGTGGTTGACGGCAAGGAGGTCGACCTGAGGGACAGAATGGTCAAGTGGAAGGAGTTTCAGGGTTAGACTTGCCCTGCCCAGCCCTGGATTGTGACCTGCAGCTGGCTGTAACAGATCTCTGTATGCTGTTTCATGTCATGTACCTGTGTGAACAAATATGCTGTTGGTAAGCAGACACTAGAGATTGGAGGTAGTGAGACAGTCGTAACAACGCTTTTGCCTATCTGATCCTAGTCAGTACGACCGAAGACTCTGCCCTGTGGATAGCATCATGCTTAATTTGAGGTTGCAGCAAACACGGGCGAGTCAGCAACAAACGCTGAACCAACATGTTGGTTCCACATGGTTCCTGTTGGTGGCTGCTCCTGTTGCACAGCGCGCGTAAAAGTTGGTACCCAGGTGAAGGAGCATCGATATCGCTGCGGATGCAGTACCGCAGTGTGATGATGCAGCATGCTGGGCAACAATGACGACATTTCTGCCTACGTGAGGGGTTCCCGAGTAGTTTGGGGACAGAGTTTCTATGCCACTGTGATTGCCCGGGATTCCCTGGAGATAAGGAGACCCTCGTGGCAAATGACCCCGCTGCCTTGCAACAACATCCCTGCCGTCTCGAGGCGCTGCATGATCGCCATAGTACTCAGCAGGGGATCCGCAGCCGGCACACGTGTGGACGGATGAAACACTCCTGGCTGCATGCAGAAGACTGGATCCAAGTCGGGGCGCCCGGCATATTAATCCGGGCGCAGTTAATTTGTTCTGTACATCTCATTAGTCGTCGGGTAAAGCCATTATCTGAAGGATTCCTGAAATAAGACGATGTATATCGACTAGCAGGGGATATAATCCTTCTAAGGTTTAATCCGTAAAAGGAAATGGCGGTGCAGCTGCGTGGCAGGATCGTTGCTAGCTTTGTCGGGTAAGGCGACTCTTCACGGCTAACAGTTAAGGTCATTTATAGGCCGCCCTGAGAAGAAGTATATCTGATCCCTGGCCGAGTTATTACTCAAATCTGATGAGCACTGGTCATCTCAGGTTACTCAAAGGGATGCAAATCCCGGCTGGAAACCATGACACTGAAAACGCTATCATTCGTGGCCAAACCGGCTGATATCAACAGTGAGATCAGACAATGTGGAAATCTGCCATCCCAACGCATGGTACCCCTGTTATGGGGCGGAATGACGGGCCTCGTGGCTCTGTTGCCTGTAACCATACTACAGGGTAGTTGCAGTAGCTTAAGCGACTGACTGCACGAAGATGCACGTCTCCCAAACTGGTATCCAACGTAACCTGTATGTTGGCGTATGGAATGTTCGAAGCAGCATGGAAGCTGCTTCTTCACCAATAGTAGCAGCTGGAAGGGCTGGTGTGACCGATCATCTTGCCTGCTATCCGGGCGGTTAGGTTACACCATGTCGAGCCCGGTGTCATTGATGGGGGCCATGCTAACAAGGGGCGTGCTGACAGGGGGCATGCTGACAGGGTTACAATATTTTCCGATCTTGAAGTTAGTCCGTGCCTAAATTAGGAAATCAGTAAGGAACCTTGAAAATGCTAGGAGGAAAGGCGGAAAGAAGCGTAAGCAATGGGTTACACAGGGGTTAAAGGATAGCAATACTCACTGCCAGGTTCTTCTCAACATAGCATACAGTCGATGTCCGTGCTACAGTGGCTGGTTGTGTGGAAACACTGAACGGACACCGGAAGGGCCGTTCCGCTTCTTGAAAAGTTAGGCTGGTCTGGAATGCTTCCGCCAAATACGAACGGCATCTCTGGTGTCGATCGCGGACATCATCGGCTGAGTCGCCCGGTCGGACATCCCGGCCTTCGGCTGCGTTTGTGAGCGACTGATGAGGCTGATTCGTCTGTTCGTCTATGGTTAAGGCGGGTGCAGGATACGTAAAGGTCCATATGAGGGTGGACAATCATGCAGGCCAAATTCGACGAGCTGGACTGGATTGCTTGGCAGTGGGGGAGTAGACATCGTCTCAAGGCTTCTGCGTTGGGATGCGGACTCTCCGTAGCCGTCTCTTCAAGTTCATCTTGTGCTAATTAGTCAAGGGGGCCTTAGTACGTGACTAGTGTCATGGTTAGCTGGCTGGCTAGGAACCGTCCCCTGGTCCTCCCAGATTAGCCCCAGCGGACGGCTCGAGCGACTTAATTAGTCCAGTGCACGGCGGTTCCCCGAACCTTTAGCTGATGCTAGCGTCCTAAGGAGGACATTAGTGAGCGCGCCGGACTTGGATATCTGATGATAGCGCTGGCTGACCCGCGGGACAGTTCCGTTCACCTCGCAACTGGAGACTGGAGGTGTGGATTGTTGGAACGGAAAGAGCTCCATTATCCTGGGCCTCTCCAGTTCAAAGAAATTAGGACGGGAGCGGAGCATGGTGTCTTTGTTGTTGGTCTTCAATTTCCCTGAGTCAGAGACATCACAGGGCGTCTGTGGAGGCCGAGGGCATTCGCCAAATAAGCCCAGCCATCCTACAGTGTCGCGCGAGAGATATCTGCAGCGATGATTGCTTGCCCTTTCCAGCAACCGACAGGGACTACCTGCAAGGCAACGTGCAGTGTATGTCCAAAGTAGCAGGCCAGTGCAGGCTTTGGATCGGAAACGGGGATTCAGGAGACAGAACGCCTACCGGACGCCAGAATTCCCCGTCCTGCCGAGCCACTTGGTTTGGCCCCGTGAGTGGATTATTGATTACCTAAGGCGGGACAGCCTCAGGCAAGGCGGATTCGGATTCGGATTTCGATCCCCATTGCTCATGGCTCATTTCCAGGACTCATTCGATCGCTTTGGAGAAAGAGCCTTAGCCCCGCAAAGGGGCAGAATCGTTGATTCTAGCAAACTACATGGGACCTCTGTCTCAGCTTCGAGGTGGACAACAGGTAGTGAGTCGAGATGAGGTGAGATGATCATGTTTATCATGCCACCTTGCCTTGGAAAAGTCCTGTCGAAGGTTTCGAGTAAATGAAGTAGGATTGTCCTTCTCGCGTGGTACCGGAGTTCGTCAAACCCTGGGGGTGCAAATCATTACACAATGGGCCCGACGTGTCACCAGTATCTTTCTACGAGCAGGGCTGATCCGGTCATCCTCACACGACAAGACCTTTCGGGTCCAAGGCCGGTGATGGAAGCTAAGATATAGGATCACGTTGCCGCCGTGTAGTCCAAAACTGTAAATCCTCCAGGTTCCAGGAGACCTTCACTTGATGGGGCATCCTCTGGACGCAACCGGCGCACGGAGTACGGTGCCCGAACCACAACAAAACCCCCTCTCAAATTCCCCTCAGGAAAGATCACGGATCGGGGCAGATTCTGGCTCCGACGGAGGTATAATGCCGCCGGATTCCGACCAACTTCACAACTACCTGATAGGGTAACCACTCTGAAGTGTATACTCGATTCAGAGAAACGGATACACGGGCGTTGACGATGCATGTTGTCGTGGAAGCGTTTCAGACTTTCAGGACCATCAGCAAGCCGGTCAGGCTTTTCCGACGCAATGATGACTGCAGTAGCCTATCGTCACTTTGCATGTCTAGTGCGGGAGTTGAGTGTTCTTCCCAAGGGCAACCTTTGCGAAATGCCTGCAGCGCCCGGCGTCAACACTAGGTACGGTATTTCCCACTTCAGATAGCCAATCAACGCCCCCGGTCTACAGGGAGCATGCCCATCATACTCCATGAACAGTCTAGTGCAAATGCCGCTCTCGAGTCCTTGGTGGGGCGCAAACGGGCACATGACAGGTCTTGATTGCCTAGATCTTCCAAATCAGGCCTTGGGCAGTCTAGTGGTGACGCTCCATCCATGACGCTTGGTGACCGTATTCTATATCACCATGCGTACTCCGTATAGATACTTGTGATAGCTGAGTGGGTACCGAGTAGTACCTTCAGGGGCCCTCACTGGATACCCTTGGGTCTAGGGCGTACATGGGTAGAATGTCGCCATGGATGGCTCTGACCGTCTTGAGAGGTGGCACTAAGCCCGTGGTTCTTTCTTTCTTCCTTCCCCACACCAGGACCACGTTGTCGACTGGCTGTCCCTCGCTACCTCGTGGCGCGAGAGGTCGGAAACTGCCGCGGAGTACGGATCCTAACCCTCCCATTGTTATTATTAGCCCCAGGCTCATTCTTCTATCATGTTGATGTGCCCATGCCTGCTGTCGCAGATGACGATGTAAGAGGCATACCTGCCCTACCTCGCTATCCCGGTACGTAGAATATGCTTTCTTGTGCTTTTTCCTTTTTACGAGCCAGCTGCTCGTGTATGACCATTATAGAACTTCCGCGCGATAACCCAAGCGGCCACACCTAATAGCATGTCAGCGGACTTGAAAACTTTGGCATTGTATCCGGATTAGTGCGCACGGAGACCTCCCCAGGGCTTCCACATGGTTGATCCTCTCACCCGTCTCGTCGTTGCGCCCCGAGGGATCATAATCCTGGCATGGGGTCCCTCCACGTGAAGGCTCGAGAGCCAGTGGGGGATGGGGGCGGCTGGGTGTAATGGCTATGCATGACGGCCCTTACGTCCAAGCCTGAGGCATACCTAGACTGTCTAAACAGAACCCACAGTAGCTAAGCCGCCTCCTGGATTTTGATTAGCTGGTCGACGAGTAGATACCTGTTTGTGTCTAGATACTCCGTGGGGCTTTTTCTTGCAGACTAGCTTCCCCGACAGGGCAGACTGCGGTCTGCCCGTCAGCATAGAGTGCTGTCAGTGCTTCACTGCCTTCATTGCTGTCGCGATAATTGACCCGTCTCAATTAAAGCATTTGTCATGATTGAAAGTCACAATGATTGAACTGTAATGCACTATCTGCACAAGTCGCCTGGTGGGCGTCAGCAATTGCTATTGCCATCAGTTAGGACACTTGGATCGGGGAATACAGGACATACTACCTGCTACTAAGGCTCACCGTAGAACCCGCTTATCATGGGGGCTTTAATTTGCTGAAAATCATACCATGTTGTCGATCCCAGACACATGGCTGCCAAGATAACCTGTCATTAATATAACGCCTGTTATGTGGCAGCCATATTAAACCCCCTATAGTAAGGCTGTTATCATCAGTTATGGCACAATACCCCATACAATCCGAGCCATCTCGGTATAGGTTGGCCTCCACTTTCGAAAAGTTGTAGTTGGTATTGCTCTAAGGGCTCGGGCCCGAGCGAATCCACCCGGCCACAACCAAGTCCTTTCACGGAACGGGATTGCCGCAAGCCCGCGACCCTCATATGGGGGCAACAAATCCAGGTCATACGGAGCACAACTCTCTAAGACCGTAAGACGGTGTGACCTGGCTCTTCCTTGATTGACTCCAATGTCGCCTGAGAAGTTCAAACCCCTTGATTGTGCTGCAGCTTGGCATGCAGAACTTCTTGGATTAGGTCATCAGTGGTTATTCCGGGCTTTTAGAACAATGCTTATTCACATTCTCCTCCAAGCGCGAGGGCTCAGCCTGCAGAGCGAAGCACTCTGATCAACAGTTTGAAACAAGCTAGAAGCCTGCGTGAAGGTAGAAGGTGGCAGGGGCGTCAGCGTTGGCTGGTCGATTCGTTCTCCTCGTTCCTTCCGCGTAGGGAAACCCAAGGAGAATCAGTGCTCGAGGATGCTTGCCCCACAGGGCTGGACATTCATTTCGTTTCTCCCGTACACTAAGAGTACCCAGTACCCAGCCAGGAGGTCCTTGGCACCTCGAGGCTCTCTTGTTAGAGCCGCGACAGACTACTCCAAGATACCCACACACTAAGTAGTCGGTACCTCTGAGTAATGGTATTCCTTACATTACATGGGTGGATCCGCTCAAGAAGCGGTAACCATGTGGGTAAGGCTAAGGTTTCCTAGCACTCAGATCGTTCATCATTCTCATATCGCTACCAACATGGAGCACTGTGCTTAGGATTACCTCCAGTTCATCTTTGGTATACTGCTTGAGAACAGCGCGCATGGCTGGGGTAACCTAGCCACTGAAAGCTGGAAGTAGGCATTCCGGAGACTGGCTGCTGGTCGGATTCAAGGTGAGGATGTAGAGTGCTTATCTCAGCTAACGATTCATTTCAGTGTCACCCTTTTCTTTTCTTCCTGTGCCCCTGCGTCTGGATGCTAAGTCTTCCTCCCGTAGCCTGCAGAGAGGGTAGGCCCCCAATGATGACAGGTACCAAATCACATGGTAGTCAGGGTAGCGCGCATGCAACCCTTCATGAAACATTGCTTGGCAGGCAGACTCGAACTGGCCGGCAATAATCCGGAAGATTCGAAGATCGTCAACCTGGTTAGCCTTAGGCAACAGCAACCATGTCGTTGCACGTGGTAATATTACAGGCTCTACTACTGTGACCCAGTCGCTAACTTGCTATATGGGCCCGTGACATGGAGCGCATGTCACCAACTCACTGAATCGTCAACGGATACCCCGTAAAGGCCTGTTGGCTAGTAATTGGCCCCATACTACGGAGTATGATAAGACAACAGCTAGATACTCCACAACACTAGAGGAGGCTCGATCGATCATCCATGCTATGACAGTGGACACCGGGCGGGATCGGTTGCGAAGAGCCTGCCCGGTTAGGAAAGCAGAAGAGGCTATCGCAGGCTAGCGTTGCACCGTTGAGAGGCTTTGCAGTTTGCAACACGGTTGAGGAAAGGAATACTGGCTAACCGTGACAAACAAAGATCATGCAGAAGGAGACAGATCAACGAGGTCCGCGGACATAATTCAGCAGCATCATCATGGGCTGCAGCAGAGGAGTTATTCTTAGGAACCATCCAGCATGGTCTCCTGCATTTGGATACTTGAAACAGCCGAATCCCTATTTTGACATGAACATTGATCTCGAATAGTGGTCCGGGCGGTGGTTGGGGAGCAGGTTTGCTGCCGTACCACCTGCTGAACCCTATCGCTCTCGTCCGGATGTCAATTGTCAAGAGTCAAGACCAAATGCACTGAGTGGGTGGCCCCACTTAGTCTATGTTTAGCTTGGATAGGCCATGGCCAGTGTGGCCCGTGGAGTATCTACGGAGTAACCCGCCTCTTTTAGCGGTTAAGCCTTTTCTCCTTTAGCTTAGGGTGCTTCTTAGTCCTTGGGCTTCAGCAGACCATGTCCAAAGTGGAGCGCTGGAGGCTTGGGGGAAAGCCTGAGGAGTGACAGCGAGGACGGCCTGCTGGGCTATCCTGGCCAGATCAGTCCTGCCACTACTTTAGCCTGCCTAAGTCTGTTGTTGGTTGGCAAGCTAGAGGACAACAGGCCTGGCCATAATGTATTAATGATGATGCGATCTCATATTGGCATTAACCGAACGCTCCAATCAAGAGGCTCGGGAAACCAACAAGTTTCCCACTACTCATGCAGCTTCTGCATGATGTCTGCTCAGTGCCGGCGTCTCCTTATCGACACTGCCTCTACCCCGTACATCGCTTCAGAGACTGCCCCCATGTCCAGTAGCTCACCTGTTCGCCCTTTGGTCAGTAATTCAATATCATCGCAATTAGGATAAAAGAATGACCGGGGTGAGCCACTATAATGCAGTTGGTATCACCCAAGTCCGATGACGCCAGTTGCCTGGATAGTATCAGAGCCGCAGCAGATACTGCTTGTGTACTTCGTATGACTCGTATACGGAGTAAAAGCTGACAAGATCGATCTAGCCATGTGCACACTGCACAGGGTATTGCCAGGGGAGTGGGGTATCCCTAATCCCCCTCTTTCTCCATATCTTCTCCGTAGTCATCCTCCTTTCCCTTCGAAAGGATGTTCAGTCTCCGCGGATTCCGTTAATTAATTTGATTTGGGTTGGGAACGTGGGAAGGCTAACTTTCCTTGATCCTCGTGGCGGCCGGGACTGGCGATCGGAAAACCCATGGATCAGCTTATGCAGTGGACTCAGTGGAAGCCAACACTGGACCGTTGAAGTGTATTGCGCCGTGGTTCGTCCGACCGGCTAGACTAGTCGACGAGCAAGGCACAAAGGTCCAAGAGCCTACGTCGTCAATCGTCTGCCAAAATAATGGCGCCCCAGGGCCTCTCCTTCTTCACCCCATCATGCAGTACGCCTCAGCCGCACTGCTTGGCTACTACTCCGTAGTACTTGTCGCTTGGGGGGAATGTTGGCCCCGTGTCGGCTGTCATTTGCCCGTTGAACCAACGGGCCCCGTCCAGACGGTGGATGAGACCAGGCCGGAAGAGGGAAGGAATGGTTGACCATCGTTCCTCCTGCAGGATGACAAAAAGGCCATCCCGTTTTTTTTGGTGGACTCCCGTATTCATTCATTCGCTACTCCGTATTATTATCATTATTGTTATTATTACGATTATTATTATTATTATTATTATTCCCCTGACCGGATCAATTAGATTGATCCGTCAATAAGCTGCATCGGGCAACAGATGACTGAATTCCAATTACTCGAGTTTGATCCGCCGGTTAGCGTCGCACTGCTCCCCGATGGGCGGACTCCCGTCCAACATAGCCATGCTTGCTTGCTTGCTGTAGCACCCTGCGATGCACTGGTTCGCTTAGGTGCATTCATTCCCTGGTTCAGCCGACGAGGATTGGATGATAATCTCATTGTCCTATTTATTTTTATCTCTGCTTATTCTTATGATTATCATGATTAAGGTGATTTATTTTATTCATTTTAATTTGGGTATTTTTCCATTCTGACAGAATAATAACATTTATTTTATTTTATTTTATTTTATTGGAATGCCCTTCCAAATCATCTCCCCTCCCCTCCTCCGGCGATCGCTCGGGGGGGCCTCTTTGTCGCCGGGCTAGCCACATTGGGGGGTTCTTGTATATCACTGCAGCTTGGTGCTCAATGCTTACCCTTCGACCCTGGAGCCTCTCTAGACTCTGCCACCATTACCTACGTTTCAGATCGTCGCTTTACTTTTTTCCCCCTCCATCTCACTGCCCCCATCTTAGCTTGCAGATGCGAGGCATTTTTCTTGCTTCATCTCGTTAGAGCTCACTCTTCTGGGCCCTTCCCCGATTCTACTAGCATCGTTGCATCACAGCCCACCTTCCCACTTCTCCCCCCCCCAATCTCCACACGACTACCACATGTTCCGTTCCTGACAAGGTCTGGGTCTTGTCACAGAATGGTCAGGGATCTTCTCCTCCAGGAACCAAAACTATATCTTCCACCCGTTCGCCAATCCAACTCCTGTCTATTCTCACTTCATCACGGCAACTCTATAAAGTCAATTGTTCCTGCCCCTTCATCCTCTGAACAACTACAACACTCCTCCCAACAACTACTACAACAACTAAATCAACCCCCTTCTGCAACATCGCCACACACAACAGACAGGAAGAAAGCATCCACAATGCGTCGAAGCACTACTCAATCGGAGATCCCTCTCCCTATTACCTACACCCCAACCACACACCGCATCAGCAAGGCAAAGAAGGGAAAGCGGGTGCATGCCTGCGAATACCCGGGCTGCAACAAAGTGAGTTTCACGAAGATGCCAGCAGACTGACACGAACCGTGACTGACATCTCAATTCAGGTTTTCACAAGAGCAGAGCACAGAAGGTAAACCATTGCCCTTGCGTCTCAATGTCTTCGCTCGTGTACATACTGACCTTCAGATGTAGACGCCATGAGTTGAACCACAACCCAGAAGCTCTATTTCGGTGTACCCACAGCCACTGCAAGAAGGCCTTTCACCGTCCGGACCTTCTGGCACGCCACATGGAGAGACAGTACGTCATACTACCGTGAGCAAAGCAAATTGCCATGTATACTGACAAAGATCTCTAGCGAGTTGGAAGCACAGATGGATCGGACAGCCCAATGGCAACAGCAGAACCGCACTCCCATCATCTCCGAGCCCTATGTACCCACCACTACGACGATGCCCACGAGCCAAGGGCCGTATCTAGCTGTAACCCAGCCGCAGAATGCGATGTCGGTGGGATCACTCGTGGCACCTGCTATTCACCCGGATCTCTCCAACGACTGCGGTATGATGTGGAACAGCGTGGAAATCCCATCTGGGCACCAGACTCCCTTGTACCAGGGTCACCATCAAGTCCACGAGTCCGTAGAAGACAGTCGGTATTACGCTACCCCGGAAACGTGTCCGTCCCCTCTCTCGGACGGAACTTCCCTCTCAGTTCACTCCCACTCCCGTTCATCTGCTGTCTCCACACCGGTCACAGTCGTTGAGCCATATCCTGAGAGTCTCATGGAACCCGACCTGACTTCCTCGCCAATGTCCATGCAGTCGAACATGCGTTGCTGGGAACAGCCAGACATCAGCCTCCCCTCCCTGAGCATGATGCCGCTCCCTCTCACCGAAAGCCTTCTCCAACCGGTATGTCGACCAGAAGACCCCTTACAATTTTGTCATATCTAACTTGGCCATTTACAGTCCATCCACTGCCCTTATCCATCTCCTGGCTGGTCAACCACCCACCACCTGGCATACGACGACCATACTCTTCCGCCCGCAGCGTTTCCGCCCGCGATGAACTGGAAGTCATGGGCGCTGTGAATGCCAGCGAAGCCAACACGAAGTGACGATCCTAAACTCTTGAACACCGACACCCGACTAGCGGATTCGCCGGTGCTTAATCGGGGCTTATGAGCCGTGTTTTTATACGACTAATTCGCTATTGCTCGCCCTATCGGGACCCCCGCTATGAATGAGGCGCAGCGATGCGTACTAATTTTTCTGATACGCATAATTAGCGCGAAATCGGAATAATGCAACCAAGAGAAGGGCAAACCAGGACAATGAGAAGCGGAGCAGCTACAAATCGTCGCTTTCAACTTGTTCTCACACCTTTCGGCAGAACTATAATACGACGTTAATGTCGCGATGCAGCGAGACTACTCGAAGCCGGCATCGCGGGAATCACGAGGTTCCCACAAAGCCACAAAAGTATTGTCGGCCTATCTTCCAATTTTTGTGCTATCTTTCCTTCAAGTCTTTTCAATTCTTTCCTATGTTCTCTCTACATATATTTCCTTTGTTATCCTGTTTGGAAAAAGCCCTGACTTTTGAGTCTTTTTTTGTTCTCCTTTTCTTCTTCTCTTCCCTTCTTTGTCCAAATATCTCCGATTTCCGTCTTCACCTTTACTTCTTTCTCATGATTATATACCCATGTTGTGGCTTTCTCATTTTTACTTTGTTTGCAACGCGCACAGTTGACTGTTCATATGCTATGCTATATTGAGTTATGTTATGGTCTACGCTTTGATCTTGATGCTTTATCTGAGCCAATGATGTTTCTTCTTCTTTTTCATGCGACCCTGTACAATGCCTGATTGACTTTCATATAAACTTCTGTATATTAGATAGACTAGTGCAGTTTCTTGCAACTTGATTGGTCTTATATTTCTCAGGATATACTTTCTTAGACATGGATACTGGCCAATGCAAATCGTGCTTCTTGACTGGTCGCTTATTAGTAAGAGATTTCTTAGACTGAGAAGAAGGGCCACCCTAGACTGGTGCCTGGACAAGTACTTGCTTTTGCTGAATTGCTGTGGGTGAAGATGGGTATCAAAAAGGTCGTATCGAAGATTGGGTCTAGATGAAGTGCTTGTTGTTATCTGGATGGGGTCGGTTGTTAACAGATGATTGATGATGGTTGGTCGGGATGAGACATGTGATATCAAGCTATGATGAAGGGATCTAGATTACTCGACCGTATTCACGACTCCATATCTACTGATGATCAGGCCTGGTACTTGATAATCCATCGGGCTAAGGCTCGCATCGTTAACTAGCGCTCTACAGCTCGCCCTTGGCCGGAATGACTCTCCAACACCATCCACACCAGCTTCGATGCTGCCCCCGCTCCTCTCTGATAAGGTAATCGCCCGTTTCACGTTCATCCTCATGCTCGACTACACAAGCACCGACTGTGACCCGCTTCTTTGCTTTCTGTTTCACCCGCCCTCCAATGCCGATGATTTCCTGTCGGAAGTAGCCAGGTTCCTCTTCTTCGCGATGATCCCATCCCTCATTGATGTGATTGAGGTGGCGTGGAGGACTCTGGCTGTGCCGGTGTTCGTAGTAGCGGCTGTAGTCAGGAGGGCTCCCTGATGCTTCGTCCGCTTCGCACTCTACCTCCAGCTCAATCTCTTGGGCCGCAAGGCAGTCCTCTCCGCGACCACACTTGACGCCCTGGCAGCCTTCCCCAATCCCTGTGCCTAGACCGCCAAGGTATGTACTGTATCGAGTGCGCCACGTCCAAACCCGACGGTAGGTCGTATCGTTGCTGCGTACTTGGTGCCCGCATTGATGGCAGAGCCATATAGCATCATCGCAGGAGCATGGGGTACGCCGGAATGCAGAGATTACCGACCGGGGAGGATGCGTGGATGGAGCAGTGTAGGTATTGGGTGGATGGGTGTGTTCGTAAGGTGGCTCGATTAGGTCGCTTAAAGGGGCCGTACGACATGTGGTACACAACCGACGAATACGATGTTTCAGCATACTGCTGGATGGTGGCTTTATAGTGCAATTCTAGGAGGCATGTGTCTTAGAATCATTATAGTACCACATAGCATTCGGCTGGATGGACTTACGCGACACACAACTTTAGAACATCGGCGGCATTCAGCTACCATGTCTCGGGCACACTTAGCGATCTTGCCACTGGTCATGCGGCCAGAGCTCCTGGCATTCTGGCTGAGCAACCGCAGAACCGACTTGACGCTGTTGGGAATAGCAGTCCCGCTATCCAACATGTCCGACAGTGTCTCGATGTACTCATTTTCGCAACGCAAGGTCTGCTTGATCAGCTGCTGGCGATATGGGGCCAGATTGGCGTGGAATTGACGGCATGTTCGGGAAAGGGCGTGCAAAGTATTCAAGTCCACCGAACGAGCGATCTCCTTGATGATTCTGTACCCGCAGTCAGCACAACATACAGAACCAGACACTGGAGCGGCCTGGTTCAAAGTGTCTCATACGGATAGCAGCTCAAAGCAGCCGAGAAAGCGTTGCGATTCGGATTTTGTTGTTCTTGAGGGAGGAAAGGAATGTTGTGCAACGGATCTGCAGAGCGATCGTCGTCTGCCGATACATCCGCTGAGCGATCAGGCTCCCCCGCACCAGCGGGAAAGGGCTTGGATAACCTGGGCTTTTTGGGTTCTATGTACGAATAACGGTGGGTATGAGAGGGGCCCGATATATGATGCGTGTTGAGGACATCATCATCGTAGTCGATAAACACCACCATCCTGCTTTGAGGGTAGAATAATGCAGTATGTAGGGAAGAGTTTCACACGTTCCACAGGAGTTTGCTAGCCGGCGGCAGACTGAAAGAAGAACGACAAGACTCAGGCAGGCCAGAGAGATCAATCCGGCTGGGCCATAATAGGCTTATAATGCGTACAACCGGGTGTGCGTGTCCGTTGACCCGTGCAGTGGAATGATACGGCAGGGAATCATCCAGCTCCGGGTTCGGCGCGGGTCCTTGAGATCAATCGCAGTGGTTCGTCTCGGCGATCCAGGATCCGTGGCGGGATTGCTGGGTCTGATGGGGGGTTTGGAAGTGGATCCGGCAGTTTCAGGCAGATTCTGCAGGGGAATAGGAAGACAGAGAGATCATATCAGATCCTCCTCGTGGGATCTCAACCATCTTATCGGGCGATGGGGGGAAGGATGATGGACGATGGATGAGTCGCAATTCCCAACGTCACGCGTCCGCCGTCAGGTGCGCGCGCCTTCCCCGTTCGGGCCTGGCCGCGCCCTTGTCTCTATCCGGAAGGTGCTCCTTTGCTCCTTCCCTCCGCTCTTCCGCCTCTACTTCGCTCTTCTCCTTTCTTCCTCCTCTTCTCTGGCCTCAGCTCTATCTTTACTTTGTCTTCCGCAAGTATACAAAGGGATGAAGGCGTGGCCTGTTTCGGTGACATGATGCTCAATTGTGTGTTCTAGTCATTCCGACCCATGGATGCATCCGCGCCCCCGGGGAGCCCCCCGAAGTATCCTCGGGAAATGCCCCGACTACCCCGATAAGATAGCGTCTCCAACGCGGCGGGGTAAAGCACCTCATTCCCCTGGCCGCACCGGATTGATCAATGGCTCCAACCCTTCGCTATCTCACTCCCATTCCAGCTCAGGGACCTTAAATTCCTCCCTTTACCCTTGGACCCATCTCCGCCGGTTATCTTCTGAACCTTCCTCACCCCACGCGGAGCTCTACCGAACCGCAATCATCGCCTCACAACACGCCAAGATGCCTCTAAACTCCAGAGCTGTTTATTCTCGGCTCAACCCCGATTTCGCCCCTTTTGCAAGTCGAAGGAGTACTGTTCACAGTACAAAAGGCATAGTAACTTGTACTCAACCCTTGGCGGCCGCTGCAGGCCAAAGAATTCTGAGTGAAGGGGGTAATGCTGCAGTATGTTGTGGACAAATTCGATTCTCTTTAACAGGATGTGCCGCTGACATCTATACTAGGATGCTGCTGTGGCCGTAGGTCAGTGAAAGATATGACACCAACAGGATTTGGAACTAATAGAAGTTTGTCCAATAGCCGCTGCACTGAACATCACGGAGCCTTCATCCACCGGCATTGGCGGTGACATGTTCTGTCTATTCTACGATGCTAAGACCAAAAAGGTTCACTCGTTGAACGGCTCTGGCCGATATCCCGCCAATGCTACGCTCGAGAAGATTAGGCAGGATCTGAAGATTGGCCCTGACGACTCTGGGAGTATACCAATGACCAGTGTCCTGGCCGTAACAACCCCTGGTGCAGCTGCAGGATGGGTGGATACAGTTGAGAAGTTTGGCAGTGGAAACCTGTCTCTGGAACAGATCCTGCGTCCAGCTATTGAGCTAGGCGAGGACGGTTTTCCTGTGTCGGAGCTCGCATCTTTTTTCGTAAGCACATATCGCCCTTTCATCCTTACCAGCCACCAGAAATTAACCTCTCACTAGTGGCACGAAAGCGAGCATTTGATCCGTGATGCATCTCCTAATTACCATGAGATGCTCAAGCCCGATCCGAACGCCCAAGATGGTGTTAGGAGCCCTCTCCCGGGAGAAATCTTGAGGAACCCCACGCTCGCTCACACATTCCGAGCACTCGCCGCAGAAGGGAAAAAGGGCTTCTATGAAGGTCGCGTTGCAGAGGAGCTGGTCAAAGTCGTTCAGGATCTGGGAGGCTACATAACCCTAGATGACCTCAAGTACCACGCGGAAACCGGAAGCCAGGAAACGGAGGCCATCTCACTCAAATTTACCGGTCAAGATATTGTAGAGAAGCAGACAGCTGGAACGTCTGATGAAGCCAACCAGGGCGTTGAGATTTGGGAACATCCGCCAAATGGACAAGGTATCGTTGCGCTAATGGCCTTGGGTATCCTTGAGGAACTAGAGCGTACGGGAAAGATTCCCAAGTTCACTGAGTCCCAGCATAATTCTGCTGAGTATTTGCATGCTGTCATCGAAAGTCTTCGTATTGCGTTTGCTGATGCTTCTTGGTGGGTCACTGACCCGGACGTGGAGAAGGTTCCTAGCAAGGACCTCATATCGCGCGAATACCTGGCGGAGCGGGCCAAACTTTTCAGCCCTGAAAAGGCGTCCGATATCCTTGACCATGGTAGCCCCGCGCACAATCACTGTGACACTGTCTACTTTGCAGTGACAGACAAAGAAGGAAATGGCATATCTTTCATCAACAGCAACTATGGTGGATTTGGGACGAGTATCATACCCAAAGGGTGCGGATTTACGCTCCAAAATCGGGGTGCGAATTTTTCGCTGACCCCTGGGCATCCGAACGCCTTGGCCCCGCGCAAACGGCCCTATCATACCATCATCCCGGCAATGATCACCAACATCTCTGATGGTTCTCTGCATTCGGTATATGGTGTCATGGGTGGCTTTATGCAGCCGCAAGGCCACGTCCAGGTCCTGCTTAATATGCTTGCATTCAATTATCACCCACAGGCTGCGCTTGATGCGCCCCGAATCTGCATCGCGGCTGGCAGTCCTGAGATAGGAAAGACTATTGATCGTACAGTCTATGTTGAAGAAGGAGTCAGCGATGAAGCTGTCGAAGGCCTCAAGCAGCTGGGTCATCAGGTCAAGGTCCTGACTGGATGGAAGAGGGGCATGTTTGGTCGAGGACAGATCATCCGTTGTCACTACGATGATGGAAAGTTGATATACAGCGCAGGAAGTGACCTAAGAGGCGATGGACTGGCAATTCCAGTCGTGTGAGACATACCAATACATCATAACCTCAAGTGTTGAGACCTAAAACCATACGCATACTAATGTATAACAAGTGATTCTATCACATCAGATCATCGTATTCCAAGCTCCTTAATAGCCAATATTGGATCAATAAGGAGTGACGCGAGGTAGAACCCCATGAAGAATCCATTTGCTTCAATGCACATGTAGCACTTTTGTAGATGACACAAACTAAGAATACGACATATACATAGTATAACCACAGATAAAGAAGAATTCATCATCATAAATTGCATGCAACACACTAGAGATGTTAAGATACATGAGAATAGAACCGAAATAGGCTAAGCTCACACAAAAACCACAAGTGCCCCGTTCCATATGCTATGATCGCTGATGCATGCAATGAAGGGACGGACAAATGAAATGGGTCAGTCAGGAGAGAAGTACATGAAAGTAATATGATCTGCAAGAAAAAGACCAGGAATAGAATCGTGGGAAAAGAAACTAACACCCAAGCAAATCATCAGTGAGCAGCAATGGCGGCCTTGAAGAAGTCTTTCAGTTTGGAGGAACCGCTCGGCGGGGGAGAAGGCTCGCGGCGATGTCTGTGATGACGATGGCGATGTTCGCCGCTCCGATGAGAGCGACGTTGTTCAGACTCTTCTTTTTCTCTTGCCCTTGCTTCTTCCTCCTGCTCGGCTTTTCTGCGCTCCCGGCGAGCTTCCCGTCGAGCCCGGGCTTGGGCTTCTTCGTCGTCGTCGGGCCGCGAGCCACCGGAACGCTCACTGCTGCTTTTGCCTTCCTGCGATTGACGATGGCTGCTGTGGTGGCTAGAAGAGGATCTTCTCTCTCGGTTGTAGACATTGGCGGAGACTTTGTTGCCGTTGATCTTCAGCAGGGGTCCATTTGTGTCGGACTGCGCCTCAGCCATGTACTTGAGGAAGTACTTGGATCCTGCTTGTTGCGTGTGACGTGACGAAGAGGAAGAGCTGCTCTTACGCTCCATTTCCTGGTTTCCGGAGTGATCTGAGCGTTGACTGGACCTGGCTGGTGCGCTCTCCTTTCCACTCACGGAACGTTCAGATTGCTCTGCTGAGTTTGCAGATCGCTCAGAGCGTCTTGCACGCTCGCGCTCCTGTTCACGTTCTTGTTGCCGCCGCTCTTGATCACGGGCTTGTCTGCGCTCTCGCTCTCGCTCCTGTTTGCGCTCTTCTTCTCGTCTCCGCTGTCGCTCTCGCTCCTTTTCTTGTTTGCGTTCTTCTTCCCGTCTGCGCTCCCGCTCTCGTTCGCGCTCTTGTTTGCGTTGTTCTTCTCGTTGGCGTTCTCGTTCACGTTGGCGCTCTCGCTTGCGTTCCTCCTCTCGTTGACGCTCTCGTTCGCACTCCTGCTCTTGTTCTTGTTCGCGCTGGCGTTCCCGTTCGCGTTGGCGCTCCCTCTCCCTATCTCTTCCTCGCTCTGAAGGTCGGCGCTCTTTCTCGATAGCAATAGTCTTCTGCTTTTGTTTTTCTTCGTGCTGTCTCTTGGACTCCCTCAAAGCTTGTGCCCATCGACCGGCAAGACCGACACGCTCAGTCTCCTGTCGCTTTAATGATTGACGACCATCAGAAGAACTCCTCGACTCTTTGCGATTGTACTCAACCTCAGGCGATCTTCTGTGCCTCCTTCGTGATGAATGAACTGCTGCGGCGGCAGCGGTGGCAGCAGCAGCAGCGACGCCGGCGCCAAGCAAGATCTCCCCTTTCGAGGATTCGGTAGCCTCGGTTTCCTCTGAAGGCTCCGAGCTCGGATCTGCCTCATACCCTTCGCTTTCATTGATATTGTCTTCCGGAAGTGGCTCCACGGGATCTGACGGTTCGACAGAAATTGACTTCTCGATAGGTTCTGTCTCTTCAGATTGAGTCGGCTGCTCCTCGGGGGTCGATTCTTCGATTACTGGAGCTTGTTCTTCGGCAATCTGCTCTTCGATAGCGGCAGGTTCCTCCGCGGTAATAGTTTCCTCGGCAGCTGGTTCTTCAATGGGAGCCGGTTCATCGGCAGCGGGCGCTTCTACTGGAGCAGGGTCTTCGGCAGGAGCACGTTCCACGACTACTGGCTCCTCAGCAGCAGGTTCGTTGGCAGCGGGCTCTTCGACTGGAGTAGGCTCTTCGACTGGAGTAGGCTCTTCGACTGGAGTAGGCTCTTCGACTGGAGTAGGCTCTTCGACTGGAGTAGGCTCTTCGACTGCAGTAGGCTCTTCGACTGGAACAGGTTCTTCAGCTGGAGCGGGTTCTTCAACTGAGGGTTCTTCGACTGGAGCAGGCTCCTCGACTACTGGCTCTTCAGCAGGAGCAGGCTCTTCAACGGAAACAGGCTCCTCGATTACTGGTTCTTCAGCAGCGAGTTCTTCGACAACAGCAGGTGCTTCAGCAGCAGGGTCTTGATCAGGTACTGGATCCTCAGGAGCAGAATCCTCCATGGGAGCAGGCTCCTCAGCAGCTGATTCTTCAATGGGAGCCGGTTCTTCGACGGAAGCGGATTCGTCAACTGCGGGTTCTTCAACTGCGGCCTCTTCAACTGCGGCCTCTTCAACTGCGGCCTCTTCAACTGCGGCCTCTTCAACTGCGGCCTCTTCAATTGCGGCCTCTTCAATTGCGAGCTCTTCGACAGGAGCAGGCTCCTCGGCAGCAAGCTCTTCCGCTGGGGTCGGTTCTTCAGCTGCCAGCTCCTCGGCAGCAGGCTCTTCCACTGCAGGCTCTTCCACTGCAGGCTCTTCCACTGCAGGCTCTTCCACTGCAGGCTCTTCCACTGCAGGATCTTCCACTGCAGGCTCTTCAGCATGAAGCTCTTCAGCCGCAGGTTCCTCGACAGAAGGTTCTTGAACAGACACAGGCTCCTCGACAGGGGTGTCTTCAGCAGGAGCAGGATCTTCGGCGACAGGCTCTTCATTGGGAGGAGCTTCTTCAACTGTAGGTTCTTCGACAGGAGATTCCGCAACGGGAGCGGGTTCTTCAGCAGGTTCTTCAGTCGGAGCCTCGGCGGCTGCAGGTTCATCTATGGACTCCTCAGCGGGTGAAGAGTCTTCACTAGCAATGGGATCCTCTTGGGTAAACTCTTCAGCAGGCTGGTTTTCGTCAGGCGGTGCCTCAACGACCGCGTCTTCAGGTGCAGCCGGCTCATCAGGCTCAGGCTCAGGTGGTGTTTCGTCTGGAGCTGGAGGATCCTCGGCCGCAGGTCCTTCGGTGGGAGTTTCTTCAACAGAGGCGGCCTCCTCAGCCACAGCTTCAGTGACCGGCTCTTCCTTGGCCGGCTCTTCAGAACTTTCATCACCACCCTCTTCTACGAGCACTTCCTCAGCAGGCGGCGATTCTTCAGAAGCTGCCTCCCCCGTAGTTTGCTCGGGCTGCTCTTCGACACAAACTGGCTCTTCTGCTGGCGCTTCCTCTGCAGGAGCATCAGCCGGAGCGTCCTCAGGCTCAGGTGCCACGTGATCAGAGTCCTCATCAAGGGCAGCTTTCTCAATTGCAGCCTCAGCTTCTGGAGCTTCGTCTACTGTGACCTCCGACGGTAGCTCTTCTGCAATCGGTTCCTCGGCCGGGTTATCCTCAGACGGCGTCTCACTCTCCCCGGCTTCCTCCGAGCTTGCTGTTTCTGGAGGTGTCTCCGCTGCTGCTGGGGATTCATCGGTAGAACCGTCGACTGACTCAGAGTTCGTCGCTTCCTCAGACGGTGTTTCTTCAACTGGTGCCTCTTCTGCTGCTGGTACCGCTGCTTCGGTGGCTTCCTCGGGGGTGGTTGGAACTTCAGGCTCGTCTGCTGCGCTGTCAGAAGCGGGCTCCTCAGCTGAAGATTGATCTGCGGCGCCCTCATCAGTAAACTCCTCAACGGGAGCAGGCTCCCCCGCAGGTGCCTCAGCAGATCCTCCTTCTGCACCTGCATCGTTGGTCGAATCTTCTTCAGAAACAGGTGATTCAGAGGGTTCATCGGATAATTTTTCGCCAGGCTCAGCATCCGGACTGGCTTCATCAGCTGTTGCAGGGGGCGCAGTCTCATCGGAAGGGGAATCCTCCTCTGCAGCAGGTACTTCGGCTCCCTGTTCCTCTACTGGGGCTGGTTCAGTATCAGGTTGAGCGTCAGCTTCATCTGCGGCTCCTGCGGTGTCAGGAAGGTCCTCTGTAGTCTGAGGCTCCTGATTCTCTGGAGCATTAGGCGGCTCTGTTGTATCAGGTTCGTCAGCGGGCTCTGGTTGTGCTTCGGCCTCTTGCTCTTGGCCCTCTCCATTGGATTCCGTAGTCGGTTCTTCAGGAGATGCATCGCCGCTATCGTTCGCCCCAATATCGTCGATGTTATGACCGTCATCGTTGTTTGTGGGAGCAGCCTCCCCTTGTTCTTCACTTTCTGCGGGAGACTCTGCAGTTGCATCTTGCCCATCATCGTGGACATTGACGTCGATCAAGTCTTCCGTCTTTGCTTCTGCTGTTGCTTCCTCTTCGAGCTTGGCGTCTTCGGCCGCTTGCTTATTGGCTTCTTCTTTTTCGACTTCGACTTTGTCAAGTTCTGCAGAAGGATCACATTCTGGGAAGACATCCTCGAAGTGTAAGGTCAGCTGACTTTGGGAACTGATATTGCTATTAGGCGTACCATTGTTGGGGGCTTCAGTGTTCTCCTCGGATGGCGTGTCATTGACATCAGCCGGGATAACTTCTTCAGCTTGTTCCGGTTCTACGTCTTTTGCTCCATCCTCAACTGGTTGTTCGCTGGGAGGGCTATCCTCCGATGTCTGAGCCGAGTCGTCTGCTTCCGGAGCGGGACTTTCGCCCTCTTCTTTTGATTCAGTGCTCGTATCGCCGGAAGCTTCATCAGTCTCTGGTGGCGGTGTTGTCGCTTCTGATACATCTGATAATAATTAGTATTCAAAACAAGACAACGATGACCTGTATCAGCGGAAGACATGGTATGATAGAGGTTGCGGTGGGCCAAGGGCAAGGAGAGAGAGGAAGTACAACATACCTCCGGGCTCAGGAGAAGTTGACCCGTCAGCAGGGGCACTATCGGATCCTTCTTCTGGGGCACTGTCGTCGGCCGGGGTTTTCTCTGGTTCGACGGGGTTGTTGTTGTCCTGATCCTTAGGCGGCGTCAGATGATCCGTAGATGAAGTAGTGACAGGGTAATATGAAAATTGAAAAGTTTGACGGTCGAAGGTCTGATAGTGACGCTCGAAAGTCTGGTATTCAAACTTGGGGAGCTGTGCATACTGGACCGGGTTGTGCTCCATTTTCTCCGACTTCAACCGCTGGTTCCGGGGCTAGATCAGGGGGAGGGTTTTGCTCTTTGGAAAATTGATTGTCGTTTACCGGGAGCCGTTGCTTATTATTATTGTTGTTGTTGTTGTTGTTCTTCTTTTTCTTGTTGTTTCCTTTTCTACCCATGGCATCGGATTAGTGGCGTTTCTTGGTCTCTGGTGACCACTTTTAGGAAGGGTGTGACAAGCGAATATAAATCTATTGGAGAAATATGACATATGCCTGCCGGGTTCTAGACAGGGCGTAGAAGACAGGGGGATGGCGAATAAAGAATAACCAAAAATAGGGGCAACGCAAGAAAAAGGAATGTGAAACGAGGGAGATGTGTAATTGCTGGGTTCAGCAAACGCTATAGTATGAGAGGCTGGATGCGCGAAGGAAAAGGCAGCATAGGCCCGACGGTCCGCCAACGATAGTGTGGTTCCTCTCGAGGACCAAGGCGAGGCGACGTATCGTAGTGCATCGGCTACCCAGTGCAATGGGACATTGTCTAGGGATGGCTCGGGCTTGGGGCTGGGGACGTCATGGACGAACTGCCCGACGGCATCTCTTGTCATTGGGCCACGTTTTACGGGCCCCATGGCCCTCACGGACGGAGATAGAAAGAGGGTCTCTTCCGGAAGCATCACTGGGGCAAGGGGGATAGCCGGCGGAGTGCCATCTGCAGCAGAAGCTTGCAGTAGCAAGCAGGTGGTGGCGGGGGGGGGATGGAAAGTGTGGTCCAGATAGCATTGCAAGCCCGCAGGGAATTGGGTGCTCCGTAGAATGTGCCATTAGTGTGGTGGGGGTGGTGCCACAAACTCCATCGGGAATTCGGGATACCCTGGCGATTTTTCCCTTTGAAGTCCAGTCTTTTCTTGATTATTCCGTTTGCCTTTGCCCTCTTGCGGCCGGGAGCATTGAATAGTTCCAAAGTATCGTTGTTAGCCAATGTGCTGCAAGTACTTTGTACGGGGTGGACAAGCCGAGGGCATGAAAAAGCAATGGACATAGGCAGAGAGACCTGCGCCTTGAAAATGCAAGGTCAAATGATTGATCTCAGGCCTAGTGAATAAACACAGCCAATCAGGCTGGCATCCGGAACAATGAATGGCGAAAAGCCATCGAAAGTGTAAGGGCGACTATGGTTACTCGGGCATGTTGAGTGCACTCATCACCAACATTAGCATCCGCACATCCTAGTCCTCCGTAAACTGTCGAGAATTCATGCCCAACGATTGTTGCAGCAATGGCAATAGATTGGATGCATGAGCCAGGAAGATGGAGACTGGGTCCCTGGCCAGAAAAGAAAGCTAGGGGGTTGGGGGTGTAACTAGGGTGCGATGCTATGGCCATTGTACGGATTACTGTTGCGACTGTGCTCCGTTCGGTGGGTAAGGGCGATCAATCATCGACAGCAACCGCATCACTATCACCATCATGATAGGGGAAATGGATGATGAGAGATGAAGATCTTAGCCCCATGGTCATTTGTACCGTACCATGAAAGTATCAGGGTAGAAAGAGAGCCAGAAGAGCAGGGGAAAGACGCCTGACGGAATGGAAGGAAATGGAAGGAGAGGAGAGAAGGGATTCGCAACTCCCACTGGACACTTCACCAGCCGCAGATCACTGGACCGCCCAACCAGGCCTAGCGGATTCCCCCCGGTCGGGTGTCACAAATCCCACTCCTCCTCATTGCATCCCTCCCAAAATAATCCACGAAGGAGGGGAAGAGCGAGAGAGGGAGAGGGCAATGGTTGCCAGGTACGAGGTACGAGGCATCATGAACATACATCGTGTCTCCAGTCCTCGACGATATTCCCCGATCCTCGGGATCTGATGCCCAGCATCTCGATGCTTTCGAGGAATTTCCTACGGCAAGATCACGGCGGTGGGAAAGGATGACGGACGGTCGCACCCACCGATAAGTGAGGCGTTGCTGCTCTGGCACTCGGTGAGTGGCTGTCGTCGCACCCACAATCAGGCCCGTTGAGGAGGCGTCGTTACTGATTAGATGGATAGCTGCAAAGCTACAGCGGAGTATCGTGATGCTAACCCGATTCCTCCGAGACTTTTTCTTGGCCACCCGCCCATCAGGCAAGCTGCCCAGCGTGCATTCGTGCCTACAGTTGACGGCTCCGGCTCCGGTCTGACTGGAGCTATACAACCCATCAGCGTCACTGCCTCCATGTCCCTCTGGCAACAAACCCCTCCACGTCACCAATCTATCTATTGCCATCGCGACTGCCGTCACAATCTCAGATACATCGATGTGCGAGATCTTTCTGCGCCTGTCATTTATTACTAGATCGTTCTATTGCCAGCGAACTCGTCAGGTCAGGGCGAGATCGCCGATTTCCCGCAGATCTTTCCTAGGTACCCATTATACGTAGCGCGCGCCCAAAGTACGGTCGTACAACTGCAGATGCCAGGTCCAAGAGAATGGCATTTTCATCATGACTTTACCACCATAGGTTTTCGTCCGGCGATGCGTCCACCACCCAATGACCCTGGTCGAGACCTTCGGTGTCATCCCACGCTGGTCAATGCAACGAGCCGGAAATGGCTGCCTCGCCGCAAGATATCACCACCATCCCTGGCCATAGCCATGACATTAACCTCCTAGCCCTTGAAATCGCTTATGCACGTTGCCGCTTCGTCCCGGCGGAGCTCTTACTTGTCCCCCGGTCTGTGGCTCTTTGGGCGAAATGCCGTCTGAACCGTACGCGTACTCCGTGCTTGGACCCTCACTGGGTCAGCCTGTGCTGTCAGAGTATCTGGCATCTAAATCATTCACGCCTGCTAAAATACGAGAATAGCATTGTTGGAAGCGTAAGAGCTATCATAACCACTACGCTCGCCTTCTCAGCTGATTGTTTGGGTACCTACCGCTGGCGGCAGTGTAGACACTCGGGCGCAATATGAAACACCCATGAGGCTCCCAATTACAATATCTCGAACCCATCCAACCAGATATTGATTCGGACCTTTTTAATAACATTGACGTTCAGCCCTCTATTCTCATTGACCCATGCGATGACTGTCGTTCGCCACAGCCTAGCATGAGGCATCTGGCCTCGCTTGGGCTTCATTAAGTCTAAAAATAACAGGATTCATGCTTTTGGCTATCCTCGAACCATAAATGCCCTCTCGAAGTCATTGAGTGATTCACACCTATCATATCGGCGCGTGTTTGACTCCTGAAAACAGGCTCGGCTTTTCACGAAAATGAAAGACGCCGGCGATTCCCTCGGGGGTAAAAAAAAAGCCAAGAAGAAAAGGCTATATACAAACCGTCTAATATGACCATGACAATGCGTAACGATCACCAACAGAGTCTAGTCTCAAGAACCAGACATCGATACCCAATATCACGCTTTAGACTCCGTACCAAACGGCAAGTTTGACCATAAAAGATGTCATTTCCTTAGTGCATCCATGGAATTTCTCCATCGAGGTCCGTAGACTTTCATCACGAAAAGGACGGAGCTGCTTGCAAACGCAACCAGTCCAAGGATTGTGAAAAGCCATCCGTTGCCAATGGCATCGATGATTGGTGCAGTGACCACCGAGCCCACACACGAGAAGATATTTCGCATGAAGTTATTCAATGCGACGCCTGCAGAGGACCTTTTAGGCATGAACTCTGTCAGCATGGTCGTCGCCATGCCAAAGATAAGCATCGATCCAACGCCGAAGAAGAAGTTGGCAATCATCTACGCAATATTAGTCAGTAGGGTTTCACAAGGTGTTGCAGCGCAGGAGACAAGAGTCCAGGTGCATGAAGCAGTCATTGTCAGCCACCAGGAACATACCGGTGCTAGCCAGAAGACGCCTCGATCTGCACACCAACCATACCAAATCAGCCCGGCAGGGTAGAGAACAGCTCCGAGCCAAGCATTCTCCCGCATTCGGTCTTCGGGATGATATATCAGCTTGCCATTTTCGTCGTATCGCTTTGCCTTCTTAGCCTCCCGTTGCATGATACTGTCCATCCAACGACCTCCAAAGGAGCTAGCAACGACATACCCCAACGAGTTGGGAATATAAAGCAGGCCAACAATAATTGTGCTAAAGTTATATGGGCTAGCGCCGAATGTGTGCTCGACGCTGACATTTAGCACATAGAGCGAGCCAAAAGTGATGCTCGCATAGTATACAGTTAGTAGAACAGGGGGATAGCGCAGGTATAGAATGATTTTCAAGGGGTCAAGAAGAACCATTTTGAGGATCTTCAACCACCGGGTAGTGAAGCGAACGACCTGTCGAGAGGATACGCGACTCAATTGACCCCGAGCCGGCTCCTCGTGCTCGTCTTTGATGTCGTACGTCGGGGCTTTTGTGTTTGCCAGTGTTTCTGGGAGGGCGAAAAAGATGAAAACCACGGTAAGTCCTCCATAGGCAGCCAGAAACCACAACGTGCTTCGCCAACTCCACCGTTCGGCTAATGCGCCGCCCACAATAGGAGCTATCAAAGGTCCACATAGCGGACCTAGATAGAAGATGTTCATGGCCCGTCCTCTTTCTTGCGGGTCCCAGAGGTCGGCGATCGTTCCTGCACCAACAGCCTGAACTGATGCAGATGCACCACCACTTAACATCCGTAGCACAATAAGCATAGCTATCGAACTAGAGATCGCGCAGAGAGCGTTGAAGACAACGAACAGGCTAAAGGAAACGAGATATATCGTTCGTCGTCCCAGTCTTTCGCTAAACGATGACCACCACAGTGGAAATATGGACATACTAAGCATGTACAGTGAAATTGATAGGTTTGAGACAGTGGTTGACGTGCCCAGCTCTTTGGATACTTGAGAAAGGGAGGCTATTCTTTGGTAAGCGTACGAAGCAGCGAAGTTAACATCAAGGGACACTGTCGACTTACGGAAGAAGATCGAGCTACCCATTGGGGCTGCTGCTCCGGCCACTGCGACCACGAAAGTGATAAACCATTTCGTCTTTCGAGGGTAAACCTTGGGGTTTTCAACCTCTGCCAGAAATGTGAGCTGACCGAAAAGCCCTCGTCGCTTCAATCTCGGCACCACTACCGGAGGTTCCTGTTCTTCATTGGAGGAGGTTGAGCACACAGGTGCTTCCTCGTCTTTCCCTTCCATGACCGGAGTGTCGTCGGAGCCTTGAGATACTGAGTCATGACCGTGTTTGACTTCAATAATATCGTCATCAGATGGGGTCGCTTCAGGGTGACTGTGTCCAGCAGGGGGAGCTTCCACCACCTCGGCTTCAGGAATCCCTTTCGTCAATCCCGCCATCTTCTGTCTTGTCGACTGCTCCCATATGAGATCTCGAGGACCTTGACGGCACAATAAAGTCCGTATCAACCAGGATCACAATAACAGTCGAAACAGAGCAGAAGAAGGTGAGCGAACGTTGAAGCTACCATGCGCTAAATGGCCTTGCAGGCGGGGCCACTGACTAATGGCTAAGATGAAGCATAAGAGATGATCTGCCAGGACTATTGAAGACTCTCAAAAGGGCATAAATATGGGGTTGTGAGAGTGAAGGAAAGTCGGTCGCCTGCGATCAGATGGTTAAGAGAAAGTTGGAGTAAGAGAGGTCCCAAGGGTGGTACCTCTGCCCGATTGTTATCTGCAGTGCCTGGGCCCTAACAGGAAGGAAGGTATGGGCCTCCCCACCTGCCTCCAGTTGCACCTGATATTATTGGATGGCATAGATGACTTGGGGTATTGCTTAGATCCTGCCCGGATTCTTATCTGAACACTACATGGTTTGTCTGCGACAGGTACACTTATCGAGTTGTTTACTAGTAGTATCTAGTCAACAACCCCATATTATGATACATGAAACGTGATAATGAGGGACAATAGTTCACACCGCCACGCAAATTGCACGCCATCACGATGACAATTTAGGTGCGAATGAATAAATGTGCCCTTACTAACCATCTCTCAACCGTGCGCTAAAATCCTGAGTCAGTCACCCTAATCCTCCCTCCATACCATAGCGGGCAAGGTCAAAGCCAGGACCAACCAGTCAGGGCCAACTGAACGTGTGCCGTTCCATCCGACGGCGGCCATTTCCGCCCCATGCACTTACTTTGCCGAGGTCAAGCTTATAGCCGGCTTGTTTCTGTGCCGCTCGGTAATGAGATGAAGAATAGGATTAAGATGAACCATCCACAAGGTATAGGAGCACGCTGCTAAGGAATGAGAGTGCTTGCCTATTATTTTCGAATACTCCGTACATATCATCTGATCATCCTAAATATATACACCCGATCTGGGTAATGACTGAGCAGGCTTGCTGTATTGAGGACCTCCGGGTTCCAAATCTTAATCATAAGGCGAGAGAGAGTGTGGCTCTACTCTAGCGACTTAAAGGTTCCTTCATCAGCCTTACGTTTTCAACTAATTTGCTTAGCCTTGTCAGTAAATAGGCTACTCCAGGAACCTCTCCCTATCGTGTCAGTGAGCAAGGTTAGTCACCGCGCATCATAGGCACATTCGCAAAGTACTAAGTACTTTTCTGTATGCTATCCAAGAGGACGCGTATGTCAAAAGAATAAAATCTGTGGACAGCCCAATTGCTTCTTCCAACTCCATTGCTAGAAATTGGAATAGTATGGTCCCCGCAGTCCAAAAACCATGGACGAGAAAGCCACCCAAGTGGATACTTCCGCTATCTCAACAGCCCCACGTCGAGCCAGACTCGACCTCGTAGACAGTTCCAGAACGTCAATCCCAGCACCCTCTACTTCATCCTTCACACCAAGTACCGATACAACACCCCTCAGCATCCACTACACCTTAAAACTTGTCACTAGTAACTTCCAGCATACATCCACCCAACCCAAGACAAGCAACACCACCCACCACCATGTCCAACCCCACCCGCGCCACCCCTCCCCAATCCGTCCCCGACACCATAGCCAAATACCCCGGCGAGAAATACCTCACCGGCTGGGCCGAGATCTGGAACACGAACCCCTCACCACCATGGGATAAAGGAACCCCGAACCCCGCGCTAGAGGATACATTGACGCAGCAACGGGGAACAATCGGGGGCGCCATTGCAACCGACGCTTCGGGAAAGACGTATAGGAAGAAGGCGTTAGTTCCGGGATGTGGAAGGGGAGTGGATGTGCTGCTGTTAGCGAGTTTCGGGTATGATGCGTATGGGTTGGAATATAGTGCTGCGGCGATTGAGGCGTGTAGACGGGAAGAGAGTGATCATGGGCATGGGGAGAAGTATCCGGTTCGGGATGCGGAGGTGGGGAGGGGGGAGGTGGTGTTTGTGCAGGGGGATTTCTTTGAGGATGGGTGGTTGAGGGAGTTGGGGTTGGGGTTGGGGGGGAATTGTTTTGATTTGGTTTATGATTATACGGTGAGTATTGGGACTCTTCTTTGTGGCTTGGTTTTATGGTGTTTGCCCAAGGGACTTGGGTTTACGGGATAGTGTAGATCTATATGGACGCTTGCTGACCATGCGGATGCAGTTCTTCTGCGCGCTGGACCCGTCGATGCGGCCAGCCTGGGCGCTCCGGCATACCCAACTATTGGCGCCTTCGCCGCGAGGCAATCTAATCTGCCTGGAATATCCACGGCACAAGGACCCGTCGCGTCCGGGTCCTCCGTTTGGTCTCTCCTCGGAGGCTTACATGGAGCATCTCAGCCACCCCGGAGAGCAGATCTCTTATGACGCTCATGGTCGATGCAGGATGGACCCTCTCCGCGAACCAAGCGAGCGAGGTCTGGAACGGGTGGCTTATTGGCAGCCTGCCCGGACGCATGCAGTGGGCAAGGATGCCAATGGGGAGGTCCAGGATCGAGTCTCCATCTGGCGCCAGAGGTAAGGCCTGTTGAGATGTCTGCGATAGATATCTCCGGGGTGAGAGTCAATGGCTGTGTTGGTCAATAACCTAATGTTTGATTGACTTGTGTTTCTGCACTTTTCTATGTATGGTTGGAGAGTGCGTTGTAATGTTCTCTAAGCTATGTATGTCTGTAGTGAGCAACCAGATGACCTGGCCTGCTCACCTATTCGTTGCCTGCTTCGTTATTGCCTGCTTCGATCTTCTCAATCCTTCCATCGCCCCGGCCGACGTTGGTCTCAATGCCATATGTCCTCATAAATGCTTGTAGCTTGAAATGGTCATCTCATTCAAATATCAGCTTGATTTCGTGGTATGATGATCTAGAGGCTCTCCCATGAAGGGTTTAAGGTCAACTTTATGATCACTGATGAAACCGCCGCGACCGCTCCAACTGCTCGATACCCATCGTGTTTATAGTGTTGATGCTTGAAACTTTGCCTACAGCAAAAGCAAGGCTGGACAGCACCACTTGAGTCGTGCCTTGGCTCACCACCTTGGAAGAAGGAATATCCCGTAACTCTGTGTAACTCCCACGTTGTCGCTGACCAACTAACCCGGCACTACCCGCAGCTCGAACTCCTGGGCATGTGGCCCTTTCGAAAGTCAGATGATGCACCGAGAGATCATCGAGGCGAATGTTCCATGAGGTCGTATTGGTACCCTTGAGGATGTTGCGGGGGCTTGCCTGTTCTTGAGCAGCCGGACCGGCTCGTGTGTGATGGAGCGACAATCACCCTGGATGGTGGTAGTATTGTTGCTGCCAAGTTGTAAGCTGTAAGCTGTAAGCACGATGGCATGCGTCCTCGGGATACTGGGGGTATGTGCCATTAACAGGGTCGATCTCAAGCTGTTTGCAGAAGGTATAACCTAAATCAACTGTTTGGAATCATCTCAGTGCTTTTAACTCAAAACAATAGTGGCTTGTCCGTGCCCCAGTCATGCAAAGTATGATAGTCAAACTCAGTTTGAGAAATCTGGCTCTTTCTCTGCAGTGCATGAGTTTGACATCATCCCGGGGTGGGCATATGACTGGAAAGCATGTCATGCTGACCGGATAACTAATAGTGTTGGGGCTATGCTTAAACCCTCGACCGATACTGTGAACGATTGGCATTTGCCTGTCTGGCCTTCTAGCCCCTCATCATCAACCATGGTGATGGTCGCCCGCCGCTGTTGCACATCACAAAAGCAATTTGATGTTGTCCTGCAACACCCACGCTGAAGGTTGCTGCGGCGATCTTCACTCGCCGTCAGCCACCTCCAGATTCTACCAACACGGTTGGTGCAGAAAATTCCCTCCTACATTTTGGATGTCCATCTTTGAAACGTCCATCTAAGCTCTGCCGACCGATCGCGTGGGGTTTCCGTGGTCTGCGATCGTATTGGTCTGGGCAAATCTCTCACCAGAACGGTTCCCGGCTTTATTGGCACAAAATAAAGGTCCCACAGCGGACTCCCCAAGGGCCTGGTCCTGGAAAATAGTCATACATTGCTTTCGAAATCAGGTAATCCATGTGTTCTAGTCTCGACTCTCTGTTGTCCTTTGAACTTTGTGATTGGCTTGTGCTTTAACGCGTTGTTGGGGCCATCTACAATCCGAGTCCCCCGTCTATGAGCACTCCTGCCGCCACATAAGATGTGGAAGCCGCGCGTTAATTTTATCGCCCTGCATTGTGCGTTGCATGTTCCGCCGGATTCCGATGGCCCAAGTAATGCTGATTTTCTCGGACAGATGCATATATCATCTTTCTGGGTCTCCTAGGATTGGTTGTCCTCTATCCATATGGCAATCTCCGCGCGATTGATTCCTACTTCTTCGGGGTCAGCTCTTCGACCGAATCAGGATTGAACACGTCAGTTGGTCATTTCTTTAAATAAATCATCGCTTCTGGATGGTAGGAGCACAGGCTAATATGGGCCACACTCTCAGTGTCGATGTAAAGGATCTGAAGCTTTACCAGCAGCTTTTCATCTACTTCGTTCCGATAGCCTCGAACATCGCATTCATCAACATCCTAGTGGTCGTTGTACGTCTGTACTGGTTCGAGAAACGACTGAAAGAGATTGGTAACTACTTGTCGCTATGGGCTTCGGTCGGATTTTAAGACGGTCACTAATGCGATGACCTCCAACAGCACCTGGTGTCCTTGATCGAAAGAATGGTTCGTTCGACTGTAGAGATGAATACCATGACGAGGAAGCGCATCCGAGGGTGATGAGTGGACCTTTCACATCGGGAAATGGGCAAGCCAAATCAACGGAGATGGAAGATGTTGATGACAACGAGCGCTCTGTCAGTTTGAAGATTGGGCACTTAGTACCAGATGGGTAAGAGTAACTAATGCTTCTTCTTTCGAGAGGATAATGCTAATCGTGGTATAGGCCCAGAAACAACGGCAATGAATGCTCTGAGAACGACGGTTCGAAGTCCAACAATCTCAATTTTCCACGGAGCATCTCCTTTGCGGATCCTAACAAGGCGCTCTACATTCCTTCACCGTGGGAGCGTGATAGAGGTACTTCGTTATATGGCCCTTTGCTCGCCAGGCCATGGCTTATAAGCAACAGGGGTGCCCATAGCAGAGGTCCAGAGAGGCCCGAGCAGAGATGGTAAGCCTGGCTGCAGATGAATATGGAAACGACTTGACCTCACCAAGATGCAGGAATTGAGGATGTCGACGAGGACGTCGAAACAAACCACGGGGACTCTGGTGATACCAATCAGCTATCCAGAAAGATCTCGGGTACCTCCGGTAGGCCATTCGAAAGGGTAGCCTCGACCTTATTCGTGTTTGGGCGACACCCTAGTAGAGCTCGAGAACCATCGCTCCGGCCAGCTATCTCTCTCTCCAAGGATGCAAACCTGCCAGAGCTCTCCGCACAAGCGACCCTGGGTAGGAATTCGCAATTCTACAATTTAACTGCCGCAGATCGAGAGCGACTAGGTGGCATCGAGTATCGAAGCCTGAAGCTACTCCTGAAAATCGTTATCGGTACGAGAACCCAGTCTTACTGTTGTCTTCTCATGGCACGAGAAGGAAGGACGCTCATCTGCAGTCAATAGGCTATCTTGCTGGTCTCCATGTGATTGGCATGGTATGTCTCGTCGCCTGGATTATGCATGCAAATGCCAAGTATCGGGACTACCTCGATGAATGCGGACAGGATAAGATCTGGTGGTACGTCCAGTTGCAGATGATCTCTATAGACATCACGACAATGCTAATATTGTCAGGGCAATCTACTCAGCACAGACAATGGTCAGCAACCTGGGATATACTCTCACTCCGGATTCCATGATATCATTCAATGATGCTGTCTTCCCCATGTTGCTCATGAGCTTTCTCGCTTATGCTGGTAACACACTATATCCTTGCTTCTTGCGGCTTGTCATCTGGATCATGTTCAAGTGTGTTCCCGAGGATGCTTCTCTGAAGGAGCCACTCGGTTTCCTGCTGAAGTATCCTCGTCGGTGCTATCTGCTTCTCTTCCGTAGTAGGCCGACATGGATCCTTTTCGGCATCATATTTGTCTTGAACTTCGTCGACGTCATCTTGATCCTGGTTCTTGATCTCAACAACCCTGCAGTGAGTGATTTAGCACCCGGCCCTCGAATTGCGGCGGCCATTTTTCAATCCGCATCTTCACGGCACACGGGAACGGCGTCTTTCAATCTTGCGGACGTGAATCCAGCAGTCCAAATTAGCTTACTTGTCATGATGTATATTTCGGTATTTCCGATTGCGATCAGTGTACGAGCGTCCAACATATACGAAGAAAAAGCGGTTGGGGTATTCTCACGGGACCCGGAGATGGATGAAAGTAATGGCAGGAAATATGTTTTGACGCACATGCGAAACCAGCTCAGCTTTGACTTGTGGTACATTTTCCTTGGGATCCTGTGCATCTGCATTGCAGAGTCGCAGAAAATCATGGACCCAGCCATGCCGGTTCGTGCCCCTCGGTTCACCGCTAGAGATAGGCCGCTGACCCGCGCAAATAGGCCTTTTCCGTGTTTGCGATATTCTTCGAGGTGGTCTCTGCCTAGTGAGTATAACCACGCCATGGCCACGGTGGGCAGATGTACCTAATGGATGCATAGTGGAAACGTCGGGCTAAGTCTAGGATACCCGACCGTCTCCACCTCGTTCAGCGGCCAGTTCGGCATCTTCAGTAAAATTGTCATCTGCGCCATGATGATTCGCGGGAGGCACCGTGGACTGCCATACCAGCTCGACCGAGCGATTTTACTTCCCAGTGAGCGACTTGTCGAAGATGATAAGGTCGCAAGCCGGCCTGATATCCCACTGCCACGCATCCGAAGCATGGACCCCATGGACAGCAGACACCTGAAGATGAAGCGATATCATACGAGATAACAGCTAGATTGTCTGATGGATTGGGCCACCGCTTTAGGCCTTCTTGCTTTGCTGGGAAGTGAAAAGTGGGATGGCATGGTGCATGTACCTGTTGTCCCGCGCCGGAAGAGATCTAGAATGTACAGATTCTGGAAGATCGACCATCGGTTTCTCTGTAGATATATCCAACGCCACGTCAAGGGGTCGACCAGCAGGTGCCAATAACCCACAGGCCGCTTTCAATTTCGGATTATTGGTTTTTGTTGTCCCGCGTGACCCTTGGGATCTGGCATTTGCTTTTTTTAGCTGATTTTCTTTATTCTCCCGCGATAAACCTCCCAGGGAGAAGTGCATAACTCGCCTGCTGGAGTGTGCCCGGGCGGCAGCCGGGGAAATACCGAAGGGGGGAGGGGGCACTATTGAGTGGAGCGGCGACATCATCGGGCCCGTGGCGTCATAGTCTCCAAGGGAACTTCATTCTCTACATACTAGAGGGGAACTCTACGACCAGATACAGTAATAATTAATCATTCTAAGACGCCGGGAAGCCGGAGAGTACAAATTGTCTGGGAGACCTCAAGGAGCGTTATCTCTTTCTTGTTTTCTTGTTTCCCCCAACTGATTGCATGCACACCGCCGGTTGCACACAAACAAAACCCAAGCCAAGCGACATACTGAGTGTGACGTACCCCCAAAGTACACGGGAGCTGACTGCCGCTGGTGGCCAAAATCCCACCCTGAGTAAAACTCTCTTTGTCGTGTGCTGCATTGTCCCAGCAATCCATCCAGATCCCGACTTTTTTTGTCCTACCAAACCCCCAGCTTTAGCGAGATTGTCTTACCGGTGCGATCGCAATCCCTTCCCTGGGCGAGACTTCGAGTCCGAGAAGTGTACAGCGCCACGAACGGGCCTAGCGTCTCCAATAATTGGCGTCGCGGTGTCACCCCTTAAACCCACGAACCATCCACCCCTGCTCGCATCCCCATTTCGCTCTAGCCTTTCGTTTACTCGACCTGTCATCGACCGTCCTTTCTCCCATCCCACATCCCCTGACGATGAGCTCGTCAAGTGCACAGCACCAACGGAACGGCTCTCTCGACCCTTTCTCGGACCCCGATGTCTACTATGGCAACGAGGAAAATGTCGCGCGCATGAGAGACCGTAAGCGTGCATTCTCCTCGGTGAGTCGGGAGCCATTGCCCCCCTCTGAGATAAGCCCAGAATCAGCCCTGCTAACGCACGCCGGATGCCGTTAATTAGACACTCAAATCATTCAATCGGGACGACATTCAGGAATTCCTCGGAGGCGGATTTCCTGCCAGAAGAGCCAGTCATGGTGCGTACCGATCGATCTTTTCAGCTATCGTGGGATACAGGGGCTGATGCACGTGCGATGCAGATGAGACACCAGCGATTCCCCGCAAATTCCTTATCGATGTCGATGCAACGCTTCACAGTCTCCTGGAGCGGGAGGACACGGACAGGAACATGCAGATCACCATCGAAGATGTGGGCCCCAAGGTATGTGTGACCTGGAATCTCGGAACGACGGCCTCTACCGATCACTGACCACCACGCTTGCAGGTGTTCTCCGTAGGAACCGCCGCGTCTTCGGGATACAATCGATTCGACTTGCGAGGAACGTACATGCTTTCGAACCTCCTCCAAGAGCTCACAATTGCCAAGGACTACGGTCGGAAGCAGATTGTGCTGGACGAGGCCCGTCTCAGTGAGAACCCCGTCGCGCGTCTGTCTCGGCTCATCAAGAATTCGTTCTGGAACGCCCTGACACGACGCATTGACGGGCACAATATTGCCGAAGCTGGCCGGGACCCCAAGGATTGGACAGATGACCCGCGGCCTCGGGTTTATGTGCCTCCGGGTGCCCCGGAGCAGTTTGAGTATTACAAGGGTATCGCAGAGGCCCATCCAGAGCTGCGCCTTGACGTGCAGCTGTTGGACTCCGATATCACGCCAGAGTACACCCGGAGACTCAACAACAAACCCGGGCTTTTGGCATTGGCAATGGAAAAGCGTTTCGACGAAGCTACCCAGAAGACGGAATATAGCGGAGTCCCATTCGTGGTTCCGGGAGGAAGATTCAACGAACTCTACGGATGGGATAGCTATATGATGTCTTTGGGGTTGCTGGTCAGCAACAGAGTAGACCTAGCCAAAGGCATGGTGGTCAATTTCTGCTTCTGCATCAAGCACTACGCGAAGATTTTGAACGCAAACCGTTCCTACTACCTAATGCGTTCTCAGCCCCCGTTCTTGACTGATATGGCTTTGCGTGTCTATGAACGGATCAAGAATGAGCCGGATGCTAAGGAGTTCCTCCGCAACGCGACCCTGGCCGCGATCAAGGAGTACTACAGCATCTGGACGGCCGAGCCGCGATTTGATCCGGTGTCTGGTCTTTCGAGATACCGTCCGGAAGGTGAAGGCGTGCCGCCCGAGACAGAGCCAACGCATTTCCTTCATATTCTGACGCCCTATGCCGAGAAGCATGGCATGTCATTTGAAGAGTTCGTGGAAGCCTACAACGAACGTAAGATCGTGGAGCCAGAGCTCGACGAGTATTTCCTGCACGACAGGGCGGTGCGCGAATCTGGACATGATACTAGCTACCGCCTGGAGAGGGTCTGTGCCAACTTGGCCACAGTGGATCTGAATTCGCTGCTGTACAAGTACGAGGTGGATATTGCACGCATTATCCGCACTTATTTCAAGGACAAGCTTGACATTCCGCCCGAGTTCCGGACGGCATCGACCCAGGATATCGCCAGCGAATCGTCGTCGGTCTGGGACCGTCGCGCGCGCAGAAGAAAGATGAGAATGGACACTTATCTCTGGGATGAAGAAAAGGGGATGTATTTTGACTACGATACCGCCAAGCAGGAGCGGACGACATACGAGAGTGCCACCACCTATTGGGCCATGTGGGCTGGTCTCGCGACCCCCGGCCAAGCGTCGCAGATGGTGAAAGCCCTTGCCCGGTTCGAGGCCTACGGAGGCCTGGTTTCGGGAACCGAAGAATCCCGGGGTGCCGTTGGACTGGACCGGCCCAACCGGCAGTGGGATTACCCGTACGGATGGGCCCCCCAGCAGATGCTGGCGTGGACCGGACTGATGCGCTACGGCTATCAGGATGAAGCCGAGCGGCTGACATACAAGTGGTTGTATATGATTACGAAGGCTTTTGTGGACTTCAACGGCGTCGTCGTTGAAAAATACGACGTCACTCGCCCTATCGACCCACACCGGGTGGATGCCGAGTACGGCAATCAGGGCGTGGACTTCAAGGGCGCTCCCCGCGAAGGGTAAGATCCTCACCCGGATCCATTATCACGGAACGTCATACTAACCGGGTTATTTCTAGGTTCGGATGGGTCAATGCCAGCTATGTCTACGGACTGGAGATCCTCAATGCCCACCAGCGCCGTGCCCTCGGCGCCATCACGCCGTATGAGACCTACATCAAGGCGGTGGCCGTACAGGATAATTAAAAAAAGCGAATATCAAAACGCGAAGAGGGGATGCATGATCACATTTAGCGCGGCAATCTGTTTTGGCCCGTCGTGGCATTGGACTTTTGCAAAAATGGGTTCAGCGGACGCAGTTTCTATAGCTTAGATAGGATGGGTTGACATACTGGCGGGCGGTTTAGAGTCTGCATTGCCTGCGATGATTGAGGCGATTGATATGCTACATGCTTGCACAGAGAGACGGGAGCTTGTCATTATTCGGAGGTGGAGATAACCAGACTAGAAGTGATGTGTCTTGGTGGAGGCGGCGTTGGATGCTTTTTGAGTCGTTGCGTTAATAGCCATAAATCCATAAATGATTAGTTAGTTCATTCAGTTCTCGTTCTATTTCTGTGAGGTTCGAGCAATTGTTCCAGGGCTGAAACCCAACTCCCGAGACGTAGGAAACCGGGCAGAGAACGAGCGTCCGCAAGGTCTGACTCACGTTTCTGGACCTCAAAAATAAGCACCACGAGGAAAGTCAGAGGTCACAGTCAAATTCACATGTGAATCCACCCAGGCTTTGTTCTTCCCCACAGACAGACAGACAAGACAGACTTTCTCCGTCCAGCCAGCCAGCCCCGAACTTGGCCACACGAATGATATCTATACCCATGCATCACCACCCGCACCTCCGAGCATCCAGGCCATGGATCTACACTCGATCCCTGTCCCAGAGGCTACGGTTCTCCGAAACTAACCACCACCATCCTAATCTGACAGATGGTCAGTAAGACGGTATGGTTATCCCTTCGGTCAACGTCCGAAACCCCATCCCCATCCCCATATTCTTTTATCCCTGACAGGGCGTTGTCGTGGTCGCAAGAATACGGAACAACGCTCCTTGATTTCCCGATACTCATTCTCGTGCGTGTGCTGAGAAGAGGACTGGACGGAGCTGAGGTTGATCTTGGTTTCGTGGATCGGCTGTTCACGGCCCGGTGATTGGTGCAACGCATGCCGAGGTTGCTGCCGTTTGGGGATTGGCGGTATTGATGCCTGGAGGTCCTGGCGTGACGGTACGCCTGACTGTGGGGTATATACCTGTAATATAGGACAGAGCCAATGACAGTCAATGAATGGTTGCTGTTCGGGTGGTGTGGTGGTCATGTATTGTCATTGGGGGTGGACTCGGAGCAGTAAGCACATGTGTTCACGTCATGGCTGTCCATTGCTGGGGTACTTCCGTGTACATAGATGTCAGGTCGGATTATGATGGTATCTTATGGTTCTGGGTTCAATTTGCAGAGCCATGAATAAGGAGTATTCATCAAGATGAGGTATTTTTCCTGCGGGTTATCAGCTCGTGCCGATGGCATCTTCGGTGGTGGATGGACTCATAAACCAGGCCAAGGGAAAGTGGCGACGGGGGGAAATGCCTCAGGCCGTCGCGGGCTCGGGCTGGTCCCTTTAGACCGAGGATCGAGCCTGACGAAGATCCTCTCTTCCGAACCACCACCACTCAGCTTCCCCGTTGGCCCCGGCCTGGCTTGTGAACCTGGGACACAGTTAACCTAATCGTTGGCGACTCTCTACCCACTCAGCCATGCTGGGCTCCCCGGTTTTCAAGATTGACCCGGGGCCCCTGCCCTTCCTTCTTGTCCCGCTGAACCGAACGTTTACCGACCACTGGCCAGTCAATGCCTCTGACGCATCGAGATGGCGCATGCCCATCTGCTGGTCCTTAAGTACCAAGGTCTTTGGCTTGTGATTCCGGCCTGATACTTTGTTGTCTTTTCCCCGTGTGCCCTCCTCTACCTTGTCGTCTGACTCTCTCCCCTCTATCTCTTCTTTCTTTTTTACTTGTGACTTTGCTGGGATTGATCCTGGAGGCTCTTCCTGCTATATAATCATCTTTGGATACACTGTATTATATATATCCATTGCAAATCAAGCTTTTGCATATCTTCTCTTGCCCTCGTGACCTCTTATACATACTACATCACAATGGGTTACCTTGAAGACGAAGACCGGAAGTACGCCGACGACGTTCAGGCGGTTCAGACATGGTGGCAAGACTCCAGATGGAGACACACCAAGCGTCCCTTCACTGCGGAGCAAATTGTGGCCAAGCGTGGAAACCTGAAGATCGACTATCCTTCCAATGTTCTGAGCAAGAAGTTGTGGAAGATCTTGGAGGGTAACTTTGAGGTATGTACTCCGTACTCCCCATGCTCCTTCTCCGAGTCGTGCCTGGACTCACATTACTTCAAACAGAAAAAAGTTGCGAGTTTCACCTATGGTTGTCTCGACCCAACAATGGTCACCCAGATGGCCAAGTTCCTAGATACCGTCTACGTCTCGGGCTGGCAGAGCTCCTCCACAGCCTCGTCCACTGACGAGCCGTCTCCAGATCTTGCGGATTACCCTATGGTAGGTCTCGGAGTATCTTGCTGGCTGTGGGATCACTGCTAAGATCAACTCCTAGAATACTGTTCCCAACAAGGTCAACCACCTGTTCATGGCTCAGCTGTTCCATGACCGGAAACAGCGCGAGGAGCGCATCACTACTCCCAAGGAGCAGCGGGGCAAGGTGGCCAACGTCGACTACCTGCGGCCCATCATTGCGGATGCCGACACTGGACACGGTGGTTTGACTGCGGTGATGAAGCTGACCAAGCTGTTCATTGAGCGCGGTGCTGCTGGTATTCACATTGAGGACCAGGCCCCTGGTACGAAGAAGTGTGGCCACATGGCCGGAAAGGTGCTGGTGCCCATTAGTGAGCACATCAATCGGCTGGTGGCGATCCGTGCGCAGGCGGATATCATGGGTGTGTAGCCTTGTCCATTTGTTAACCATGTGATTATCCACTGACGCATCTCTAGGAACCGACCTGCTTGCCATTGCTCGAACTGACTCTGAGGCCGCCACCCTCATCACCTCCACCATCGATTACCGCGACCATGCGTTTGTTGTTGGTTCGACGAACCCGACCCTCCAGCCCCTCAACGATCTGATGGTTGCTGCGGAGCTGGCGGGCAAGAGCGGATCCGAACTGCAGGCTATTGAGGACCAATGGGTCGCGCAGGCCGGTCTGAAGCTGTTCAGCGACGCAGTCATCGACACCATCAACAAGGGCGCCCACGCCAACAAGAAGGCCGTCATCGACGACTACCTGAAGAAGGCCAAGGGGAAGAGCAACCGCGAAGCCCGGGAGATTGCCAAGAGCATCACGGGAGTCGACATCTACTGGGACTGGGACGCCCCTCGCACCCGGGAGGGCTTCTACCGGTACCAGGGAGGCACACAGTGCGCGGTTAACCGGGCCATCGCCTATGGACCCTTTGCGGACCTGATCTGGATGGAGAGCAAGCTCCCCGACTATGCGCAGGCGAAGGAGTTTGCCGATGGCGTTCACGCCGTGTGGCCCGAGCAGAAGTAAGTGCTGTCATTCCGATTTGTCCGTCGCCTGACGCTAACACCCATTGCTTAGGCTGGCGTACAACCTGTCGCCCTCGTTCAACTGGAAGAAGGCGATGTCGCGCGACGAGCAGGAGACCTACATCCAGCGGCTGGGTGCCTTGGGATACTGCTGGCAGTTCATCACCCTGGCGGGTCTGCACACGACGGCGCTGATCTCGCATCAGTTCGCCAAGGCGTACTCAAAGCAGGGCATGCGGGCATACGGCGAATTGGTGCAGGAGCCCGAGATGGAGCAAGGAGTGGATGTGGTTACACACCAGAAATGGAGTGGTGCCAACTACGTGGACAATTTGCTGAAGATGGTGACGGGCGGGATCAGTAGCACCGCGGCTATGGGCAAGGGCGTGACGGAGGACCAGTTCAAGCACTGAGCCGGAGGGAAGGGTTTCAGCATCTTGCTATTTTTTTAAAGTGCTTCTAGCTTTATATTCTTATACCACATTGTTTCGATTTAATTCTTCGTGAATCCAGCGATTGAGGAGTGTGCTCTGGATAAGCTACAGAGCTATCCGAAAGGAGCCCGGCTTGCGAGGAAGTGGGTCTCGTGCATGACTCGAGGCCTCGCAACCTTAAGGAGCCTGGGAATGGGGGCATGTGAGCCCGCGTCAGCAGGGATCTGGCGGCGAGTGCAGGCGACGGGGGAAGGCCGGCAGACTGCAGAGGGCCGGAGATCTTCTCCGCCGTGCCGCGGTCCATCTGGTTTCAGCGGGCAACAGTGAAATGAGGGGAGGGGGGGGGGGCATGTGCGAAAGCTGCTCGGCGAATTCCACCATTGGGCCGGCCTCGGTCGGGGGGTTATATTAGGGAGGGAATACGGGATCCTGGCCACAATTGACCTCATCCTTTGTTTTCTGTCTCGTATCATTTATATCGCCCCGACAGATAGATAGATAAGGACCCCGTGCGTCAGGGGTCGTCGGTGAGGCTTGCAGCAGCTCCGCTATTCTTCATCTTCCCGGTCAACGGCCGCCTCCTGATCCTTCATCCTTTTGCATCTTCCCCCCCCCCACCCCTGTCTTAGTATCTCCCCTCAGCACCTTATTCCACCATGGGCGCTATTGAAATCCCCCCCATCCAATATACCCCGGTCGACGAGGTCGCTGACCGTGTCGCACGAGTTCGCAAGACCTTCCACGAGCACAAGACTCGCGATGTGGAGTACCGACTGGTTCAGCTCCGCAAGCTCTACTGGGCGTGAGTGCTCTCCCCGACTCCCACAACGCCACTTGGTGGAAGCTTTCCCCCCTCCCCGCATGCTTAATCTATGGCTAATCTACTTGACGCGACAGTATCAAGGATCGTGTCGAGGAGATCCACGAGGCCTTGCGTCTGGATCTGAACCGACCCGTCTTTGAGGCCGTCATGGCCGAGAGCACCTGGATGCTCAACGACATTGTCTTTGTGTGCAAGAACCTGCACAAATGGGTCCAGGATGAGAAGGCCGAGGACATCGATCTGACGTTTAAGTTTACAAGTCCCAAGATTCGCAAGGATCCCCTGGGGTGTGTGCTGGTCATTGGGTATGTTTCTTTTTTCTTGCCAATTCCGTTGGGGAATTCCCCCCCTTTTGGTTGGGTGACAGGAAAACTAATGGCGACCGCGATGCGGCCAGTGCTTTCAACTATCCTTTCCAGTTGACGCTGGGCCCCGTCATTGGCGCCATCGCCGCCGGCAACACCGTCGTCATCAAGCCCAGTGAAAAGGCCTCCCACAGCGCGGTGGTCATCCAGCAAATCGTCGAGGCCGCCCTCGACCCCTCCGCCTACACCGTCATCCAGGGTGCTGTCCCCGAGTCTCAGGCTCTGCTGGCGGAACGCTGGGACAAGATCTTCTTTACCGGTAGTGCCAATGTCGGTCGCATCGTCGCCAAGGCAGCCGCTCCCCATCTCACCCCCGTTGTCCTGGAGCTGGGTGGCATCAACCCCGCCATCATCTCCAAGAATGCCGACGCCCGACTGGTCGCGCGCCGACTGTTCTGGCCCAAGCTGATGAACGCGGGCCAGCTGTGCACCTCGCAGAACTACCTGCTGGTCGAGCGGCCTCTGGTCGACGCCGTCGTTGAGGAATTCAACAAGACCTACAAGGAGTTCTACCCCCAGGGCGCCAAGGGTTCCTCGGATTTCTCTCACATCATCGACGATGCGTCCTTCCAGCGCATCAAGGGCATGATTGACAACACCAAGGGCAAGATCGTCATGGGCGGCAGCATGGATGAAAAGGAGCGCTTCATCGAACCGACCGTCGTCGTCGTGGACTCTCCGGATGACTCCATGATCACCCAGGAGAGCTTTGGTCCTCTCATCCCCATCCTGCCTGTCGACAGCGTCGAACAGGCGGTGCAGATCGCCAACGGCATCCAGTCCACCCCTCTGGGTCTCTACCCGTTCGGCTCCAAGACCGAAGTCGAGAAAAGTATGTCTGCCCACGCCACGCATTGCTTATAGAAACTGACAGTCATCTTCCAGTCCTGTCGACGACCCGCTCGGGAGGTGTCGCCGTCAACGATGCTGCCCTGCACATTCCCACCCTCCAATTCGGTGGTGTTGGCGAGAGTGGTCAGGGTGCCTACCGCGGCAAAGCCAGTTTCGACGTCTTCGTGCACCGTCGGACCATCACGACCAGCCCCAGCTGGATCGAGACCTTCCTCGCCATCCGCTACCCGCCTTATGACGGCAAGGATGACCTGTTCAAGAAGGTCAGCACGCTGGTGCCCGACTTTGACCGGGACTGCAAGAAAGTCCGCCTTAGCTGGCTTCGGTACATCCTGACTCTGGGCGGCGGAAGCGCCAAGTCCGGTGCGGCACGTGCGACCGTCGTTGCTGCTGGTGAGTGATATTTACCTTCTCATTTCCAATCTCTGTCCTCCCTCCCCATCCAACGCCCACTGCCCCTTGCACGTGCTTGATATGCTAGACTTCTTACCGTCCGCATCGCCATCAGACCGAGAGTGATCTAGCACACCCGTCGCTTCATTAGATGAATTCCTGCGATACCACCCATATTCTCTAATACTAATACGATGCCTTGACTTTGTTTCTTGTCAAATACCCCATTTACACTAATAAACACGGTCATATACTTACATCTTCATCTTCATCAGTGGCTTACTTTGCACTCCAACTGCTCGAGCGCCGGTCCTCGAAGCTCTAATCTTTCTACATGTATCGTATTTCTTTCATCTGATTGATCTTATCGATTGGAGTGGCTATCAATCTTGATTGTATCATCGTGTACGGAGTACTCTTGCTTTCAGCATTGGGTCGGCCCAGGCGGGCAAGCTGGGTGGTTGGACCCCTATTCAGATTGTATGGGGGGTGGCTTGAGATTGGACGTTCATGTATGTATGAGTTTGTATGAGCGGGGGATATAGGAGGGATGTACATATATGTGAAATGTGATTTCCGTGACTTGATTCGTTATGGGTATAGCAGTAGAGTTCTTTTTGTCATATGTACAAGATACCACCGTGACAGCATCTTTGAGTGACCCGCCAGGACGAAGATAGTATACAAAACTCCCCAAGCAGATAGATACCAACAACGCCCGCAAAGATACCGATACCGAAACCCATCCCGATGAGAGTCGACAAAAAATTACAACCCAGAGATAGAATAGAACTAGAAGTAGCCAGTAAGAGAGGATAAGTATTTAATAATCCCCCCCCCTTCTTTTCCTCCCTCCAATCCTCTCCCCCATCCTCCCCATCCCCATTTCCATCCCCATTCCCATCCCACATCCCACATCCAAACCTCAATACGTTGTTGAGAAGGAGAAGGGGAGGGGAGTAGATAGTCGTCATTGCTATCGTGAGTTGGGGGGGTGAAGAAGAGAATGAAGCTTGAGCGTATAATATATGGCTCGGTCTATGTGATGGGGTTGGAACAGAACACGATGGTTCATGGTTTGGTACATGTTTTCCTTTCTCTGCGGAAGTTCTTTTGATACGGTAAGAATGGATCATCATGGGTCTGTTCATTTCATCTTATACGTTTGATGTCCAACGGCAAAGCGCAAACCCTCCCAGGGATTTCTCCCATAGCAGCCAGAAGGAAGAAAAGAGACAACGACTACACCACAGCATCGCGTTTCCCTTGTCCCCGCGCGATCGAGGCCGCCGAGGAGTGCGATACGACCACCTCGGTCGTCAGAATGATCCCTCGGGATTCTTGCCGCGACAGGATGTGTTCTTCGCTCGAGTTGCTGCGATCGCTATAAGGACCTTGAGCCGTGGATTTCGTCGGGACCGGGTCGATCCCGCTGAGAGTCCCAGGGCGAAGGGACTGCGGTGGGTCCTGACGGGACCGCGATAGAGAGTGTAGACGATACGGCTTGCTGCCGTACGTATACGGACGCGTCTTCGTTTGGCTCCCATAGCTACCCAGCACTTGCTTGAAGAGTGGTTTCAGGGTGGGTAGGCTGCCCGCGATGATGCCCATGTTCGACTCGACACTGGGTGAAGTTCTATGAGCTAGAGAAACGACCACATAATGAGACCAGGCTTGAGCAACTTACACGACCCAAATCGTGAGGGTGGAATAATCCCATAGAAGATCTCCTGTGCGGCCGTAATTGGGCAGAACGGAAAGCTTCACAATTGCCGCGGCGCAAGCACTAAAGGGCAACTTCTGTTAGAGCATCACCCGGCAGGTACTTGAGAATGGTAGAACTAGGTTTGAAGGTCATGCTCACAAGATGCCCAGTCCCAAGATGCAGATTAAGGAGGCTTTGATACGTCGATTGACTTGTAGATGTCTGGACCGGCCATTAGTCAAGGCGCCCGCGGAAATAGCCAAGTAGACATACCGTAGCATGATGGCCGGTAGAATGGCAAAAATGAGGTCGGTCAAGATATTGAGTCCTGGAAATATCAACCACTGCGCCTTCAAGCTGAACCAGGCAAAATGCCTCATACCGGTATTTGTGTAGCTCAACTTCAAAAGTTGTGTGGTCGTGAAGCACTTGGATTTTACGTTCTCATCCCAGATGGACCGTATATCCTTACACTCAAAAACGAGGGTCTGTCAATGGTTAGACTTTCACTCCATCATGGACAAAGGAGGCCTGGCAGGACGGACGAAAAAACATATGATGGTGTAAAGGGCCATGACGACTACCGAGATAACAATCAGCATCTTGAACATAGACGCAAGAAATGATTGCAAAGGCAATCGAGCCTGATCCACCATGAATCCCATGGCCTCTTCCTATGGCTCAATCCCCGACGTAGACGCAGCTGCTAGGTGACATACCCATCACTACCCAGATAAAGATTTTGTAACTTCGACGTGGGGCGAATCGCAACAGGAACAGTCCGATGGAGACCTTGACGAGGCCAATCACCCACATATAGATAGCCTGGGTGGCGAAATTCAGGTGCATCGCTATCGAGGCCGTATTTTCAACATAAACGGTGTGTCTTCCTGCACCGTAGATGACTTCCGGGATGACCACCGCCCATCCGGCAAGGGACTATACGATACGACACGACGTCAGCAGATTCTTGCTGCAACAGAACATGATGAGTGCTTACCAGCATCATAGTCAGTGCCATCATATAATCCTAGACGCGGTTAGAATCCAACGCTTCAGCTAGCACCGTTCGTTCTAACACCTACATCCAGGCCGGCATTCCGAATGACAAAGATGCGGACATACATGCGGGCGAGGACCACGAGCAATGCGACGACGGTGGTGATGGAGGTGGCTGCCAGGATCTGGGGGGCCTGGCTCACAGCAGGCAGGCCCGCGCCTCCCAGATGGGAATCTGCCGCCATAGTCGCAGTCGATTGGGACGGCTACATTTGACAATGCAGAGTCACTGAGCACCCATGGGAGAGAAGGGGGAGCAAAATGGACGATATAGCATCGCGTCGACCTGGGCCCGCACAATCAAAGCGTGATCGAGGTTTTCACATGAGCCACCGGCTCTGCATGCCGCCTGTAAGATTCATAAACCTAAATCCGAGCCGCGTCGTAAGGAAAGCTCCAGAACGAGGATAATCAAGACACCCCAGCTGAACAGTCAGCATCCTTTGCTGGTTGAACTTTACGTGATGAAGAAAAACCCGGAGAATTTCCGAAGCCAAAGGTTGTTTATCCACCGACTTCATCTCATCGAAAGCGTTCTGCTCGGAGCTCTGTCCCATCTTCTCTAGTGCTGATCTAGATAATCTCGCTTAGACCAGGCCAGGAGGCTGCAATTGGATCATTCGAGCAAGAAGACCTCGGTCGTGCAGGGGTTCCCATTGTCCGAGGCAAATGGATCCGGATCCCAGGCATCAGATGGGAGACTGTAGCGGCACTAACCACCACCCGAACCCAAGACCCCTGTAAGTTGTTACGTACTCCCGTGAGACTCATGCTCTTGTGGTTGACTGCGCGGCTATCTCCGATGGCACAGCACTTTAGCGCGGAGCTAGAGGTAGGGTTCATTTCGAGATAATCAATTTGGTCCGCCTAGTCCAGCACCCAAGCACGACGGTCGTTGCACCATGAGACCACGATTAGGTGCTGACCACCGAAGACCCCGGGTGGCCATGATGAAGGAAGCAGACAAGGAGAAATGTGTGCCCATGGGTTTGATGCACGGGGTTGCACTAAGACATGATAACTGTAAATGGAGATGGAAGGCGACGGTTGACACTTGGACCACAAACGGGATCGCCACAGCAATCGATCGCTCCGCGGGTCAGCATCCCCGAGGGACAACGATTCCACTTTTCGGCCGTTCAATCCGTTGGGGGGGGGGGGGGGGGGGGGGGGGGGGGAAGAGTAGAGAAGAGAGAAGAGAGAGGAGAGAGGAGAGAGGCGGAGAGCGGCTGATGTGGGGCGACTAAGGGACCAGACCCTTTTAGGGCCAGGGTTGGCGGGGGTTCCCGTACCGTAATTACCAGGCCGTGTTTGCATCTTGGATAGTTCCCTCCCAGGAACAGCAACAGCCTTGACCAACAGACACCATCGACGCTTGCTCTACAATCCCATCCCTCCCCATTTACGAATCCCCTGAGATGGCTCAGCTTTCATCTAGTTGTATAATTCATCCCAGTTCGCTGCCCACCCGCGAATCATGGCCTGGAGGATCGATCGGACGGAGTCCTGGAACCGATGGGTGGAGCAGCCAAGTCTCCAGCAAACCGCGCATCGCCCAGTCCTTGGGCTGTTACCATAGTAGTATCTCCATGGCCATCCATTAGGGCTTCGCTCCGTTTCTTGCCGGCATACAGACACTTGCATCCATAGCAAGAGACCACTATATATGCAGGCTAGCAGGGGGGCAAGCACTTAAATTGACCGTCATCCCCTGTCTCGCCATCCTTCCGGTGCGCCGGCTGCTGACCGTTCTGTCTCTACCTCCCTCAATCTCCCCCCGGAGCTCAACGCCATGGTTGCCCTCAAGGCCCTCAGTTTGGGCCTTCTTGCGTCGCAGGCCTGGGCCGTGCCGACTGCCTCCTCCAAGGCCACCTCGACCAGCGCGTCCCCGGCAGCCTCGAGCTCCGCGGTGGCCGCTGCAGCCTCCACGGTCGAGCAATTGGCCCGCCAGGCCTTCCAAGTCACGATCGACAATCTCCCCGCCAGCGCGGAGGACCGCCAGGCCTGTACCCGGGAAACCCTGCGCATCCGTCGTGACTGGAGGTCCTTCTCCAAGGCCGAGAAGAAGGCCTACATCCACGCCGTCCTGTGTCTGCAGGATCTGCCCGCGCGCACGCCATCGCATCTAGCCCCAGGAGCCAAGACTCGATATGATGACTTTCTGGCCACGCATATCAACCAGACGCTAGAGATTCACTACACGGTAGGATGCTCCCTCCCTTCCTACAAACCCCTCCCCAATCCCGCCTACACAAACCCTAACATCCCAATCAACCCAGGGAACCTTCCTGGCCTGGCACCGACTCTTCACCTTCGAGTTCGAGCAAGCTCTCCGCGACGAGTGCGGCTACCAAGGCGACTTTCCGTAAGTCCCATCCCCATCCCCCCATCTCTCACTCCCCCAACTAAACCCCCTCCCTCCAGCTACTGGGACTGGGGTGCCGATGCCAACGACATGGAACACTCGGAAGTCTTCGACGGCAGCGAGACCTCCATGTCCGGCAACGGAGCCTACATCCCCAACCAAGCCGACATCGACCTCTACCTGGGCAACTACCCCGCGATCGTTCTCCCCCCCGGCAGCGGCGGCGGGTGCGTGACCAGCGGGCCCTTTAAGAACTACACCGTCAACATGGGACCCGCGGCCCTCTCCCTCCCCGGCGGCAACACCACCTCCGTCGCCAACCCCCTCGACTACAACCCCCGCTGCCTCAAACGCAGTCTCACCACCGCCATCCTCCAACGCTACAACACCTACCCCAAGATCGCCTCCCTGCTGACCGACAACACCGACATCTGGGACTTTGAAATGGCCATGCAGGGTGTCCCGGGGAGCGGATCCATCGGTGTCCATGGGGCGGGCCATTACTCCATGGGTGGGGATCCCGGACGGGATGTCTACGTGAGTCCGGGCGATCCGGCCTTCTGGCATCATCATGGTATGATTGATCGCGTGTGGTGGATTTGGCAGAATATGGATCTGGAGGACCGCCAGAATGCGATTTCGGGCACGGGCACGTTTTTGAATGAGCCGCCTTCGGCAAATACCACGCTTGATACGGTGATTAATATCGGGTATGCTAATGGAAGGCCCCGGGCGATGAACGAGTTGATGAGTACTACGGCCGGGCCGTTGTGTTATGCCTATTTGTGAGGGAGATTGCTTGGTATGTAGTCTAGTATATAGTAGCTCTGTAAATGAGATGCGTGGGGGATATTAATGTACTTATTATGAAGATGTAGGAGAACTTGGGATATACGTGCGTGAGGTAGTTTTCGCATCGCAATATCAGGAACCCATCCTATACTGATACTACTAGCTACTATACGACGGCGCACATCATTCATTCAATAAGCCAAGCATATCCAAGGTAGATCAATTGTAGATGTATAGGGGAAAGTATAAATCCCTCGTTAGCATCGTCGTTCCACCCCCTTCCGACTCACACAGATATATTTCACCCCCTTGTAGGGTTTCACCCCCTCACCCAGCCCCCGACTCCGTCGCGGGTCAATGTTCAGGCTTTCCACCTTGATGCCCGACGGCAGCCAGCCGCGGACGGAGAACGAGACCGACGCCGACGTGGGCATCAGCGTGGCGTTGAGTTGCGTCTTGGTTTTGCGGGGCGCCGTGAGGAAAATGGAGGATTCGGGGGGTGGGCGGGTGGGGGATTGTTTCTGGGATTGGGATTGTGATTGGGGTGGTTGTGGGGAGGATGGCTGGATGGGCGGTATTGGGAGTTGTGGTTCGGAGGCGTGAAGTTCAGGGTCTTCGGATGTCAAGGGGAGGGGATCAGCGGGGGACGACGCTGAGCCTTCGGCTGCCGCTGCTGCTGCTGCCGCCGCGGCGCGGGAGGAGGATTTCTTGACGACCTTCTTCTTCTTCTTTTTCTTGACCTTGCGTTTCGTCGTGTCTGCTTCAGCGTTCTGGTAGCTGTTCGTGGCGTCGTAGTAGCCTTGAAGGAGATTGGCGTCGGCGTCGAGCTCTTCGACCTCCTCCTCCAGGTCATCGTCCAGGTAATGTCCCACAACGGTGCACCGGAGGGTGGCCGTCCCGGAAATTGTGCCGGCGTCTTTGGTCGGCACGCGCCATTCTAGTGAGGTGCTGCCTGGTGAGAAGAGGGCCTCTCCACGGCTCGCTTGCATGTCTGTGATGTTCCGGACCGACTTGGGGATTGGCACGGTCACTACAACCTCTTCGAGTGCCGGCGTTGACGAGTTCCCGCTTCCTCCCCCGAGAAAAGAGGGCGTCGACGTGCCGGATCCGCTTCTCCCGACGCCGGGTCGGTTGAAGGATGAGTAGCCCGGGAAGTTGGTGTTGAGAATAAGGCGCACCTCAAAGTCGGAGCCGGTTGGGCCGAGTGACCTGCGAATGTCCACGATAGCAGGCAAGAAGAGCTTCTCCATATGGCTGGGGGGCTGATCAAGTCCCGGATCGATTGGTAACAGGTCCACCTCGTACCCGGCAAGAATGAACCGTCCATCCGGTGGTACAAAGCTGAGCTCTCCGGGGTGTTCCCGCCATCGCGCCAGCCTTACGCAAGGGTGAAATACTGGCAGGTCCATTTTCCGTCCCAACACCTTTTGGCCGCCGGGCGCGGTCAAGGAAAGAAGTAGATCGGGTACACCGGAGATTTTGGCAGTAAAGGCAATAGTACCAGAAGATATGGCAGAGAGCAGCCGTCCCGATGGCGCTATCGTCACTGAAAGCGACTCGATGATATCAACGTATAGTTCGTTGGAGGTATGTCGGACTCCGGACTTTCTCCAGGGAATCGCAGGGCCCTGGGCCGCGGCGGCGGATGCCATGGATTGCTTCAAGGCATTGGGCTGTCCCAGGATGGGTGTTGATGATCTGCAAACCGACCACTCTGTTAGTTCGTGTAAATAAGACGGTAGTACCAGAGCACCATCATTCCGCTACAATCGTGACGCACCCAGGCAATCCAACACCACCTAACAGCTTCCCCATCCACCCCGGCATCTCCACTACCTCTTGCAGCGCATTGGGCTCAGTATTGCATACGATACCCGCATCGCACATCTCATGCAGAAGCTGCGCAACCACCTCATAGTTCGCCTGCAGCTTCGAAGAAAGCAAGGGGGCCCCAACGAAGTCCTCGAGCACATCGACGACCCGATGCAGGAATTCCAGCACAAGCAGCGGTTCCGTGTCAACCTCGGACAGGGCCAGAAACAACAAGTTAGACTGAACCACTGAAAATACCGTCACCGGCGGAGTAGCACCCGGGATGTATAAAAGCGATGGCCGCGGAGCTGCATGGGCGAGATACAACGGGAGAATGGCCGGTGCGGAGGGAGGACGGGAGCGATAGACCTGCTCGACGATCGGATTGCTGGATGACAGGACAGGTCAGTGACTGCTGTGTAACGAGAACATTGGAAAGAACGGCGTGCCTCTGCTCGTCATAGATATAGAGCGCATCGATCTGGCCGCTCATGATGGCGATGGCGACCTATCCCGACCGGTGGGGGCGTAACGTAGTAGGAAGAGGTGGTCATGGTGCAGCATGATGGTTGGTGATCGATCGGTCCCCGTTTTAGTGGAGTCCAAAACCCCCCCGTTCTGCCGTTGATCCCCGCCTTCTCATGCATTTCCTTTTGGATGCGGCTGCAGTAGAGCTTGTCCGGACTGCTGTCGCTAAAGTTTTTCCCTGGCTCTTTTTCAGCGAATACAACATGGCTCCTCCTACCGAGAATACTGGCGCCTGGGATATCCAGCCCAAGGACGCAAAGCGTGCGCTTGCAGAAGACGCCTATGATGACTGCCTGTCTTGCAGGGTGACCGGTGAGCTATCCTGCTTCCTTTGAGCGCTCCTCAACAGTTCTGTGGCTAAATCAGTACTCACAGGATCCGCTGCATTCATCGGTCTCGGTGTATACAGCTACTACTCGGGCATGAAGAACCTGAAAATGCAAGAAAAGGCGATCATGCAAAGCGCAACCAAGTACAAGATGGCTTCCCGGCAACTAGGAATCGCAACCATCTCGGCGACCCTAGTTGGCATGGGGCTGTGGAGGGCTTTCAACTGATACCCAGGCCAATTTGTATATCATGTACTCTGCTCACGGCGTTGGGTTGTTTTGATGGGAATGCACGTCAAGCCAAGCACTTCTGTTCGTAATACACATGTACAAAGTAGCATATAGAAAGGATCGTACGATTAATATAACACTAGCCGCCTCACCGGGTATCACCGCGTCTGATAACCTCTATAGATTTAATAGATATGATGACCAAGGAAAATGCAGGAAGGGAAGGAGAATCAAACATGGGCAAAGAAAAGGAGGATATGAGTCACAAGTATAAGGTAAAGATGACAGGAGAGGAAAAACAACCCGTGGTCCGATGTACCACATGCAATACTCCCACTAATGCACCGAAAGTAGAAAGAAAAGGAAAACAAGAATGGATTGACCGCTGCGTGACCGTAAGAATATGTTCGTCTAATCGTCGATACCATATCTTCTAGGTGAAGCGGCCACGTTTGCCACCCCCAAACATGTCTCGATTGCCTAGCCCAGATAAGTCGAAAAAATCTGGAACGGCAAGCTTTCGTTTCGAGCCAAGTCCGACGGATGATTCGCGAGGGGACGACCGAGGGTTCGGTCGTGAGAAGTTGTTGTGACGATTCTGTTGCCGGGAGTTTCGAGACAAAACGGAGACGCTGACTGGGGCACCATCCTGGGACGCAGGGGTCGAGCTGTCCGAGGCCTGCATGTCCATTTCTTGTTCAGGAAGTTGTGGGAAGGTCGGTCCAGCAGAGAAAGTGAAGATAGTCGGTCGATCAAAAGCGTTGGCTTCTGGGGCTTGGGACGGAGGTGCGGGAGGTTGGTGCTGCGCTGGTGCTGCACCTTGCTCTTCCGCCGCAGGTGATGCAGGCTTGGATGACGGCTGGGGATTTTCGGAATCGGGCTGTGCCTTGCGGGCTACAGCGGGTGTTGCGCCTCGAGTCTGTTTCTCAACCTCATCGTCGTCGCTGGGGGCCCCAATACCATCACTCCGTTCCGTGGCCCATTGTCGAACCTTCCAGCCCTCTCCATCCCCGAGACCGAGGTTCTCTCGATCTAAAAAGTGCAGGAGATCTTCAATTGCTTCTTGGTAGCCGGCTTGTTTGGCCTGCGCCTGTTCGTAAACGGCATTCTTGTAGAGGTTGGTGACGGACAGCGCAGCGGCCTTGAATGACTGTAGAAGTTGCTCCGGCGGTTGTGCTCGAGGCGTCGAGCTAGGTAGTGATGTGTTGAGGGATCTCATGGAATCCATGGTGTGGTGGGCGGTGGCAGAGCAGCCTTTGCGAAGGGTTCAGACAACAAATAGTAATGTTGGCGTCACTATGAGGGGTGACTTGAACCGTGCTTTGTGAACAGGGGTCAGACAAACTCCGAGGCAACCGGAGAGTACGCGGATCGCAAAACGTACCCGACGGAGAAGAAAGAAAGGAACTGGCCCAAGGAGGGGCAATATAGAAGGAAAGAGACAAGCTCCGGCAGCAAACAACAGACGTGGACTGGTGATGACCGATCGGAAAGGACGCTGGCGCAGCTGATCTTTCTTTGCGTCTGTCCCGGTAACGTGACCCACAGCGGGGAAACTGGTCTTCCGCCCCCTGCTGAGTCATGAATGAGTCAGTGACGCCTTCGCGTCTCCCGCCCAATCAGCGCGTGGCCTGGCCGCGCTTCTCCGATGAAATTCCATTTGCCATCCCATCAGCGCGACTGGCGGTGCTTCTTCGTCCTTTCATCATCCGTCACTGGTTGTTCCCTCCTCACCTCCTTTGCGCAGCATCGGGCACAATTCAATTCTTACCATCCGACCCTCTACAACCGCTCTCCCTACAGCTAGTCGGTCTGCATATTTCTATCGGCCTCATTGATAGCTCCGACCCTTGTTTGTCTTTATATCGAGTCGTGTCCCGCCTTGTATAGCGCCAAACACCTGCGCTAGGTGCGCTGTGGATGGCGATGGCCCCTTCACTTGCTCCCACCTCCGATTCGCCTTCACAGGCAGATACCCCAATGACGGATGCGAACCCCGAGCCCGTCACGTCAGTGCCAGTAGATAGCGCAGACGCGCCGATGACGGTGAGTTAGCGCAATCCCCGCTCCTTTGCGGAACATACCATGTTCAAGCGCGTCCTCGTCCATACTGGAAGGCGCTTGTGCTGACAACCCGTCTGTTTCAGGGCTATCAGGACACTCCAGACTACACGGTAAAAGCGTTCCGGTCGATCGCTGTTCATCCGACGTGCGAGCCAGCTAACACGAATTAGGATTCGGACACGAACCCAAACACCACGGCGAGCAGTGTTGCAGGCGACGCAGCGCCTTTGGATGGCCGGAGACGGAGGTCGGAAGCTTTTCACATGAGGAAAAGTATTTTGGGCAAGAAGCACGGTCGTTTGGATGAATCTAAGGTACGCCAACGCAATCGTCGTGCGTCGGTGGCTAATTGCTTACGGATGGTGCTGCTTTAGGAAGATGACTCTATCCGACGGTTTCGCTACCTTCTCGGTCTCACAGACTTGTTCCGTCATTTCATCGAAACAAACCCCAACCCGCGGATCAAGGAAATCATGACTGAGATTGACAGGCAGAACGCTGAGGAGGAAGCGAAGGCTAAGAAGAAGGGCTCAGCACGCTCGGGCGGTGCAGGCGGCGACAGACGTCGCAGGACAGAGCAGGAGGAAGATGCCGAACTGTTAAAGGACGAAAGGAGCGGCGGTGAGACTGGCACGGTCTTTCGGGAATCTCCTCCATTTGTCCAAGGCGAAATGCGCGACTACCAGATTGCTGGACTGAACTGGCTTGTTTCGCTGCATGAGAACGGTATTTCGGGTATTCTGGCCGACGAGATGGGTCTCGGCAAGACTTTGCAGACCATCTCTTTCCTTGGCTACCTCCGACACGTATGCGAGATCACTGGCCCGCATCTAATTGCCGTTCCGAAGTCCACACTCGATAACTGGAAGCGGGAGTTTGGAAAATGGACCCCCGAGGTCAATGTGCTTGTCCTCCAGGGTGACAAGGAGCAGCGCCACAAGTTGATCAATGAACGGCTCCTTGATGAGAATTTCGACGTCTGTATCACCAGTTATGAGATGGTCCTCCGGGAAAAGTCGCACCTGAAGAAGTTCGCCTGGGAGTACATCATCATCGACGAAGCTCATCGGATCAAGAACGAGGAGTCTTCTCTTGCGCAGATTATCCGCGTTTTCCACTCCCGCAACCGACTACTGATCACCGGAACCCCGCTCCAGAACAACCTGCACGAGCTTTGGGCCCTTCTTAACTTTTTGTTGCCGGATGTGTTCGGTGATTCGGAGGCATTTGACCAGTGGTTCTCCGGCCAAGACGCCGACCAGGATACTGTTGTACAACAGCTCCATCGGGTTTTGCGGCCTTTCTTGCTTCGTCGTGTCAAGAGCGATGTGGAAAAGAGCCTGCTCCCAAAGAAAGAGGTCAATTTATATGTGCCCATGTCGGAAATGCAGATCAAATGGTATCAGAAGATCCTCGAGAAGGACATCGATGCTGTTAACGGTGCTGCCGGTAAGCGCGAGTCGAAAACCCGATTGCTGAACATTGTCATGCAACTGCGTAAGTGTTGCAATCATCCCTATCTTTTCGAAGGAGCTGAGCCCGGTCCTCCGTACACGACCGATGAGCACCTTGTCTATAATGCGGGCAAGATGGTTATCCTTGATAAACTGCTCTCGCGTATGCAGAAGCAAGGAAGTCGCGTCCTCATCTTTTCTCAAATGAGTCGTGTGCTTGATATTTTGGAAGACTACTGCGTTTTCCGTGAATACAATTACTGCCGTATCGATGGTACAACAGCTCACGAGGACCGAATCGCGGCAATCGATGATTACAACAAGCCAGGTTCGGAGAAGTTTGTCTTCCTCCTTACGACAAGAGCGGGAGGCTTGGGTATCAACTTGACAACTGCGGATATCGTTGTGCTCTACGATAGTGACTGGAACCCTCAGGCAGATTTGCAGGCGATGGACCGTGCCCATCGTATCGGCCAGACGAAGCAGGTTGTGGTATTCCGATTCGTCACGGAGGATGCGATCGAAGAAAAGGTATTGGAACGCGCTGCGCAGAAGCTGCGACTCGACCAGCTTGTCATCCAACAAGGACGTGCTCAGCAGCAGACGAAGAATTCGGCCTCCAAGGAGGAGTTGCTCGGCATGATCCAACACGGAGCTGCCAATGTCTTTAACACGAAGGGCAATAGTGGCACCTTGTCTGCAGAACATCAGATCACCGACGATGATATTGACAGCATTCTGCGCAAGGGTGAGGAACGGACCGCAGAATTGAACAAAAAGTACGAGAAGCTTGGTATCGATGACTTGCAGAAATTCAGCTCCGAAAGCGCCTACGAATGGAACGGCAAGGATTTCACGGACCGCAAGAAGGACATCGGTATCAATTGGATCAACCCGGCGAAGCGAGAGCGAAAGGAGCAGTTTTACTCGATCGACAAGTACTATCGCCAGGCTTTGGCTACCGGCGGCAGGACAGCTGATCCCAAGCCCAAGGTTCCCCGTGCACCAAAGCAGATTGCTGTTCATGATTGGCAGTTTTTCCCGCCTGGGCTTCAAGAGCTGCAGGAGAAGGAGACAGCCTACTTCCACAAGGAGATTGGATACAAAGTCCCGCTTCCTGACGGCCCTGAAGAAGAGTTGAGCGAGCGCGAGGCCGAGCGTGATCTGGAGCAACAAGAGATTGACAACGCGGTGCCATTAACGGAAGAGGAACAAGCGGAGAAGGCGAGGATGTCTGAGGAGGGCTTCTCTACCTGGAACCGTAGGGATTTCCAACAATTTGTGAACGGTTCGGCCAAATTCGGCCGTACTGACTATGTTGGAATCGCCACTGAAGTGGACAGTAAGGAGCCGGATGAGATTGAGGAGTACGCGCAAGTATTCTGGGAGCGCTACACGGAAATCCAAGATTATCCGAAGTACCTTCGGGTCATTGAGCAGGGTGAGGAGAAGGTGCGGAAGATGAACCATCAACGCAAGATGCTTCGCAAGAAGATGGAGATGTACCGCGTTCCCCTTCAGCAGGTCAAGATCAACTACACCGTGTCTACCACCAACAAGAAAGTATATACGGAAGAGGAGGACCGGTTCTTGTTGGTGATGCTGGATAAGTATGGCGTTGATGGTGAAGGTCTCTACGAGAAGATCCGCGACGAAATCCGCGAGTCCCCTCTGTTCCGGTTCGACTGGTTTTTCCTCAGTCGGACTCCTGTCGAGATTGGGCGTCGCTGTACCACCCTGTTGAACACCGTTGCCAAGGAGTTCGAGGCTGATGATGGAAAACCCAATGGGGAGAGCGGCAAAGGCCGGGGACGTGACCGCGATGACGATGAGGCGGAGGATGACGATGGCCCTCCGGCCAAGAAAAAGACCAAGGGCGGCGCAGTTGTAAGTTAATTCATTCCTTGCGGTTGAAATCCCTGCAGCTAACCGATTCACAGAACAAGCAGGTCAAAGCCGTCAAGGGAGGCAGCAAGGCAACTTCTGCCTCGACGTCACGGGCAGCCAGTGTCTCCTCCAACGCCGCTCCCAAGTCCAGGAGTCGGAAGAAATAATCTCTCTAGGTGGGCGACGACTAGGATTGTTATGACTAATCTGTAGACTGTTTGGGAAGCTTTTTGACAGAGGAAGGGGTTTATTGGTTCTTTTTGTTCCATATATGTCGGTCCGGCGTTGGCAGATAGATGCCATTGTAGTTTATGATTCATCAATCTTTTATCCCCTTGATTTACTTTTGTTAATGACACCCAGCGGTCAAGAATCATCCGAGTTGTCTCAAAGTGCACGAGGGGCTGTTTTTACTTAGCTTCAGAAAAGGCTCGGCGAAAATATAAGCACTTGTTACATTAATACGCTTCGCCTTCTATCTGCCAAAGATCTACCAGAGCATTTGCATCCGAAAGTATACTTCTCTCCGCCTTGTCGGCCTTTCCCTCACCGCCCGGAGCGGCCGATAAGATAGGCGCATTATCGTTATTCCGCCCCTAATTTCGCGTTAGTTGGAGAAACGCGTCCGCTGGAAGGGCCTCCATATCACCTTGTTGGGAATTCATAGGTGCAACCATGCTGCTGCGCGTATCGTTTTTCTGAGGCACCCCCTCCAGTCCCTTGCTCAGCAAGTAGCCTCTTCGATCGTCTTGTCTTTTGCTCTCATCTGTACAACAATTTGTTCTTCAATTCATTGTCCGGGTGGGCTTCTGCATGTCATTCCATATCTCTCATTTTACCTTCATCGAAATAGATTTTTTTTAAATTCCAAAACCATGGATATTGGCCAAATAATGTCCGCAGTCAACGGGGAGTCCCACTCAGACAATGAAAATGATCTAGTGAAGGAGCTATTCGCCAAATTCAATAATCCAACAACTCGCGCAGAACGACCAGTACAACCGAAATCCGAACCCCTGGTTGTCGAGATTCCGAGCGTTTCAGCCGATGACCTCACACAGTATGAGTACCTTCCAGGTCATTTCGATGTCCGCTATGTCATAAGTGAGAATTCCGAGGCCGATGCTGGGCTGAGCTATCAAGTGAGGCTGCAAAGTGGCGAGACTGAAATGGTGAGGGTTTCTCTTTTGCGCCCATTCACTCTCAGTTGACCCCCACCTTGCTGACTCCATTTTCTGTTCAGATGTCCTTCGCGCACCTTCAGTCGCTTCAAAACGGACCCGAGGCTCTGTCGAATTTCCTCAACTACGGACCGGATCACTATATCTCCTCTCGATCGGCCCCAGCTAGCTCTTCAGAAGAGCATTCACCCTCCTTTGATTCAGACGCTCCCAATATGAGGCGCTCCCGACGGTCTGCACGTGGTCGACAATCTGGGTTTACGGCATTCTTCGAGGTCTTTAGCAGTGACGATGATACCCGTCGCAAGAGAAGGAAGGGGACGCCTTCAAGCGAGGATATAATTGCTTCGGCTGGGGCTACTTCTAAGGGACGCCGTGTGTTGCGACGCCGTACGAAGGGTATGCGCTCGGTTATCTCGGAGTCCGAGGAGGAAAGCGACTATAGTGCACCGAAAGGCACACGGTTTTCGACTAGAACACGGAAAAGCACGAGGAGAAATCTGCGTGAAAGAAACGAGGACGACATCTCTGAGAACGAGGATACGCCTAGAACACAGAAGTTCTTTGGAGCCAAGGAAGTCTTTCGCAAGATCCCAGAGCATGATGCATTTCGCCAGCGTCACCGGAATGCGTGCGAAGTCTGTCATATTATTGGAGACGATTATGCAAAAGGGCCTCTCGTGTTCTGTCAAGGATGTACGAGTGCCTATCACCAAGCATGTCTAGGCCCACGGTCTGCGCGAGAACATCTTGTCACCAAGGTCGGAGAAGAGCTCTTCTTACTCCAATGTCGGCGCTGTCTGGGGGTTTCGCACTCCAAGGACCCAGACAATCCGCATCAAGGCCGCTGCTCGATCTGCAATATCAAAGGAAATATGTCCAAGCCAATCCGGGAACGTCTGACCCCCAAACAAGAACAACAGCTCCGTCAGCAAAACGGAGGCAAAGATCCCATCACACCGTATGATGTATCACGCGTCAATGATGTCGATAATGTACTTTTCCGCTGCACGACTTGCCACCGAGCTTTCCATTTCGATCACCTGTCTGAAATCACACATATGACGTGGCAATGTCAGTGCTGTTCTTCTGCACCTGGAGAAGTCGGTGCGATAGTCGCATGGCGCCCCGTTGACCCGAAATCGGATGCTGCGAAGGGGGCAGATAAGGAATACCTCATTAAGTGGAAGAATAAATCGTACAATCATACCAGCTGGATGCCGGGCAGTTGGGTTTGGGGCTTCGTGAACCATAGTATGCGACGGGCCTTTTTGAGATCTGATAAAAGCCTGGAACCGCGTATGGCCACTGAGGAGGCCATTCCGGAAGACTACTTGCTGGTGGATATTGTTTTTGATGTCAGGTTTACCGGCTCGTCACCCGACGCTGGGAATAAGCGGACCTTCGAAACAGACATCGCACGGGTAGACGATGTGGCCGAGATGTATGTTAAATTCAAAGGTTTACCATATGAGGATGTATCCTGGGACACGCCCCCTGATCGCAGCAACCCCGAACGGTGGGAAAGTTTCAGGGCCGCGTTCGAAGACTGGGTTAAACGAGAATACACCCACATACCCAACCAAGAGAACCTAAGACGGCGTATTGCTCACGTCCGGAAGCAGAATTTCAGCTCCAATGTGGTCAAGAAGGGCCAGCCCGAGACGATGAGTGGTGGAGAGATCATGGATTACCAGAAGGACGGGCTGGACTGGCTCTATTACATGTGGTTCAAACAGCAGAACGCCATATTAGCTGATGAAATGGGTCTGGGCAAGACCATCCAGGTCATTGGCTTCCTCGCCACTCTTATCCAATACCATAAATGCTGGCCTTTCCTGGTCGTGGTGCCGAACTCCACGTGCCCGAATTGGCGCAAGGAGATCAAGTCGTGGGTTCCCTCCATGCGGGTAGTCACATACTATGGATCCGCCTTCTCCCGGAAGCTTGCACAAGATTATGAGATGTTTGCGGATGACGATCCGAACCTTCGGTGTCATGTCGTGGTGGCCTCCTATGAGACCTTGGTCGATGATGCATCCCGAAAGGTGCTGTCCAAAGTACCTTGGGCGGGTCTAATCGTGGATGAGGGTCAACGGCTGAAGAACGACAAGAGTCAGCTTTATGATGCCTTGTCGCGGATCAAGTTCCCTTTCAAGATTCTGTTGACCGGCACGCCTCTTCAGAATAATATCAGAGAGCTCTTCAACCTCTTGCAATTCTGCGACCCATCCAAAAGGGCAGATGATCTAGAAAACGAGTATGGAGATCTATCCCAGGAGAACATCTTGGAGTTGCATAACATGATCCGTCCATTCTTTCTGAGACGGACCAAAGCCCAGGTCCTCACATTCCTTCCTCCAGTTGCTCAGATCATCGTCCCGGTCTCGATGTCGGTGGTCCAGAAGAAACTTTACAAATCTATTTTGGCCAAGAATCCACAACTGATCAAAGCGATCTTCCAGAGGAAAGAAGGCACGCAAGCTCTGAAACAGACGGAAAAACATAATCTGAACAATATTATGATGCAATTGCGAAAATGCCTATGTCATCCTTTTGTCTACAGCAGGGCGATCGAAGAGAAAACTGCCAACACTGCTGCATCGCACCGGCATTTGGTGGATGCAGCCGGCAAGTTCCAGCTATTGGAACTGATACTACCAAAACTCAAAGGACGCGGCCACAGGGTTCTGATCTTTAGCCAATTCCTGGAGAATTTGGATATCATTGAAGACTTTCTGGAAGGTCTGGGGTTGTTGTATCTTCGCCTGGACGGAAGAATGACATCGCTCGAGAAGCAGAAAACGATCGAGGCATACAACGCGCAAGACTCGCCGTACTTTGCGTTTCTCCTTTCCACTCGATCGGGTGGCGTTGGAATCAACCTGGCTACCGCCGACACGGTTATCATCATGGACCCGGATTTCAATCCACACCAGGACATGCAGGCATTGTCCCGTGCCCATCGTATCGGACAAAAGAACAGGGTCCTTGTCTTCCAACTCATGACCCGAGGAAGTGCCGAGGAGAAAATCATGCAAATTGGCAAGAAGAAGATGGTCCTTGACCATGTGCTTATTGACCGAATGGTCTCGGAGGAAGACGACGGACGGGACCTCGAGTCTATTCTACGGCACGGAGCCCAGGCCTTGTTCGACGACGATGACTCGGGTGATGTGCGCTATGATTCCGATTCGGTGGATAAGCTTCTTGACCGCAGTCAAGCCGAGCAGGCTAGAACACCTGATGAGAGCAGCCATGAGTCTCAGTTTAGCTTTGCTCGAGTTTGGGCAAATGACAACCAGAACCTTGAGGATCAACTGCAAAATGTAGAGGAGGAACCTGCGCCAAGTGCCGATGTTTGGGAAAAGATCCTACGAGAGCGAGAACAGGCGGCCGCCGAGGAGGCCAGGCGGAAGGCAGAAACCCTTGGTCGTGGAAAGCGCAAACGGACTGCTGTTGACTATGCCAACGATGCGTTGATGGAGCTATCCCCTGTCAAAGACCGACCGGATCGCGAGATGGAGAGTGACGTAGAGTTCAGAGCAGAAGAGGCGGCGGAATCAGAGTCGGATTCTGCGCCCGATCTAGACCCCAACGAGATGGATCAGGTGGCTAAGAGGTCTAAAGGTAAGCGCTCTTGCATTGACTAAGCTCCTCCGAGGACGGACTGATCAAAGCCCACAGTCCGGCAGTTTCAACGCGTGCCCCCGCAGAGCCTGCCTCCGCCGATGGATGGCAGCGTTGAGCCCAGTGGCTATCAAGGGCCAGCCTGCATCGTATGTAAGCAGGCCCACCCGATCGGACATTGCCGCCTAAAAATGGCTGGCGTCGAACACTGTCCGTTGTGCGGGCTCGCCCATTATGGGTATTCGCGCACATGTCCCCATCTGCGATCGGAAGACCAAGTCAGCCGAATGCTGCTCGCGGTGAAGCAGAGCACGGAGGACCCTGAAATCGTCCAGCTCGCGAAGCGGTACTTGAGTGGGGTCCGAGGTGACCTTGCACAGCGTAAGAGAATACTGGCCAGTAAGGCTGTGTCAAGTCTCACAAATCACGGCACACCCACCACCGGTCGAGCTCCTGCTAATGCCATTGGAACGGAATCCCCCGTGGTTGATCTCACAACGGATGATGGCCCGCAGCCGAATTTCCAACAACAACCACAACAACCCCCATTGTCTGGGCCCCTGGCTCCCCTAGGTCCCCCTCAGCCCCTTCAGCCTCCTCCATTTGAGAATTGGCCTAGCCACGGTTATTGAACCCCGCAAAATCGAAGTCAAAAAAGCTTGTTTTGGGGTGGGGGGGGAACGGGGAGACTGGTTTTGGAGTACGGGATATCTACGGTCTGGTTTGAATGGGACTGGCGCAAGGCGTATCGTATGGTATGGGCTTCGAGATTCTCGTCGCCCGGGAGGCATCCATGATGTACATAAACAATTAACAATAAACATACTCGAGAGATTCACAGCCAGAAATGGAAGGTGCCCGTCCGGTTCCCGGCTGGGAAGGCGCTGGTCACATGTCGGCGTTCTTCTGCTCTGGATGTTGGTTTGAAATCCTTGTTTTTCCTCTTCTTCTTTTCCTATCCCGCCGTTACTGTGCTTCATCTCTTCTGGCATCGATGTATCTTCCCCGTCCTCCAACTAGACTCGAGTCTCCATTGAGAACAGGCCAAATCCCACCGATCAATATGCCTATTCCAAGAGTCTAGGCCGGCTTTCAGGGGGGAAGTTGACTAGCTCAGCTATCTCCCAAAGGTGCCAGTGCCAGCTGTGTTTCCCATCCCATAGCCGCAGTGAAACCTCCTCACCACCGCTGATAGGGCTATGCGAGAAATGTCTTGCTCAGAGGGGGTGCCACGCTATGTCTCATTTTACTTATCGCGGATTTCTGGTGGAGGGCGCATCTGCTGCCGCTGATTTGCTGGCTGGGGGACCTTTGTGTTACCAACACCAACGGCCAATATAACCGTTTCTCCCGCCACGTTTTTATCGCCCATCAGGGCTTGGGAGCAAGGGCAGTCAAGAGGATTGACCAGGAACAGAGGGGGCCCCGATGGCATCGGAAGCTTCTGCAGGCTTCATGCAAGTAAACAAACCACATCCCATCGTCGGTCTTGGCTGCTTGACGCCATTGACAGTCATTCCAGAAGCAGACGGGGTTCAACGAGGGGCAGGGAAACGGAAGAAACGGACATGCAGCGATTCCAGTGAAGGCTGCTGCCGGACGGCTCAAAGATTGGTAAGGAGCCTGACAGGCGCCCCAAGGATGCCGATGAGAGGGACAGAGGCAGCCCGTGTGCCAGAGAGGAAGCCTGCAGCCATCCGGTTGTACTGACCAACATCATCGGACAAATACTCACGGCAGTGACCCAGCGCCCTTTCCCAAAGGGCTCTTGACGCCAGCCTGGGATGCTGCCCTCCTTCGAATTCCGCGGCTTTCTCCTCCGTCTGGGGGGATGACTGTCTCCGATGGGATCTCTCAACCCCCGTCCTTGTATCCCACAGCTGTCGTGTGTCTCTCCTCGCTGGCAGTTGCCATTGTAAAAGCTAGACCCGTATAGTTTGCCTGCCGCCCTTGATATTTAAGCCTCTTGTGCACCTGGACTGCCAGAGACTCAAATTTTGTGTCGTCTGCAAGTTTCTGCTGGCAGCGTTCAGTGAATGTTAAAATCTTCTCTTCCTTGCCCACGCACGCCGGAAATTCACTTCTGCCCTTTCCCTCTTCCTCTCCCCCTCTTCTTCATCTCTCCTTTTCCCTCTCGTCTGTCCCCTTTTTCCTCTTCCCTTCCAGGGCTCCTGCCATCATCTCCCTTTAAGTTCTAGCATCTTACTTTCGTCTTCTCTCCCCGCTGGCCACGAGACGGCCTGTCAGATCCCTGCATTTGCATCCCTGTTCCTTAACCATGTCCTCCCCCCTCCGGCCTCAGTACTTCTGCACCCGCCCGAATGGCGCGGTGACTGCCCTCGTTGCCGTGGATGAGCTTCCGTCCAAAATCTCGATTCGCGGGGTTCCCCGTAATCTTCAGCCAGACCAAACTCGGGGGATGACCAGCCTGGGCACCGTGGCCGCCCGGCTCCCACAGACATATGTGGTGGAAAGCGCTGCTGCTCTCTCTGGTCCCTCCCCCCGGGCGCCCTTCTCCAACCCGGCGGCCCATCACGCTCAAGGTCCCGACCAGCAGGCCGCTCTTGGACGCCTGCTCGCCGACGACAGTGCTCCTGAAGACCTCCGTCTGGCTGTGACGACGATACAACACTATGGTTTGCTCCACCACCTGTTAGCACCCGAATCATCCGCTAGCAACTGGATGGTGCCGAGTGGTGGCGGTGGAAGTGGAGGTGCCAGCCACGGGGCTTCCAGGCAGGTATGTGTCACCCCAGATCTGCCTTGCAGGGACTCTGCGAGAAGGACGACCCCGGCTGACCCTACATCAGGGCACTCACTCTAACACTAAGAAGCTGTATTGCTCTTATTGGCTCCGCCACGGCGAGTGCGACTACCAGCAACAAGGCAAGTCTGCGAGTGCATGGGTTGGCGTGGAGGATGACATCACTAACGTGCCTATAGGCTGTCTTTTTAAGCATCACATGCCTCTTGACCTGCCAACCCTGGAGAAGCTTGGCCTTCGTGACATTCCTCGCTGGTATCGGGAGAAATTCAACACGCCTAGCCTGCTTCCAAACGCACATGGCCATTCTCGTCCGCATCCTGCCCTTGCCGCGCTGCCCCCAGCAGAGGGTAACGCGGTCCCGGCGATCGAATACTCGTCACAGCCAGAGATGAACGGAGTGTTGGATGCCGCTAGCCTCGAGATGGAGGTCAAGCGGAACCCTGGCGGCAAGTCGGCAATCCAACAGTCGTTGCTTGCGCTGCCTGGACCATCAGAGCCTGCCTATGACTCGAGTAAGGCCTCTGGCTCTCAGAAGCACGGAGCGAGGCAGGCTTCCGAGCTGAGAAGACTCGATCTCCTATCGTTTGACCCCCTGCCCGAATTCCTGGAGTATTCGTCTGTGGGCTCCGCGCCTGGGAACCTGTGCGTCTCGAGTTATTCACGCTCCCAAGAGACTGCTTCCTTTTCGAATCCGACTACCAATCCCTTGCATGGAACCTTCTCTGGGAGGCATTCTCTCCTGCCTTCTCCAGGGGCTGAAAGCCCAGACTATCTGATGGCTGCCTCCTCCTTTCAGGGTTCGCAATCTCAGTCCCGTTCTAGAAGGGCACAGAAGCCCCGACGTTTATATCAAAATCGCCCGAATGCTGTCCTCGAAGGCAGCCGTACGGATGCATTTGGTGGCATTTATAGAGGCTATGGCACTGCTCCACCGAGTATCATGTCTCCTATATCGGATGTCGCCCCCGGTTCGCATTTGGGCAATGCCCTCAACGGACCTGTTCGTGGTAATACGTCCGAACCTCCTACACGCGAGTCCTCGCCAATAACCCTCTCAGGGCCTATTTCCGCAGGCTCCAGCCCCGACGACCCCCACGCTCGAACCCAGCCCAACGAGCCCAGAACGAGTTTCGGTGCCATTGGCGCCAAGAGGGCCCATCGGCAGAAATCGATCGGGTCCTCCGAGGACGAGTTGTTCATGCCCAACCAACGGCGATGAATGAGGACTGGCCCTGCAGCGTCGGGCTTCTATTGCACATTTGCTCAAGCAACGTCAAGTAAATACAATTTGCACATGTTTCACGACCGCTCATGATGTGATGCACAGAACGGCTGACACACCTAAATATACCGACGACCCGACACTTTTTGAAGTGTCCGGTGGGCTTGTACGGGAGAGAATGTTGGATGAACATCAAATCACGCATTTGACTTGCAGTTCAATACCTATCTCACTCATTCTCAGCCCCCGACTTTTTCTCGATTTGCCTGACTTCCTTGTTTCTTTCTATGTGTTTTGCCGACATTTCCCTTGTTGGATGGACTTCGTGACTCATATCTACTTTCTTTCCCTTCTTCCCCGTTGTTCTAGGGCTAACAGGCATATGCTGTTGGCGGTCTGGATACAACAACTCGGCGCAAAGCACAGCAGCGTGGTTTACATACACCCTTGGCGTGAAGAAAAAGTTCTATTCGGTGCTGGAAAATTACCAGCGGTGATCAGTGATACAATGTGTTAATATTGCTAGTTGCTTGCCTGGACTTCGTTTTCATGTTTCGTTGTATCAATTGCTTGCTCTTCGATTTGCCGTTCGATTTGATTTGATCTTCCTTTCTTTAAATGGCCTTGTATGGGGTGTATTATAGCACTTTGTGGTGTTTATATTTGTTTTGCAGAGGGAAGTAAATAAATTGAAAAGCAACGACAGATTGTCAATTGTTGGTGATTATGTTTCTCGCATTGCTTTGGACGTGCTGTAGATCTTGGCAAATACTATGTAGTATGAAAGGAACTACCCCGTAAGGAAGTAAATGTGAAGATCATGAATAAGATATAATACATTGACATAAGTCTAAGACAACCTTGCGAATATGCGCCGCCCTGTTTTGTTTGAGCTTACACGGGATAAAGAAAATACAGTAAACCCTCGAAACAGACACATCAGTGATGGACATACCCATTGCTCTCCCAGCGATCATGGGGTTCATCTCAACGGACCCTCTTCCTCTGGGCCTTGACGCCCACTTTCACGGCGACCTTCTCCCGGTCTTCCGTGGCCTTTGCATTCAACGCAGGGTTCAAAGATGGCAGAGTCCGAGACGCCTGCAGAACGACCCTATTCCCGTCCACCTGTTCCTGCTCTTGACGCTGTCTCTCAGCCCGTCTGGCCTCTAGCTGCTTCTTGCGCTCCGGAGTCATGACCCACGACTCGGGGAAGCGGTGCGAGACCTTTGGCTTGTGGTGGCGCACGTCGAGAGGGACGTCCGTGAACGAGTCACCCTCCTTGGCCTCCTTGATCAACGCCTTGATGGTGTCACCCAGGTAGCGCTTGTTTTGGGCCCGGTGGTGGAACTTCTCGCAGGACATGCGCACGATATCGGTTTGCGGGTTGTAGCGGACACCCACGAGTTTGAGGAAGGTCTGGCGCTGGGCCTCGGTGAGATATTTGGGAGTCAAATCCTTGGAGGACAGCTCAACGACGACCTTGGGCTCGGCGGGATGCTGCTCGCCCATGTATGTTGTGTAACGGAAGCGGAGGATGTGAGATTCGGGGGGAAGAGTGAAGGGTTGGGCGAGCTCTAAGAAAAGAAAGAGAGGATGATCAGCAGGGCTGCAGTATCAGTTGACCAGAGAATAGGTAGGGCAGATCCATACCGCTCAGCAGCGGCATATCCCATGCGGCAATTCGGGTGTATTCTCGGATTTCACGATGTTCTTCCAGTTGTGCGTGCGCGACGGTAGTCATTTCGTCATCGTTGAAATCGTCATCCCCGTCCTCGACGTGGGAGAATTCATCCGGTTCATCTTCCGCCCAAAGTCCAGGTGACCTCATACGCTGATCCACGAAGCGCACGGGGGCCTCTCTGTCGATGTCCTGGGCTTGTTGATCGAGCTCCGAGAACATGGCCGCCCGTTTCACCGGGTCGTTGTAATCTGCGACAATACGGCGGTTGACTTCGTCGAATCTGTGTCGCTGTCCCGGAGTCAACGCGTCGTAGCGCGCCCGGTCCTCAGCCGACAATAGATCAGGCGAGTATTCTGGCATGGGAGGCAGGTCCTCCGGGCGAGGGTCCTTGGGAGAGTCACGGGCGGGCGGGTCTTCCGGCATGAAGGAGAGGGGAGTGGCGGAGAATCGGCGGATTGGGGCGATGAAGGGCCCTCTCCGGGCCAGGAAGGAGGCCGAGCGGCCCAAGGACCGAGCGAGGGAGGCCATTGGGGAGGGGCAGTCTGGGGAATTGAGATGGGATGGATTGCGCAGTGGAGGAAGTCCGGCGGATGTTTTTCATTTCCTCCAAGCCCGCCTGCCACTAAACTGCTTCGGGAAGGCACGCTGTTCACCGCCGGCCATGGCTTCCTGGCCGGTGCAACTGCCTGGCCATGACTTCTTCTTCTTCTTCCCAACGATCGGTGGGGATCGCTCACGCTGCTATGATCCCTCCCTAGCTCCGTGTCGGAATTCATCCTCACACCATGCCTTCCCCTCCGCCGCCGGGAGCGGCCGTAAAGGTATGCTTCATCACCGTCGGCGCGACGGCTTCATTCCACCTTCTGCTGCAGTCAGTCCTTGAGGACGAGTTCCTGTTGGCGCTGGAGCGACTAGACTTCACGCATCTGCTTGTCCAGTATGGCAAGGACGGTCAATCTCTCTGGGAGGCCTTCCAGAGCAGATGTCCGCCTGGCAGTGCGGGTCGCCATGGGCTGGAAATTGATGGCTTTGATTTCAACCAGGCCGGGCTGGACGCCGAAATGCGCTTGACCCGGGCCAGTCCCTCCGAGGGCCAGACTGGAGGGTTGATTATCAGCCATGCTGGTAACCACCCCCCCTTTGAAACAGATTCTGCTCAATCAATGCGTGTGACTGACCTCGTGGTCATCCAGGATCGGGAAGTATCCTTGGGGCTTTGCGACTAGGCGTGCCGCTTGTTGTTGTCCCCAATCCTACTCTAAAGGATAATCACCAGGAAGAACTGGCACAGGAACTCCAGACGCAGGGCTATGTAGTCGCGAGCGACTACCGGTACGCTGTCCCCGGTCCTCAGAAGCTCATGGCCTAAATTTGCTCACTTTTGCAGGGGCATTGCGAGCGCCTTAGACCGCGCAGAGGCACTGCGAACCCAAATGCTGACTTGGCCGCCTGTGCGTGGAGTAAGCCAGAGGCGCCAGCGAACGCTGGGGGACGTGATGTCTGACGAGCTAGGCTTCTTAGATTGAAGTGGCATTCGAGACTTTGTTGATCTCCGAGCTGGAGTCGTGTCAAGCGGCGCATTAACGGGGCAAGTCGTCGACTTAGCTCAGCTCTCCACCCTAGTGTGGGATGAGATGCTCCGGGGCCATAGGAGTGTCTGGAGTCTTCAGATTCCGAGGCATGAGGTCTCTTGAGACCGACAATATGATAGTGGAACGAGTGGTCTTACGACCTGATAGTACCTTTGAGCGTCCATGGAGTGATGGACCGACTACTCTTAGACCTAGTTTATTGGGGCTGTACCTGCAACAGTCATGAAACCGTAAAGCTTCATCCTTCTAACCCGCATAATCAACTGTAAAGCGCATACTACATCCGTATACTCCATAGTAACCGAGGCGGAGCGACGATGGCTTCGGCGGGTGGTCTGTGCTTCCCAGTGTTGGTCGCCCGGCCCAAAAACATACGCGCAGACCAACCCGCTGCGTTGCTTATCCGTCCTGGCTTCTCCGGCTTTTCGACGGGACAGAACAGCAATCGAGCTGGAGACCTCTTCGGAGAAAGCGCTGCGATCTTGTTCGACGTCCACGTCATCTCCCAGCACCCGACCAGGCCGCGGGGCCTCTCCGTCCCTTCGCCCTTTGACAACAACAACAAAACACCCGCTCTTTCCTTCGACCTCTCCTCCCCGACCCCAACATCCTCCCACCCAATGGCAGAGGCCACCCTACACAACGCCCCCATCGTCATCGACAATGGCAGTGGGACCATCCGCGCCGGCTTTGCCGGTGAGGAGATCCCATCCTGCTACTTCCCCTCGTTTGTGGGCCGACCCAAACATCCCCGAGTGATGGCCGGCGGTCTCGAGGGCGACGTCTTCATCGGACAACGAGCTCAGGAATTGCGCGGCCTGCTCAAGATTCGCTACCCCTTGGAACATGGCATTGTAACGGACTGGGACGATATGGAGAAGATCTGGCACTACGTGTACGAAAACGAGCTCAAGACCCTGCCGGAGGAACACCCCGTCCTCCTCACCGAACCGCCGCTCAATCCGCGCAAGAACCGCGACGCGGCCGCCCAGATCATGTTCGAGACCTTTAACGTGCCCGCGCTGTACACTTCCATCCAGGCCGTGCTGTCCCTGTACGCGTCGGGTCGGACAACGGGTGTGGTTCTCGATTCAGGGGATGGAGTCTCCCATGCGGTGCCGGTGTTTGAGGGGTTTGCGATTCCGAATAGTATACGGCGGATTGATGTGGCAGGGCGAGATGTGACGGAGCAGCTACAACTGTTGTTGCGGAAGAATGGCCATGTGCTTCATACCAGTGCGGAGAAGGAGGTCGTCCGCATGATCAAGGAGAAGGTGTGCTACGTTTCGTTGGATCCGAAGCGGGAAGAGAAGGACTGGATGAACAGCTATCACAAGTCCGAGACGAAGTCGGTGGACTACGCATTGCCCGATGGACACAAGATCAAGGTATGTCTGTGCCTTTGCGAGCGGACTGGGGTGGACCTAATGGCGACATGACAGATCGGACAAGAACGCTACCGTGCCCCGGAGATTCTCTTCGACCCGGAACTCATTGGCCTGGAGTACCCCGGTGTGCATCAGATTGTGCAGGACGCCATTACCCGGACGGATCTCGATCTCCGGAAGTCTCTCTACCTCAACATCGTCCTGTCCGGTGGGTCAACGCTGTGCAAGAACTTCCCGGACCGACTGATGCGCGAGATCAAGCGCCTGGCCGTGGAGGACATGAAGATCCGGATTTCTGCTCCTGCGGAACGGAAGTACACGACCTGGATCGGAGGAGGTATCCTGGCTGGATTGAGCACGTTCCGTAAGGTAGGTTCTTCAGTCATCCTTGCCCGAGATGCGAATCGCTCTTCCAACTAACACGCCACATAGATGTGGGTAAGCGCAGATGAGTGGCATGAAGACCCCGAGATCATCCACCGGAAATTCGCCTAGAAATGCGGCATCCCACGACACCACTAAATATCAGGGACAAGCGCGATGGACGTATCCGCTCCGCACCTGCAAAGCTCGCAGGGCCATGACTGGACATGTTCCCGCAAGACTCACGCCAGCTACTAGAAAGACGTCAATGGCGATCCTGACAGCTGTCAGGGCCCGCAGCTTTTAATAGATACCCCTCTTTCTGTTCGTCTTGATTCAAGCTGCAATGCCCAATCCCACCTACACAACACTACACCATCATCTTCATGTCATGGAAGATACGTCGATGTATACCTGCACACATCACCGATGAGCCGAACCGCCTTATGCTACTCCTATGCCATCTCAATGGCCCCATCCCCGATCCTCTTCAATTTCTAACTCTGTCCCCACCGACAAGAGACATGACACCCTCAATTTCCCTGCCTTGCTTTCATTTTCCTGTTCTCCTTGCCCGCTGTTCTTGTGCGACCTCGGAAGTTTTGTGTAAATATTGGATGGATAGATGAAAATATACGAGTCCTACTGACCTACACCCTCTGCCCCTTACATCCACCCAGTAGAACGAAAAAGAAACACCAATGGAGCAAGTCCTCGCAGATCCGATGACTAAGACTCAAACCACCCAGTCAGAATCCTCCTCCACCGTTCCTGACCACTGAAAAGCCAAGTGCCAGACACATGGCAGATGGGTGGAGGTGAATGTCCATCGCTACCTACCTAGGCAAGTGGTTACTTGGTCCACCAGATCCATCATCAACAGTAATAGTAAAGAGTAAATATTGATCGTCGAGTAAACACATGCCCTAAGGCCCTAGTCTTCCTCCAAAGGCGTGTTATTTCTCAGCGCGTTGTTTGTCGACATTGTACGGATTTCTTCCTATTCCTCTTTCCCTTCTCCATGTGGAGTACTCCGTACATAGTATATAGGCTTAGACATGGAAATCATCCCGTCCGTACGTATGTAAACAACCCTCGGGAATGCAAGTCCGGGACGTGAACGAGTCCAGACCATCTACCTACCTACCCATCCAAACCAAACCAAACACTAAAACATAAACAACTTCCCCAACATCCTCCATAGAGAGGCAAACGCAAAGTTCACAAAGTTATGGATTGTCATGTCATTGGGTGGTATTATGATGTCAGGTCACGACATCCATCGTCATGATACCTATGCTTTTTGGTAGGTCCCGGCCGGAGTACTCCGTAGGTAGAGTAGGTAATGTATGGTTCGGTGTAATTTACGAGTCACGTCCGGAGTTGGGTTTCATGGACGGATTAGGACTGTTTACTTACTGTATACTGACGTGTTTGTGGAACGTGAAAGTGGGAGATTGTGCTACGGGGGGGGAATTACGGACGGTCGGTTGGTTCCAGATGGGATGTGCAGTGTGGTGTGTGGTTTTTTGGTTGATTTCAGAGATAACTAGTAGTAGCATACAGGAGAAATCGTGGCTCAGGGGCCAATAACAACAACACAAAACGTTGCTATGGTGGTGGTGCAAGGATGCAATGATCCTATGCGGTGGGTGAATCAGACAAGATCCAGTGGTTGTCCCGGAGAATCACAAAGGAACAAGCAGACAGGTCCGTGTCAACGCCATGCTAATGTCCGCGTGTAAAGACGAGACCATGGCTAAAGGGGTATCATGTTGAAAAGATTTGATGTGGAGGTTGAAGAAGGGTAGAAAAAAAAGTAGATGAGGAGAGAGCTAAGGTGGCGCAGAAGATGGCACCAATTGATTTCAATCAGAAGCGGTCGAGTAATGAAGAATGAGGATGATTAAAGGCGTAGTAAGATAGGATAGTGGCAATCCTCAAATGCGAATCGAATGGTGAAGCAAAAACTTTTTTGGTGGTCGTGAGTCGTGAGTCATGATCTGCTGAAGCGCAACGCTTGTAGGCGGCAATGGAAACAATAGGACGGCGCTGAAAGTGGTTGCAAAGAAACCCCTATTCACCCCTATGTCATGCCCCTAAGCTTGCCCCAGCCCTTCTCGATGCTGCGGAGAGCCCGTTCCCGCGTGGAACCGGAGCTGCTCGAGGTACCATTGCTGCTGATCGAGAACTTGCGGCTGAGGCTGCTGGAAGAGTCGTCGCTGAAGACCATGTTGCCGGCTCCACCGCGACCGACATGGTAGACGGGGGCTGCACGGCGAATATCGCGCTCAAGCTCCTCATCAAAGCTGAAGATGGCACGCTCGGTGCTACTGTGAACGTTGCCGGCACCGCCACGGCCGGACTTGAAGGTACTGGGGACATTCGAGTCCAGACGCGTCAAGGAGGCGGGACCGGTAGCTGTCCGAGAGTCGGTGGTCTTGGTGCCTTTCAGATTGATGACATTGCCGGCGCCTCCGCGAGCCGTGTGCAGAGCGGGACGGCTGGTGTGAGGGACCGATGGATGCGGTTCAACGACACGGTAATTGATTGATGCTGGCATGGTGAAGAGATGTGATGTGGTGTTGGAAGATAGGAGTGATTGATGTGAAGGGTTATGGGGTGCAAGTGGTTGCGATGCGGGAAGTATATAGATCGCAGTCTAGGCTGAATGACTCAATGCGCGGAAGCCCAATCCGGTAAGCGAGAATGGCGTAATGGACATGTAGACGCAACAGAGTCAACTGATGACGAACTGAACAAGAACGGGGAGACCAGAGGTCAAGGGAGAGCTTGTAAAGTAGTTGTGGCGGTGGTAGTGGTAGTAAGAGGCAGGCAGGCAAAGAGGAACAAGGACCCAAAAAAGTCGTCTTGCGTGACTATTAAAAGGAGCCGACTAGAAAATTTTCTCCTTTCTGACTCTTTTTTTATTAATTGTTGAATGACTCCTCAAACTGCGCGGTGCTGATGGGGAATCCACTTCTATAGCCTGGAACCAGACCTCACAGCGGGGAAGCAGTTATATAGTTGGACCAGCCAACAGGCCGGGCCCAGCAGTTACCGGGGGAAGAGTCAGGTCGGCCCCTTTGTGACGGCAGCCCGGCTCATGATTGCACCATGCCCTTTTGCGTGATTTCCTTTTCCAGGCACCGCGCCAGGGTCACTCCCTTGGCCCGGTGGAGCCAACTCCATCCCAATTCCCAAATGGTGAAATCTGGGCTTTCCGCAATTCTGCCTCTGCGGTTATGCGCGCGCTACTCCATCATCACCGCTGCTTTCAGCCCTGCAAATTTTCACTGGCCTTAGGGCGGCGGCGGGAACGTGCCGCTTCCACAGCCAGTCATTGTTCGCCAACCTCCCATCCCGCATGGCGATTGGCTGGGAAGGGCGCCACCGCCCCGGCCCAGTGTGGCTGCTTTTGTGAATTTCTGTGCGATCATCTGACAAGCACGCGCCAGTCCAAGGCGTGGCGAAACGTAACAGAAATTGGCGCTGTAGCCAATCAGCAGCTACGGTCGAGCCCGAGGGCTGGCTGGGGGGTTTCCTGGGGGTAATGGAAACTGCTGAGGCGGTCACGCGTCATCGGCCAACACATTGCGTGAGGAGCCTTTGCTTTGACGATCCTGTCGGTCACTCTTTCACCATCAATAGTAACACCCAGGGGGGGCCATGGCATGCGGCATCAGGCGGACTTTCTTGGTCTGGAGTAAATTGAGAGACCTGCTACATAGTACTACTAAACTAGTTGTAGTAGGAGGTCACTACTGACTCGTAGTATCCATTATTAGGTCCTGGGCAAGCAGCCAGCCAGGACGAACCCTTCCACCACCACCAGTTCGTTGTCCACTGTCACTCCCTATAGAATATCCAAGGCGAGCCCCGTGGCTTCACCGTCAACCGGTCAACCGGATACCAAATTATGCCCGATCATGATTATTCCCCGCAGCCCCTTGACTGGTACTAGTCGGAAGCACCGTTGTTGCATCATGATTCGCGGTGCACGCTGAAATTGGAAACGCCATGTCCTCTGGCTAAACTCTGATCCCCGGTCGTACCGAGGCGGCCTTGGATGATGGCGAATGCATCGCCCAGTCAAGTCCCGGTTCATAATTCCCAGCTTACCAGGTATGCAGGCCGGCGTCGACGGGTTAGGTAGGTACCAGGAGAAGCGCCCGATGCTACAAAGGCCCAAACAGGCAGGAAAGTCTACCCCGTACAGGATGATGGCATTGTGCATGAACGATGGAACGTCAACCGTCAAGCCTGCAGAACGGCAGGTGGAAGTCCCTCCAGTCTCAGGTCTCAGGTGAGACTAGAGAGTGACTAAGATTTTGCCGGCCTGCCGGTCGAGACCATTTTTAGTGCAGAGATTTTTCAAGATGGAGACGGCTAGCGGAGATCATCAAACGACAGCCCCTCACTGCATTCCCCATCGTCGGCTTCCTTGTTGTGCCCCAATTCCACGCCATGTCGGCTGGGTGTTGAGTGCTGGCTCGATCGATGGAGGGCGCATTCGCCATGCTGGCCACTGCTAGCGAATTCGCCGCACTGGATTTTGAGGCCTCCCTCCCCTTCATCGTCATGGGATCGGGACGACCCAAACTGGAAAATTGAGGGAGTGCCTGAGGATCCCCACCGGCCCCTCCACCACGCTAAACCCAAGCCGGACAGCTTCCCCAGACGCCCAAAATCTGGAACCCATCGAGAGGGGAAGTCGCGACTCGGAAATGCCTCACCTGCCTCAAGGGGATGACACGAATCACTCGGCCACTTCTTCCCACGCCAATCCCTCTATAACGCTCATCGTTATGCCCCTCCCCCCACCGGCGAGGCTTATTAGTCAAATGAAGAACAAATGAACTGGAAAACTAAGGACCCAACTACTGAGGACTAGTGAGGCACTGCCGGACTGCAATTCCATTCCAGGAGGTCAGGGGTCAACCCCTGACTGGTCACTTCAACCGAGCCGGTTGGTCCGGCAAATGGCCGCCATTCCCGTCATCCCTGCCAAACCAAAACGTCCCGAGGCTGTCGAAGTCTCGCAGAAGCGCCGAAGGATCGAGCACTCGAGGACACGTCGTGGCTTCCCCGGATTTTCGCCCCGGGGCGTACTAGCCATGCAGGTTTCATCACCCATCACATCCGGCTGACGGCCATGGACGGGACATGACGCACCCCAATTTTCCGGCTGGACATCCCCCTTCTTTCGGGGCCCCTTCCCTCCCCTCACTGACTCCGGAAGTTGTTGCCTAGACGTGGTGGAAGTGCCCATGCCTCGCGAAACCTAGCGCCTGATGAGGTGCTCGTGTGCTCCTTCTCCCACCACGCTTGACGTCGTGACACTCTGCCTCGTATTCCCAGCATTCCTGTCTCGCCATTAGAAAAGGGATGAATAACAAGGTCACGGTCGTCCACGGGACCTGGGTAAATAGCGGTCATTCTTTTCGAATCTGGGATTGTCGGCGTCGCTTCCCCGGCCTCTCAGCAGGTACGGAGTACGGAGTCCGGAGTACTTGTTGGTGATCACGCCATGGAGCACTCCGCTCATAGCTGGAATCATGACCAAAAGCTGCCGAGCGACTTTCGATAGACTAATCGATGGTCAGACCTCTTAGAGACACGTTCGTCCTTGCGTCGTTCCCTCAACAACTGGTTAGGCGTCCAAATTATTTGCTACCGTCCTAACCTGTCTACTTAGGTGATGTTACGGTACCTGGGTGCCCTGTCGGTTTTCCAAAGGGACCCTCACAGCGAGCTTGCTGGATTGACAATCCAGCATGACTGAGTTGCGTATCCAATCTATCCCGAAACAAGCACATTGGCTCTTGCTCGGTGATTTATTACACTCTCCCAGCCGGTCCCTCGTGAGATCGTTGCAAGACCTAACATGCCACCATCGCTTGTGTAGGGCTCGTTGCAGTCGTAAAGACAAAGAGACAGAAATGAAAAGGGACCGGTAGAAGAGAAAGCCAACTTCTGATCGCATGAACCAATCACGGTTTGGTTCTACGTGCGATCACGATCAAGTAAGCCAATCTTTGTAGCCCGTAATTCCTGGAGTTGTGCTTATAGCTTCTCTAAGGGGGGCATCTAGGGTTCCATCATTGTGATCACTTACAGAGTCTGCAAGGATTTCAGATTCAATGCCCAAATTAGGACTCGTATACCTCTACAGTGTGCCTAGAGCTTACCGCAGACATTACCTACGGAATATGAGTCCGTATCTAGCCTGTCATGATTCCTATTAAATGACTAAGATCCATACATGGTATGAGGGCTATGCAGGTCTAGATGGTGGACGTTATGGCAACCTTGCAGGCTGAGGTTGGTTGACAAGCCTTGCCAATCCAGCCGGCGGTAGATTTATAGAATCGTGCTTGGTGTGCCAATGTTGACGCTGTACAACACAACCAGGGGTCGAACATCAACTCTCCTCAAGTAATATACTGACTGGCCTAATTTCAGAAATTAAAGCGCACAGTTCCAACAGCCCCTCGTTCCCATGAACCCAGGATTTGCCATCGTTGCTCCCCCTAGAACCAATGGTATATATTAGTAGCCGTTGAACCCAGTTCGATGCTTACTGCCGTCTAAGAGGAAACATAGTATTTTCACCAGGTAGATATCTAGAGCCAATATCGGATTATGTAGCAGCAGATACAAGGCTAATGTAGGTTTATGGAAGGTGTTATATTGTGGCTGTCTCATTTCAAAAGATGCTTGCGCTCCGCCAAGAAATGCCTGAGGCCAACAGATCATGCCAGTATACTGCCTCTTCTGACCGCCTTGATATCGCATCGAACTCCGCCTCAAGCAGTCCGTCGCCATCCATTTCTCTTGCACTAACATCGACAGTCTTTCGCAGTCCTTCGTTCAAAGCGGATTTATTTTAACTCGAGACCCTGCCTGTCTAGTACATACAGTACTCAGAATATTCAACCCGAGCTATCTCTTTCACGCGCAACGCGCCACCTGAGCGCTGCCGACTCGAGCTTGATTTCCTGCAAAGAGCAGTTGCTCTCTGAATATCAAGATGCCTAAATATAAGTTACCCCTTTACCTCTAGCTGAGCAATCTATACTGACAGTCGCAATACTCTTCTGTAGGACACCCTTGATCCCTGCCAATTCCTCCTTTCGGACTGGTCCATCGCGCATGCAATTCCTTCCACCGTTCCATCCAGCCATCACCTACAGTCATACCCCAGCTGACCAATGGCCGAAATCTAGGTGACTACTGCGATGTCTACCTCACGCACGACTCCATGAGTGTGCGCAAGGCGCACAACGCCGGACGTAACCACCTGAGAAACGTCCTAGAATACTACCAACGTATGGCCGGCCTCGTCATCCCCAACAACCCGAAGGAGCGCTAACTCGAGGACAGAAATCGGACAAGAAAAGGCCCAGTCGGTTATTGATTCCATCACGTCGTCCTACGCCGCCGAAGGCCAGGCCGTCCCGAACCCGGCGATGGCTCCCCCGGGAGCTTACCCTCCGCCATTCGGCTTCCCTGGTACGTGTTAAGCATCACTACCACACGCACCCCCCTTCGCAAAACCACATACTAACACTCCTCAGGCCGTCCAGGGCAACTTCCCCCGCCTCCATTCGGAATGCCTCTCCCAGGTGGAGCAGGTGGCGCACCCGGCATGCCTCCGCGTACGCCCACCCACCCCAAGCAGCCCAACATCTAGATTCTAACCACTCCCCGTGAACAGCCCCAGGAGCACGAGGCCTCCCCTTCCCTCCTCCCTTCCCCACAGCCGGCGGCGCCCCTCCCGCAGGTCTTCCTCCTCTCCCCAACATGCCCCCCGGTGCTCAGGGCTTCCCTCCCCCGCCCGGCGGTTTCCCGAACTTCCAAGCACCCCCCGGCGGTTTCCCCCCGATTCCTCCTCCGGGACAGGGCCCAGCAGGATACAGCCCCAGTCCTACGCCGGGCGTAGGCGGCCCCCCGGGCCAGGACGGCTACGCGCCGCCTGGCATGAGCTCAAGTCTTCCTGGACCTCCTCCGGGATTGGGCGACAAGCGCTGATCTCTGATCTGAAATTGCTCTTATTTATTTTTCATGTTTCTATACCGATGGGGTCCTTTTTCTCTTTTCCTTTCTCTTCCTTTTTCTCTTTTCTCTCCTCGATCATGTATGTGCCTATTAGATTTTTCTTTTCCCTTGTGATTTTCTTACCAGCGTTCTATGGGAATTCGGTCATGCGATCCTTCCTGTTATTGAAAGGAAGGAAAAGTTGGTAAATCAGCAGAAATGAACGACAGGATTTGATTGATGGGTTCCTTCATCATACGTGCATGCATATATGGTCTGTTCTGGACTACGACATTGACCTGAACTAATTTCAATAATAGATCGAATCTACTTGATGCTACGACATAAATTCAGAGTGAATTTGAAAAGGCCATGCGTTTCAGCAACGCAGGCTCAGATAGCATTATGATTTCTTTCCGTACATGAGGAAATCACAAAATAATACAGGGATATCGGATCAGACAGCAGACAGACCCCCTGTCACTCAAAAAATAAAATACTGCAAACAGATTCCGCAAAACCCAAGTACCGATCTCCAGATCCAGTATTTCAGAACGCCAGCGGTGAAAAAAAAGGGAAACATCGACAGAGAAAGGGGGTAAAGAAAGGAAGATGTCTTGGTAGGGTTCGGATGAGAGCCGGGGCAAGTCAAAGAAAATGGAAATTTTCCTGTATATCAGTATACGACAAGGAATGGTAGCCAAAAGCAGATGCACAGGCAAATGTGAGGAATCAAAAGCAAAACGCACATAGTGCGGGTGGATGCGGTCAGTAAAGCTAGAAAGGGCCCGAAGAATCAACCCATGCCCGCACTAAGCCATAACTTCATCTCAAGCAGGGCTAGAAAGCAATCGTATTAATCTTTCAGTGGTCGTATCCTGCCCCCCTTTGCCATGGGCTGGGGTTGTTTTGTTGCCGGTACGCATGTGGGTTTTGGAACGGGGAGCTGTTGTAGCCCCGGGGCACGGGAGATGGTGCCCGTCCGAAGTTAGCATCGTAGCTTGGAGGGCCATTCCGGACCGAGTTGTTGTCGCTGGGGAACAGCGGCAAGGACGGGTCGACTGGGGAAACCGGGGAATGGCGAGCGGCCTGGTTGGCCGGGGCTTCAGGGGCTTCCAGATTCTGGCGGCTAATACTGGCACCGTTGCCGCTCGAGAAGGACGCATTATCATCCTCAAACGGGCTGGACTTGTAAGGTGAGGGCTTCATGTCCCCGCGGGCGGTGGCGCCCAGAGCATCCAATTCAGTTGTCAGCTGACCTCCAGACTTGATGAACGAGCCCCGGTCATCTCTCATGGGCTGGTACCGCGTGTCGGGGTTCTTGGATACGATGGCGTAGATAGACGCGATCAGGACAAGGATCAACAGCACCAGGGCAAACACAGCGTTGTACACAAAGAAGACAACACCCATAACACCAGTGACGATACCAGGTTGGTTGAACACATTAGAGAAGAACAGAAGGAAGATAACGTTGAGGAAGTTGATGGCGGCAATAGAGATGTTGTAGATGTTGGTTTTCTTGTCCATCCACGGCCGCAGGACGCTAACGCCAATGAGCATGCCGGCTTCGATGATGACCAGGGCGATGGTTTGCACAACCGGAGCTGGCTGACTCAAGCCAATGAAAATGCCCTTGATCAGGATATAACCCAGGAATGGAACGATGAAATAGTATGCAGTCGCACGATACTGCACATACAGGAAACCCCACTTGTTCAAGCAGGTAGGGTCGGAGTAAAGGATGTAAGCCGGGTTCTTGTGCATGATGACAGAGCGCTTGGCCAGACGCATGACCTTGATCGCGGCCCAACCCAGTGCAGCAACCACCGAAATGAACATGATAACAGCAAGCACGACCTCAGCAGCCGAGTCCACCTTGGTAAACTCCCATAAGCAGAGAACCGACATTTGAGGGAAGCCGATTAGGGTAAGCCGGAACAAGATTCCACGTGCGACGACCTTCCAGCCGTTACGGAACTCCTGGAACTTATCACTCTTCATCTTGCCATTTTTGACGAGAAGCTCGCAGATAACCTTGAAGATGGCAACCATAAGCATGACCAGGGCGACGAACACGACAAAGAAGATGAGACCGGTCAGGAAGATATTCGTGGTTTCAATTCCAGCCTTGAAACCAACACGCTCAATACCACGGACAATGACGCTGGAGTCCGTGGCGGTCTGGGTGCTTGCAGAGGAACGTTTCCGATAATAGTTGAAGTACCCAGTGGCTTTCCTCACAATGCCTTCTTCATCGTCGGAACGCTTGCGACGTTTGTAGAGCTGAACTGACGTCGTTGACAGGTCCGAAAGAAGCGTTGAGGCAGTTCCTCCAGTCGACCGCTGGTACCAGGTGCAGATGGTTTCCAGAAAGCCGACATGGATGATACCCATACTCCACTGGAAATTCTGGGTCCATGATTCCACGATCGGAGGCATGTGAACTGATGTCATACCGATCATTGCCTGGGATTGCATGAAGCTGAAGAGGGAGAGTGCATTAGCGGCGACGTGGGCGGCAGTATTCGAATGGCCCAAGCCTGAAGTGATAGCCGAAGCAGCCAGTCCTAAACCAGAAATGATAGCTGTAGTCCAGCCAACGCCCTTCTGATAGACTGTCTTGCCGTTCGAAAGGGACGCCTCAACACACGTAATGCTTTCGCCGGTGTCCGTGGAGTTGATATAGATACGCACGTTGGCATCGAGATCCGGAACGGTGTACGCAATGTCTAGAAGAGGTGATCAGTGGACTAGGGCACATTTAGAGGATACGCCGAGCGCAGAGAGCACTCACTTGGAATGGACTTGACCACGGACTCAGGCACCGTGATGACAGCTTTAGGAACATCGATAGCACCTGCGTTCATAGGGCACAGTCCTGAAAGGTCCATTTCACAAGGGTCCAGAGTCTTGGTCAGGACCTGGATACCATAGGCCTCGAGAACGAGCTCCGCCGTCACCTTTCCCGAAATTGCCGACACTCCATCGAAGCTGAAGGAGAGCGAGCGGTTGCCCGGTGTGAAAGTAACACTGAAGTAGGTGGCTGTGAAGTTCGAGCTGTCTTGACAGATACTAAGAGCATTGGATTCGATGAGCTTGACGGCGGCCGCCTGCGGGGAGTTGAGCAGGACGACCAAGAAACCGATGAAGAGGGATATTAATCGCATATTGGCGGGGATATGGCCGGGAACTGCCGGTTCAAAGGAGAGCGAGAGTATCCGTCGTCGATAAGTGGGGGGTTAAGTAAGTAGGAATGTAAGAATCAGAGGCGGTTCAGCAGAAGGTGGTACTCCAGAGCACCAGCTTGGCGCGGCCGGATGCGGAAGTGCAGGAAGTCGGCGGATGGCGTCCTCTCGTGCCTTGGAGTCTCCGCTGTCGAAGCTGCGGAGGGTGGGATCGGTCCTAGGAAGCGTCGGATACGGCACTATGTAAGGTTGATCGCTAGACGGGGGTGGAATCCTGTTGCGATTACGGTTCACCACGTCATTGGTAGCCCAGGGCGCTTCTTTCCGTGCAGCAGAACAAAAGATCGGATGAAACGGGGTATATCGGGGTGAAAGAGCGATTGTAAAAGGAGTCGATATATAAAATGAGCGTGGGTTGGTAGTATAAAGAGTCGAGAGAGCGTCGAGGTTGGGACTGAAACAACAAAGCGAGCGTGGTCGGCGACACACAGTATGGCCGGGGGGGTGGTGGTGGAACGAGGATAGATGGTTGCCTGAGTCTCCCTAAAAGCGGGAAGGGGACGGAGGGAGGGACGGAGGGGGGGTGGAAGGAGAGAGGTGTTTCGCACCCTCGGGGGATCGAATTGGCGAAAGAGGGATGCAACGAGAGAAGAGAAGACCGAGGGGAAAGAAAAAAAAAGAAGAGAAACCGTCGCCCTCTGGAGACACAGTCACAGCGCCGGACGTGTGTATTTTCTTCAGGGGAGCGAGCGTTCTGGTCGCAGGAGAGACGGCCGGAATGCTGGTTGTGAAACCACCGGAGACCTCGAGGCGCTGACTCAGCACGGGGGCGGCACTTGGGCAGCCAATCAGCACCGCGTTTGGGCGTGTCACGGGAAAGTGGAGAGAACCACCGCCGGGCGGAGTGCTGTACGGTACCGTATGCCTGAGGTAAGTTGGTACGTACCTGGTATCTAGCGTGTATGTTCAATGTTGGTCTACCAAGGACGAGGAACAATAACAAGGGAAGCGCTTCCAATTCCAACAAAGACCGTCCTGGGTGAGCGGCTCAGGAAGTATGGGCGGTAAACTGGGCTCGTAGAAGACCAATCAACTAATACGCAGGGGTGATATCCACGATCCCTCACTCCGGGAACAAGGTCCGGAACGATCACAAGGTCCAGGTCAAGGTCAGAAGCATATAGCAAGCAGAAAGGTAGAAAGGACTATGCTGCTCAGCTGCTGGTCTACATACTAATAATACCTGGGTCGGGGCGAGTGGCAGCTGCCAGGCCGGGAATGATCAGATCATTAGAGTCATCATGCCTCCTGCTCTTCCGTCGCCTGTCCCAAACTGAAGTCATCGACTCGATTTTCCTGCCCCAAGTCCCAAGTCCCAAGTCTGCCCGACTCCAGCTGGTGTGCACGCGCGTCCCTCAGGGGGTTGGGTCTGGCCCAAATGCGGATGCCTACTTATGCTTTTCATTACCCGCCGGGCCGCGCTCTGATTTGTCTAGCACCGGCAAGCTAGAGGATTTTTATGGCGCCGGGGGAGCCAAACGGCTGGCAATCATGGATGGTTCCATCCTCCCACTGCATTACGAAATTACCGCCCTCCATGCTTGTGGGGTGCAACTGCAGACTTACAGACTCGCAGAGGTTAAGATCCGATGCCAGTGGATCTGTTCTGCCGCTGTTCACACTTCAGTCGTCCTGGGTCGCAATACCTTGGTGCAGGTGGACACCATCCATCCCACGGCGCTTGTTGTATGCCCCAAAAGATCTACACCACAATCGCGTCCGGTCTCACTGCAATGTCCACTGTCCGCCCACCACTACACAGTGCTTGTTGGCCGTCTACGTAGGACACTCCATGCCCTTGTTCACACCGACCTTGTTCACCTGCTTTCTTCTGCCCCTCCACCTTCTCTTTCGCCCTTTCTCACCGCCTACATCAGATCGCATGCTGCTATTAATAACCTTGCATTTCCACGAGTTTCTGCAACGAGCCAATGAGACGCACTGCTGCGACTGAAACCATTGTGGTGCGTACCGATCCAGCGCAAGGAGCAAAGGCGATGCAACCTAGCAAACTCCTATCTGGATTGCGGCCACTAGCAAGACAGCATTAAGGACTGAGGTCTCAGTACCCCATACATATGAGACGTCAGGTCCTTTATCGATCACCTTGAACTGTCAAATGATAAATCTCCAGCAGAGGTTATATTCCGGCCGATCTACCTTTGTTTCAACCGTGGACCTGGACCCTGTGCCTGTGCCGGTGCCGGTGCCTGGGTGCCTGGGGCCGTGTAAGGTAACGCCGTGACGGTGTAACAAAGCGACCATGAGCTGCTGCTGAGTAATTACCTTGTAAGGCCGTGGGAATCCTGTCTCATGTCAGACGTCGATAACCTGCCTCAAAAGGATAGAGAAACGGCAGAGACGGGCCACTTGTTCTTGGGCGTTGACATGGGCCCGTGTTAATTACTGTTGATCTGGAAGATCACAAGAATGGTAAGAGAGATCGTACTCGTATCTTGGGATTGACATATGGGTAGGGCGCCCCAGAGGCGTTCTCGGAGACACTATGAGGGAGGGTTCTGGCGACTATTTGTTGCGCGAGGGAACTGCGCTGCACAGCCTCCTCCTTGCCCAATCTTCCAGAAACCAAACTATCTATTGAGCGATCCACCTATTGCCGATTTAATCAACTGCAAACGAGCAACATGGCACAATATCAGGTCGACTGCTCTCACCATGAACTTTCAGATGGTTATATCAACATTCCCTTGTCTCCGAGCACCTTTCCGACACACGGACATGGAATTGAGATGGCATCGCTTCCCGCATCCCTGATCAACGCCGAGCGAAAAGGCAGATCACCAGGCCTGCCCGTCCGTGACTGCGCATCATGACGTCCTTTTCCCCCCATTGATCATCTCCCAACCCCGTACTTTTTCTCCCGTGTGAATTTACCACGAAGCAGCTCTCTTACCATAGTATTCCACCATTCCCATTTCTTCTTTTACACCTGACCGAATATGTTGGGACGAAAAGGAAGCCCATCTTAGCGGATTCACCATCAGGGTCCCGAACCGCTGACGCCTCAACCTTGGACGACGGATGGCTCGTCCTATTTTTGGCTCCTGGCCTACGACTGCAGAACCAAGGATTGCGTGGCTCTCGACTACGCCACTCTTCGAGATCTCGCCTGGTCCATTTCTTACGACTTGGTGATTGTGTTTCATGATAGGTCTCAACCTTAAATATGAGTCGGCTAGAGAACTCCGCGTACAATTAACAATTCATAATTAGATAATATGACAAGCATAACTACTTTTATCAGAGACTCTTATTACATCGTTAATGTTATAGCGGGGTTCCAACGCAGGATTTATATATATTTTTGAACTACTAGGGAAGACTGCGCACCAATTACTAGGCTCCATAACAGCAATAAAAGACCGGATTAATCTGGATAACACAGTTCTAGTATAACTTGGACTCTTGAGACAACTATATGAAGGATATAAAGTAAAACACACGTTTTCTAATCTCTGTACTCCATCCAAACCCTTATACTACCTATGACCAGCAAAAGAAACCAGAAATTTTCAGCTACTCGCACACTGGCAGCCAACCATTGAAAGAACCCTCGAACTAAATCTAGTCCAATCTTATTCTCGACCCTTTCTACCTATCTATGCCCTGTGCACTTTCCCGTCCTGGTATCGCTAGACCCTGTTTGCAATAGCATTATGGAGTACTCCGTATAGTTATCTTGATGCCTAAATACCGGCACATACAGGGTTCGAATCACGGATATGATTCTTTCATGTTTAAACACTGTTTTAGTATTCTCTGGTAAATCAATATAGCAATGGGTTACTACTACTTGTACGAGATGTTATCAAATTCTTCAAGTTTTGCGGTCACAACATTTGCTGACGTGTCTCTGGATGCTTTACGTATTGGCCCCGCACAAAAGTCTTGAATGTAGTCCGTGCCGCCATTATGGTGTTCGAGTTGCGTACAACTAGGACTAATGTTCGTTGTATGAGAAACGGCAGATACTTAAGCGGACTTTCGCAAGGTACCCGGTGACGAATGGGTATGTTTGAAGCGGCAGAGAGGGAACAAGGCGTACTCATAGGTCAGCCTTGCGCTTCCGATAACCAATATGGGCGACTGACATCGGGGCTACCGAGCTGTCAGTGGACAGGAATACTAAGTATAGGCCAATCTGAAACATTTGACAAGTCACCTTCAATTCTATGTCAGCATGTTGAACTTGCTTACTTCGGAGATTGAGAGCCAAGCCGCCGTCAGGGGCAGGCTGGACATTTGGATGGTAGCTGGGCCAAGAGCATATGGAGTGTGCCTAATCAAGATATGATAGTGAAAAGGGGCGAGTTCCCTCACAGCCACAATTGGCGCCCACAGAGGTCTTGGGAGTCTCGAATGAATAGGAATTACGCAGTCCGCGTCTTTGACGAAGCGGACTGGACTCGTTCTATGATAAATGCAAGCGCCGGAGCATGATGTGGAACGTTCAGTGCCAAATACCATGTGTGCATGGTACCTACAGTTTGTGGCATTTCGTCGATTATTTCCCTCTTAGGGACTTCCAGGTCACGATAGGCATTCCGAGTCTGTATAGCCAGAGGTATCCCGATTACCCTTGAGGATCACTAGAAAGCCCCGACTTAGCGATGGCAGAAAACCCGAGTATCCGGGCTCGGAATTCGGAACTCGGAATAAGATGCCTATGTGATCAAAAGCGATGGTATCCACTAGATATCGGTATGGAGAGTAAGATCTTGTCCAGGGGTACCAAGTAGTACTACTAAGACCTCCAGACGGCCTGAGTCGTCATCAGGTTGACGGGCGCGATAACGTAGATCTGACTGTCAGAGATGCAGCTTCCTTGTACCAGAGAGTTCCACATTTCAGATGATTCTGCCCGATGAAGGCATTTTGGAGATGCGATGCGACTCGAAGATGGGTTGTTGCGATGAAAGTATTTCTAGGCGACTAGCGTTAGCTCTTCCCTCGGTTTCCGGAACTTGATGGGAGATACCGAGCATGTCGGATACTAGACGAGCCGAAATTGGAGTGTATACTATTGTCACGATTATGCCAGGCATTGGCAAGATGTATAGAAAGATATATTTGAAGATGAATTCGGGGGATATGTCGTTGTTGCTTCGAGCTATATACTGTCAAAGCGTAGAAAAAAGCATGGCTTGGCAGGCCCATATATCCTGGCACTGAGGTAGCTCATGAGAAACTATCATGTTCGGTATGAAACTGTAAAGCAACGGTATATTCTAGATGTCAAGGGAGAAGCAGCAGGTGGAAGGTATGGCTGTGGAAAGAGGCAACAGTTATGCCTCAGGCAGTAAGCGCACGGACTTGGCGAGGACCAATTATCGCCCCTTATCAACACGTGACGCGGAGTTTGGCAGAACCGGACCAAAAAAAAGAGAAAAGAAAAAAAAGGGCCTACCTGCTTCACGTTCCAGACTTTCCCCCCACCTCGAATTTTTTCGCAAAGGGAACCGTCTCCGGAAGGTGCTCAGTCAAGATGCCGATCCCCGTGGATTCCGCGAAATCTATCAACAAGAAGCGCAAGAGAAAGCACGGTGCGCGCGCTGCGACCGAGACCGAAGATGCTTCTCCGAAGCCCGCAGTCGAGAATGCCGCGACCGAAGTGACCGAGCCCTCCACGGAAAAGAAGAAGAAGACGAAGAACGTCGAGTCTGTCAAGGAGGCTGAGAAGGAAGAGAAGCCCAAGAAGCGGAAGGTTGACGACTCTGGCGAGGAGGATGAGAACGACAGCGAGGAGGAAGTCCGCCAGGCTGAACCAGATGATGAGGAAGGAGAGGGTGAGGAAACTGGAAACGGTGCGGACCTTCCTTCGCTGGATGCTGTCCGTCTGCCTCAGACGGATGGCGAGCCGAAGAAGTTCACCGAATTGAACCTCTCGGAGAAGACGATGAAGGGTATTCAAGATATGGGCTTCGAAACTATGACTGAGATTCAGCAACGTACCATTCCTCCGCTGCTTGCTGGCCGTGATGTTCTGGGTGCCGCAAAGACAGGTTCCGGAAAGACCCTGTCGTTCTTGATCCCTGCCGTGGAGATGTTGAGCGCATTGCGCTTCAAGCCTCGCAATGGTGGGTCACAATCCATTTACTGGGCGCTTGTTCGATCGTTGATGGGCTAACTTTTCTATTCAGGTACTGGTGTTCTTGTGGTTTCTCCTACTAGAGAGTTGGCGTTGCAGATCTTTGGTGTGGCTAGAGAGTTGATGGCACACCACTCGCAAACATATGGTATTGTTATTGGAGGTGCGAACCGCCGTGCGGAGGCAGAGAAGCTCACCAAGGGTGTCAACCTGCTCATTGCCACCCCCGGACGGTTGCTCGATCACCTGCAGAACACCCCTGGCTTTGTGTTCAAGAACCTGAAGACACTCGTCATTGGTAAGTACGATGTGTTTATGCGCACAACAGGACAGTTTTCTAACGCTAGTGTAGATGAGGCGGATCGTATTCTGGAAGTCGGTTTCGAGGACGAAATGCGTCAGATTGTCAAGATTTTGCCTTCCGAGGAGAGACAGACCATGCTGTTCTCTGCCACCCAGACCACGAAAGTCGAAGATTTGGCACGGATATCCCTGCGCCCCGGCCCTCTGTACATCAACGTCGACCACCGGAAGGAGCACAGCACAGTCGAGGGTCTGGAACAGGGCTATGTCATCTGTGAGGCTGACAAGCGTTTCCTGCTCCTCTTCTCCTTCCTTAAGCGCAACCTCAAGAAGAAGATTATTGTTTTCTTCTCCAGCTGTAACTGCGTGAAGTACCATGCGGAGTTGCTCAACTATATTGACCTACCGGTGCTCGAGCTCCACGGAAAGCAGAAGCAGCAGAAGCGGACCAACACATTCTTCGAGTTCTGCAACGCCAAGCAAGGAACTTTGATCTGCACTGATGTTGCTGCCAGAGGTTTGGATGTAAGTCATCTACCGGCCTAACATCTTGTCGGAGTATTATCTAACAGTAACCAGATTCCGGCTGTGGACTGGATTATCCAGTTCGATCCTCCGGATGACACCAGAGATTACGTTCACCGTGTCGGTCGTACGGCCCGTGGTGTCAACGGAAAGGGACGCAGTTTGATGTTCTTGCAGCCGTCCGAGGTTGGCTTCTTGAAGCATCTGAAGGAGGCTCGTGTTCCAGTCGTGGAGTTCGATTTCCCGGCCAACAAGATCGTCAACGTTCAGTCTCAGCTTGAGAAGTTGATTGGTCAGAACTACTACCTGAACAAGGTGAGTTTCAAGCTACCTTATACTATACTGTGTAATCGTGTTTCCGTACTGACCCAACATGTCTAGTCCGCCAAGGAAGGTTACCGCGCCTACCTCCAGGCCTATGCCTCCCACTCCCTCCGGTCCGTGTTCGATGTGCACAAGCTTGACCTGGTTAAGATTGCCAAGGGATTCGGGTTCTCGACGCCGCCGCGCATTGATATCCAGCTGGGTGCCAGCATGAGCCGGGACAAGAAGCAGCAGCAGCAAGGGCGACGGACCTACGGCAGCCAGCCTAAGGGACTGAAGTACAAGCGCAAGCATGATGATGACTGAATTAGCTAAAAGCAGGTGTGTCGTGATTTGTTGAGACTTGGCATTTAGTTTCGGAGTTTACCCTGTGGATATCTGGACTTGTCTACATATAGTTATTTCAATTGTTTTGGTAGATATCTTTAAAAGCATTCTTTGAGCGTCATATCTGCATTGTACCTGTCGTAGTCCTGCCAGTTCTCTCCGAGAGCCAACAGATACCAGTGACAGACGCTGTTTCCCACCATGATACCGAAATAAAGGCCACTTCAGCAGGGGAGGATACACAAAGACTGGCCTGTAGTCATACTCACCGGTCAGCACCTTAGTGGGTTACGAACAGGCCTATTCGACCCTTCCTTGACCATACCTAGTTAATCTTTCACAATGCTGGAGACATATCACTACTTCATACCTATGCAGTATAGCTTACAGCTATTCGGATCCAATCGACCAAAATACCATAACCATCAACACCTATTCACACTAACCCACCCCCATTAGCTCCTCTTGCGTCCTGACACTAGCTAGCTCCTTGGTTGGATTAGCGATGTACTTGGCATCGGGCCCAAAGGTCTCACAGCCCTCGATAGCTGCAATGCATGTCATTTCTGTGCGGTGGCCGCTACAGCATGGATTGGGCTAGTTGTTAGGCTGAATGATCTATGAATAGATCTGGTCTGGATTGGGGGTTGTGATAGGTGATCTTATCTATAGAGGGTCTTTGATATATAGTGTGTACTATGTATAGGGTGGAATCTATATGTACATACATAGTAGCACGGAGTACGGAGTAGTTAAGTAGGTAGGTCCGTCCATCGAGATTCGGAAAATAAAGAAAAGAAGGTTTGCGAAGAATGACCGGAGACTAATTGAGGAATGCTGTCCGGGATGATCGAAAAGTTTAATGGGATGTTGAATTTGGATTCCTGAGGTGGTAGATCGGGATGGTGGCTGCCTGTGATGGACGGGCGGCATCTATTGATCGATCGATAGATTCCTCCCAGCTCGCCACTCAGCATGCTACTGGCTCTGTTCTAACAAATCCCATTGCTCAAAATTGAGTTTGCTGACGGACGGCAACGGACTCTCTTGGAAGCTAGCATCAAGATGACCGGCAAGCATGGAATATCCTTGGACTGATGCGAATCCAGGCCATCTAACAGGGAGGGTGGCTGGGGATGAGTGGTGGCTGGGAAACTCATCCATGGGAAGAAGGGACGGAACGGGATCCGCCGTCGAACTTTTTCCTCGGACGGGATATCCTCGTTCCATCCTCCACCATCCCGGCAAAAGTACGGAACCCTGCTGCGTCCAACGGAAAGCGCGCAATCCAACGTTGCAAGTGGCAGTAAGCAACACTGATCCTGACAGTCACCTGTCCTACAATGTGATGATCGTTGCAATGGGCGTAAAGGCCACCAATCAGCGGGGTAAAGACAGGGCCGATGGATGTGATGAGCTGGCAGCCTTAACCGCCAATGATTGACGGAAAGTCGGTCGTCTGGGAGACCGCCCGGATTTCGAGGTCTGCTTCCTCTGCCATGAGGCGGGTCGGAGGGAGGGAGGGAGGGGAAAAGGCTCCACCTCTGCGATGACTTTTGTCGGACTTTCCTACCGTACCTACACTAGTCATGTTGTTCGGATGCTGATGCTGGCCGTGAGCACCTCGCAGTGGTTTTCGGATTGTCCGGTTCCAGGTACCGCAGAAGATCGTGGCGCTATATGACGAGTCACTTACTCCGTACTGCTGGCAGGGCTCGTGTTTCATGCTGTATAAATGCCAAATGGCAGCCAGTTCCGGAGCATCACGATCCAGGTTTTTCCCACCGTCAGGTTTCATCACCGTGAGTCTCGGGAGGCAAAAACGCTCTCACACACCTGTACAACGGTAATAGGACCACCCATGCCTGGGACTGGCAGACAGACAGGATACAGATCACATCTCGGGTCGCACTACGAAGGCAATAACCCGCCCGTCCAGTGGAAGTGGATGGATGTATGGAACAGAAATTAATTCTCTTCCCGAGGGCTCCTTACATTATGGTGGTCTGGGAGGAAACGGGAGTGGATGAAGGTTTAGACTTGAAGAAGCATAATCGAGAAGAAGGCGATCGCGGATGAGGCAAGGTCGACTGCTCGCCAGTATTTATATCCTCTTAGCAGGGAGAGAGGGCTGTGAGTGCAGTTGCTCGGTCACCATGCGTGGATCTCACCTGGTGGATGAGGATGGATGGACCCCGAAGGATACACACGTAGGAAGCAGTCCACTTCTATTGAACCCAACCAACGTGGGGGATAGCAATGGAACCCAAAGTGAAGTGGAAATACCTCTTCAGACGGCGAGGCGACTATAAGAGCCCAGGAAGCGGGATAATCGCGAGGCTGGAGGGCAGAAGCTCAACCGCATCTTTCTGTCGTTCAGTTGGGTTGCCAGCTCATCCAGGCCGTACCTTACTTAAGGTCCAGCGACTTTTTCGTGTTTAGCCGGCCACTAACCACCTCCATCATCCATAGCATTATTATTATACTCTGCCAGCCTTCTCATTTTCCCTCTCGCCGTTTCCATCCGTCCATTGCCTTCCCCTCATTCTTTTTTCCTTCCGTCCCTGTCTCGCGCCTTTGGTTTGAATTTTCATCTGGGTTGGGTGTGCCCTGCAGCCGACTCAGTTCCCCAGCCCAGCCCGAATTTCCTCCACCCAATGCACGGGCGACTCTTGCGGTGAATGCACATGGCCACCACCGACTGATTGATTAACCACACCGATTGTTGGCTTATCGCAAGTGAGGGAGCTTCCTCAATTCACTTACGCACCTCATCGTCTCTCTCCCTCTTTCATCCTAACCACCTTCGACTCTTGCCTTTTGTGTTCCTCTCCTCCTCCACTGTTAATCCTGCTGTTGTTGCATATTCCTCCCAACCCCCAGCGCTGGTACGCTTCCTCTCTTTGCTTTTTGTGATATCGCAGCCTCCCTCACAGCTGCCCTCTGCGTCCCCACCTGCTCTGATCGCCATTCATCTCCCCATTCCCATCATCTCCTGCCCATCCGTCCACCCCTCTAATTCCTTCTACCCCCCGAGCTGCATATCGATCGGTCCGATCTGTAGTGACACTCCAATCTGTTAGCAGTCGGACCCAGTACCAGCCTTAATCTTCCCACCACTTACCTTGATCCCCCCCTGCACGCCTCCTGCCCCTGAAATCTTGCAAGTCCCTAAAAAAGGAAAAAAGAAAATCAAGAAGAAAAAAAAAAGAAAAGAAATTCCCCCCAAAGCAGAGTATGGTCTTGTCTGGCTGAAAAGAAAAGATCCTCCGCTCTTTTCCTCCATCATGGGCGTCGACACCCGCAGACCGATCTTGCCTGCCCCCACTGAATCCATTGTCGATACCAACGGCAGCATCACAGGCACTGATCTGGCAACTGACATATCTCGCCGCACAGACAGGACCTCATACTCCATTCCTGACGACGGGAGCCCCGTCACCATCCCCACTCGCCGGAAACACCGATCCCGCGGGGACGACTCCAAACTGTCCCGCTCATCGCAGCACTCCCAGACCTCCCTGCTCATCGAGTATTTCGAGGGCGGGAAGGGTTCTGGATCCCTAACTTCCCGGCCCAGCGTCCGCGTCCGAGTTACCCCTTCCTCCGCTCGGAAGCTCAAGGACAAGGATCACATCCAGATTACCGAGTCGAGCGGGAACCGGAAACCGGTCTATTCCCGCCGCATCTCTCTCAGTTCGCCCCACAAGCACAAGGCGCTGGGTGAGTCGGGTGCCGATGATCACAGCATCAGTTCTTCCAACTCCGCCACCGACGAGAACCAGCCTCCTGGCCATTCGCCTGTAGAAATCGAACTAATGAATCGTGACCAAGGCAGTGAGCTCTCTGCCCTGTCTCGCGACACGAGGTACTTCCACCCAACCTCGGACATCTCTTCGATGCCCGCGGATAGCATGCTAGACGCCCCTTCGTCCGGTCCCCGTCGCAAACGCAGCCAGAGTCTTTCAAGAGAGTCCAAGGAATACCTCAAAACCCCCCGGCGACAACGCAGTCGCAGTCTGAGCACCGAACGAATTGCTCATCGAGTCGCAGAGAAGCTCAGCAACGATCCTCGTGACGTCTCCAGGCAACGCCGACGCGCCGAGAGAAGCAGATTTGAAGACAGCGACAACCAAGACATGGATCCGAAGTCCTCTCGACGTCGAATACCTGACGACATGATGAGCCCCGAGTCCAGCCTTCTCAGTGCCTCAGCTGTGTCCTCTCATCGACGTTCCGGGGACCAGTACTCGTTCAAATCCGGCACGTCGAAGTCTTCGATAAACAACCCGAAGCTTCTTGAAACCGTTGAAGACGCGATCCGACGGCTGATCCTGCCGGAGCTGAAGGAACTCAAGAAGGATCAGAAGGTCATCTCAAACACATCCAAGTTTGACCGCGACATGAACGCCTCGTACTCCTCAGCCAGCACGCCGTCTCGGGATGAGCTAGGAAGGCGACTCTCCAAGCATGCTAGTGCCCCCGACGTCCGGAAGCCCAAGGTCGTCCTCAATAAAGATAGTCGCGATGAAGGTATCATTCTTTCTGGCGACTCAGTGCCCTCCCACAAAGAACGCAGATCCAGTAAGGATAGCGAGAGAAGCTACGAGAGAAGCCAGGATATCGGGTACATCAAATGGGCCAATCGGCCCGAGTTGACGGAGCAAGAAAAGTTGCGACGACAAAGGAGCAAAGGACTGCGATCAGCGGAAAAGGCTGCGCTCGTTGGGACGGCCTTGACGGCCGCGGCCCTCCAGCACCACGATTCGCGTTCGAGCCTCGACAAGAACGAGGGGAGAAGGAGAAGTAGTGGGCCCCGAAACCCTGGAAGTATTAACGAAACCGAACTAGTCTTCCAGAAGCACAATGTTGCCCCTATGCCGCTACGCAGTGCGATTGAATCAGACCTGACAAGAGCCTCCCTTCTCTCCGAGCAAACCGCAGAACCGGCAGCCCCGTACGGGGCCCCATACGGCGACACCAGGTTTCAAGAAGTATCCCGCGGTTCCCCTATCCAGCCGCTGTCTCCCGGAACTCGCACTCCGAATCGCACACCACTGGACACGCGATACGAGCTGAAGCTCAAGCACAGCAACCTGTCTAGCCACGACTTGTCGATCCACAGCCCCCCGAGTCGCTCGCCTGTTGGGGACGCCGCCGCAGGGGCTATCGCAGCTGCTGCCGCAGCCAATCTGCTCGACCACTCCGAAAATCATGATCTCGATTTCAGTGATTTGACAAGTCGTCGGCGCACTCTCAGTCCAATACAGAGTGTGGCCAGCAATCAGAGCCAGTCTCCGGTCAAGCAGGACTTGACCCATTTTGATAGGTACGATTACTCCGAAGATGAACGAGAATTGGAGCCGCGCCTCTCGATTGACTCTCTTTCGTCTGCGCCCAGCACGAATTTGGCAAGATCAACGCGCCCTGAAGGCCTTAGTATCACGAGCCAGACGGAGTCCCTCCGCCGCCAGCAGGAGCACGGTCCCGAGCTCGGCTACGAGGAGACCCCCCGGCCATCCCCACGAGATGGAAGACACTGGGAGACAGAATCCGAAGATGACGAGGATGACGACCAGCATTCACTGGCAGAGACAGAGACTCAGAGCACCGTGGGTAAACGGATAACCGGGTACACCGACAGCGAGATCGACTACCACCACGACAAGGTAGATCAAGGCCGACCTGTTGCTGAAAGCCGTGGCACCAACCCTCAATTCATGCATCCAGTGGCAGTTGAATCGGCGGTCGCCTCCCTGCTAGACCCTACAATCCTGGACACCAAGTCCAGTCAGTCTGGAGCGAATCGGTCCATGGCAGGCATCCCGGAACAAGAGGAGAGCCACGAACCTGAACCTACGGAGCTGCCGGACCAGACAACCCATGAATCTCGCCAAGGAAGCCCTCTTGAGCATCGCGAGGATGCTCCCAGTCCCGACGCGACCTCATTCCCTAGACGGATGGGTGCTACGTCGCCGCCTCAGAGCGTCACTCAGTCGCTGGACGACCTGGCTGAGCCCGCTCCCTTGTTCGCAGGTGGCCTTGATGACCTTGATGAGAGCCCAATGCCGCATGAAGATGATCGAAGCCCAGATTCTGAATCGGAAATCAATACAAATCCTTCCATCATCCAAGGTCCAGCGGCCCATGAGAACAGTTGGTCCTTCAACCGGACGCCCTCCAAAGACGCTCCATCGCCCCTCTTTGACAAATCCGGTGCCGCTGCTGGGGCAGGTTTGGGCCTGGGATCGGTTGACCAACCACACTATGAGCAAGACTACTACCCCGAGGACGAATATACTGCGAACAACTATTATGATCAGCAGTACAACAGAGGCCAAATGTTTGGCACGCCACTCGGAGCCAAAGACGAAGGCTATGTCTCGGCCGCAAACCCCCGCTCTCCGAGTGTTGACACCCCAGAGCCTCTTAGTAAAGGCATTGCCGGGATTGATACCAACGGGATGGGTCTCTTTGACAGCCCATTGGGAGGAGATGAGTTCATGCCCTCTCACCAGCGACAATTGAGTGGCTACTCCCAGGGGGTTGGCTCACCCCTATACGATAGTGCCACTGGTAAAGGGATTGACCGGATTCAGTCGAAGGATATCGTTGCCCTCATGGATCATGTGAGTATTCACTTTCGTGGTTGCATGTATCACTGCTAACTTCGGAACAGCTCACCGTGCGCGATGCCCAGCGGAATGCCAGGGATACAGAGATCCTCGTGACTCTTGTGCGAAGCGCCGCCGAAATGCGCAATTCCTTCGAAGAAATGAAGAAATTCATTGCCCAGCAGGATGGAATGCTCATGGACGCCAATGATCGGCAGCATGAGCGGACACATAGGGCTCTTGGCGGGCCACGTCCCCAACCGGTCAGTATGCGCAGCGCTCGTCAGGTGCCTGTGGACGATGGGGATGACATGCGCTCGAAGCGGAAGAACATATTTAAGCGTGCACTCAAGGGATTGAGTCTCAAGAACTCGAATGACCTGACCAGGATTGAGGACATGTTGGAGCAGCTACTGGATGAGGTCGAGGCTCTACGTACCGGTCAGGACGACAGGTTCATGCGTGGAGGCAATCGGCCCGCCAGTGTAGACCCTGAGGGCTATGAGCCTGAGGGTCACGCCGGGACTTCATCCCCGGGAAACCAATCGGAGTACCTCTCGACATCCTCACAGCCCGCTATGGAACCACTTGTTGGCAATTCACTACGGCGGGGCCTTGAAAACCGTGTGAGCACGGTCCCGGAGCTCGATGAAGACATGGAACTCAACGAGCAGGGGGAGTTCTCCAGCCCTCCTATGCCCTCTCAGGAGCCTGCGAACAACCGTCTGGACCGGGCTGGCTCTGCTCCTGTGTCAACGCCTCCTCGCGAGCCCATGGCTTCGGGCGCCCTCAGCAGCGAGGCTACTCCGAAGACGACCGAGAAGGCCAAGAAGCACAAATCGAGCAGCTCTTCGTTCTTCCCCAAGATCTCCCGCTGGTCCAAGACCACGGCATCTTCTATGGGGGACAACATTCGCAATAGCATTCAACCCGGCCGCAAGGAGCGGGCGTCTTTTGATACGTCGCGTTCTGGATCCGAGCTCGCACAGGGACCATACAAGACCGATTATTATGACCCCCAGGGTGAAGATCGATTGCGCTCCACGTATACACTGGATGACCCGCAGCAGGAGAACCGACCTCCGTCTCCCTTGGTTCCGTCTCAAGCGTCAGAAGCCCCGAAGTACCGGGCACACCGGGGCAGTCTCGATCTCCACCATCCCCAGCCTCGCCAGGGACCGTCTGGACGATACCAGTCGCAGCTAGAAACGCAAGCTCAGGTCTACAGAGTACCCTCGGGTGCACCTTCGGAGCAGTGGGGATCCAACCCTAGCTTGTCCGGAGTCAACGCCAACCCGCGCCACAGCGGTGTCAGTCGTCTGTCGCCTATCTCAGATGCAGGCTATTCGGAAGCGAGCTCGCGGCACACGGGGCCGCCGAGGCCGCCGAAGATCAAAGATGAGGGACCACTGATCCCCGAGAGGCCGCCTAAAGTCAAGGAAGATGACGAGCGGTCGTACGTGGAACGAGTTGCTTCGCGGGTGCGTGTTCATATTTGGAAGGGACGCTTTAGTCGCATGATGCTGACCATATCTCTGTAGAGTTCTATCATGCGCTCTCCGCGTAGCACGCCCCCACCCCGGAAGCCCACGGGGCCGCGTCCTCTGACGTCGGGCAGCCAGTACAGCCCTGCGCGGCGGAAGAGAAGCCAATATCGCGCGAGTCCGGAGCAAGTGGACGACATTGACTATTGACGCGACGCATTTTGAAGTTTGATACCCACGTTTTTGTTCTCAAGAGTTATACGATTTTGCCATGTTCACGATTTATGACCCGCGCTTGCGATGATTCTTGCTTTAACGGTTACGACCAGTTGCATATGATGGATGATGTTGCCGAAAGGCATTGGAGGAGGTGTAAACTTGCGGTGATGTTTCAATACCATGTACTCATCTGTTTTATATGATTCCCTTCTTGCTGCATAGTTGAGTCCGGTGGGACAGTTGAGAGTGCATAATGGCGGATGCATGTGTGCATGCGATGGAATAAAAAGTTATCGCGTGTTCGACCTGAAGTCTTGACATCATGGCCCGATGGGGTTATCAGCCACGGGCGGACCGTGGCTACAATGCGGGGTTGATGCGGAGACGAAGCTTATCAGGCGGTGTCTCAGATAGTAGAAGAAGTATATCGAGAGTATAAGAGGACTACCATCTCTGCTCTCCATTTCCCTTCTCGTCCCTACCCTACCATACCAATTTTAAATTTCTTCACTTCTCATCATGACGGACCCTCTCGACCTGGTCATCTGCGCCACCTGCGGCACGCAATACTCGACCCTGACACCTCCTCCGACCTGCACCATCTGCGACGACCCCCGCCAATACGTCCCTCCCACCGGGTATTCCCTTCCCCCCTCCCCATCTTCCTCAAAAAGCTAACAACACATCCTCACAGCCAAACCTGGACCACCCTCCGCACGCTCCAAACCTCAACCCCCACTCCCAACACCCCCAACAACAACAGCACCACCACCAGCAGCAGCACACCCCCCAAACCCAAATACACCAACATCCTGACCCCCCTCCCGCACGCCCCCGAAATCCTGACCATCCACACAACCCCCAAACTCGCCATCGGCCAACGGGCCTTCCTCCTGTGCACCCCCCACGGCAACATCCTCTGGGACTGTCTCACCTACCTGGACGACCGGACCATCGCGCACATCCATTCCCTCGGCGGGATCTCCGCCATCATCATCTCCCATCCGCATTACTATACTACCCATTTGGTCTGGGCGGAGGCGTTTCAGTGTCCGGTGTATTTGTCGGTTGAGGATAGGGAGTGGGTTATGCGGGTTGATACTGATGATAAAGGGGAGGGGTCGGCGAGACAGGTCTTCTGGGAGGGAAAGGAGATGGAGGTGATTAAGGGGTCGGGGGTGTGGGGGATTAAGACCGGGGGACATTTTCCGGGGAGTTCGGTGGTGTGGTGGCCTGGAGAGGGGATGAAGGGGGCGTTGTTGTTGGCGGATACGATTGGGACGGTGCCGAGTGGGATGGGCGATTATGGGGAGGGAGGGGGGAAGGGGTGGGATGTGGACTCGGAGATGGGCATGGGGAGGATCACGTATACGTTTATGTGGAGTTTTCCGAATATGGTTGGTCTTTCTTCATTTCTTTGGTTTGTGCTTTTTTGTCAAAGATGGGGGTAAAGTGGGGGTGAGGTAGGATGTGGGCTAATTGATGATGCAGATTCCTCTTCCTCCAGATGACGTGCATAATATCTGGAAGGCTCTCAAGCATACCGAGTTCGACCAGGCCTATGGGGCGTTCATGGGCATGGACACCGCGGGGAAGTGCAAGCAACGACTCCTGGACAGTGCAAAGATCTTCGTCAAGGCGATGGGATACCTAGACCATGCAATTCACGCGGAGGAATGTCCCTGATTTAACACATTGCATTTGGCTAGCTGCATGCCTGAAGCATTTACACCCAGCATAAACATTATTGGCGCTGTTGCATCCACCAGATACTGCAAGGAATAATATACATTTTGACCCAACTTTGCCCTCACACATCGGTAAATGGCCTCACCGAGGTCCGCACCTCCTCGGCCTCGACAGTGCCATTGTTGGTACACTGGGCCGTTGCCAAAGAGCTCAGCTCCAATCCATCGCTGATGGGAAACCGTCCCGGATAGCTGTCTGCCGAGCGCGTTTGCTGCAGCTGCTCCATATCCAACGCGACCTGGTCTGGCTGCGACTCATCTGCCAGCACGGTGTCCATTGACCACGGACGACTCATAATACTGAACCGCAACCTCTCCGACATGAACCCAGAGAACCGCACTCCCGGGAGCATGCTCTGGCGCTGGCTCGAGCTATTCGATTGTGGATCACTCAACGACAAGCTTCTCCGGACGACGGACGAGTAGACCGAGTCACTGGCAAGAGGCTGATGGCCTAGGAAGTGCACACTCGCTTGTGCACTGGTATGATCGTCGTGCTCTCTTCCTCTGCCAGCGATGGCGAGATCCATACTGCGGCTAGTCACACAGTTTGACAGGCGGACCACTCGCGACGGCACAGGCATCAGCGGGATGGCCAGGCCGGAAGAAGGAGCACTATCGGCCGTGGTTGGTCTCATGTCCGCGCTGGACAGGCCTGCGGTGGATTGCAGACTCTCGTTGAGCTGGGTGTTCTCGGGCGTGATTGTCAGGAGGATGTGGATGATGCGTTGCTCCCTGCGGCTGATGGCCTGGCCGACGTAGCTATTGGGGTATCGGGCAGAGTTTCTGCTCACCCCGGTGAGAGATGCCAGCACATTCAGGAGCTTGATGGTGAGCAGGGCTCCGAGTAGCGAGAGGACCTTGCGGAGGTTGATGGCGTTGATAACGGAGGCGTGAGACGCTGCTGGGAGCTCGTTGGCCGGCATGGTGATCGTCAGGGTGTATAAATTTGTCGGGACGAACGATGCGAAGGGAGATGGATGAAGACGATCATTGTGAGGTGTCAGGTGGATTGCCTGGTTGGGGAGGAAGTGCTGTTGCAGCTGCAGGAAGGAGCCACCAATCCATCTTCCGTCAAGCAGGTTCGCGATGTAGACAAAGTCAATCGGCCATACGTATCGTACGGTACGGTGTATAGAGTCGTGGTGATGCTATACTACGCCCGGGCAAATGAGAGCCCAGCATCTCCGCACCGCGCCAGACCAGCTCCACCGGCTATCTTATCAACGCCACTCCTCCATCCTCTATCCTATCCTTTCTCTTCTTCCCATTCCCACTCTCCATGTCCACCGCTCAATCCATCCGGCGTTTTCCTCGTCGTCTCATGGCTTCCCTCAGCGATTACTCCCTCCGCCAACGGCGGTTCGCCCCCATCCACCCCTACAAGCAGTCCTCCGCACCCCCGCTTCAGGGCATCGTCTTTGACGTAGACGGCACCTTATGGTACATACTACATACCACATCATGCTCTTCTCAATTCCATCCCATTTCCAACTCCTAAGCTAACAGGACAAAACCTCAGTCTCCCCCAAAACCACATGTTCACTGAAATGCGGTACGTCCGTTCCCTCCCCCTCCCCCAGCTCCTCTATGCTCTCTCAACCCATATATCTACAACAAAAATCTAACAACAACCAGAGAAGCCCTCAACATCGACAAAAAAGTCGACATCCTCCACCATATCAGCCGTCTCCCCACCCCAGAAGCTCGTCTCGAAGCCGCCAACAAAATCAAAGCCATCGAGCGCACCGCCATGACCACCCAAGAACCCCAGCCGGGGCTAGTCGAGTTAATGGATTTTCTTGAAGAGCGGGGGGTGAAGCGTGCTTTGTGTACGAGGAATTTTGAGTATGTGCCTCCCACCTTTCCCCCTAATGTAAATGTTAATTTAGGTCTTTTTCAATCTCCTGTCTGTGTTTGTTAGTTATACGAATACGAGGATATCTGGTATGGCATCGATATTGTTACTCATACTGACACTGGGACTATGTAGAGCCCCCGTCCTCCACCTCCTTAATAACCATCTCCCCGCCCACGTCTTCCTCCCCATCATCACCCGCGAAACACCAGGGTTAATGCCCAAGCCCGATCCTGCGGGGATCTTGTTCATTGCGAATGAGTGGGGATTGGATGGTGGGGCCGGCGGGTTGATTATGGTATGTTGATCCATATTCGTCCATTAGACTTCGAAGGTAGGTGGCTAATGCGCATGTAGGTTGGCGATAGTCTCGATGACATGACAGCCGGACATACCGCCGGCGCAGCGACAGTACTGCTCCTGAACGACCATAACGGGCATTTAAAAGACCATGCCCATACGGATCTGTGCATCGAGAGACTAGACGAGTTGATTGACATTTTGGATTCCGGATTCGTAGGACATCGTGGTGGGGGAAAGGTACCCACGGGTACGGATCAGGGGATACAGTACATATAGAGTCTCTTGTACATTGAACACATGGAACATAGTTCGGGGCTGTACATACGGGCGGACTCTTGGATTACAGACGCAGATGCAGGTGCAGACGAGCTTTTGATATACACATCTATCAATCAATCAAACCCCGGGGTATAGCTGTACACACAGGAAACGCCAACCGAAGAGTCAACGACCTGTCTTCATCATTATTCATCATACCAATTTCATCACAGTCGGTACTTGTCCCATGCCTTTTTGGCTGCGCTAGGAAGCGGACGATAGGCATCACCGCCGCCGCCACCGCCGCCTCGCTTGCCGCCACGGCCTCCTCCGCGGCCCCCTCCGCGTCCGGGATTGCCGTTGCCTCTGGTCGAAGGACGGCTCGGGAGTGAACCCCGTCCGCTATTCGGTTGCCAGCTATCTCTGCCGCGTCCGCGCGAGGGACGGGGATTAGGAGATAATGACCGCTGGCGGGAGTTGTTGCCAGATGAGTAGTTGTTATTGTTGTTTCCTCTATAACCGCCCGTCGGGGCCAGGTTCTTGTTCTGTCCAATGCCAGCGCCGAACCGGATGTGGCCGCGGTTGCCGCCTCTATTGACGGGTTGGCGGCGGTCTGGTCGCGCCATCATGTCGTCGCTGTCGGATGAGGGAGAGCGCTGGTCGGCGCGGCCCCGGATCTTCATGCCTCTTCCTTGGCCTCGGGGTGCAGCGCCGCCGCGCCGGGCAGGCATGACAGAGTTGATGTTGGTGATCATGTCTGGGTCGATTCCGCGGAGGGTCCAGGAGGAGGAGCGTAGTCCTGAGGGTAAGGAGGGACAGTCGCCGATGATATGGCGGTTGCTGGTGCAGTGGGCACAAGATAATGAGACGAGGACAGGGTCGGAGGATGTGTCTTGGGGAGAGAATTTCCACATGAGATCGCAGTTCAGCTCGAGGTGCTCGGATGATCCGCACAGGTCGCAGGGGAACTCAGTTGTGGAGCCCTTCAGTGGGGACGGACAACACTCTTGGTCGTGACCACGCTGGCGACACCTTTGGCATCGCCTCCAGGACGGGCAGAAACTGCTCTGGTGCTGGTTCCAGGCACCACAATGTACGCACTAGGAGAGTTAGTTGATGTTCTGATCGGAAGAGTCCGAGTAGTACGTACCTCCCGGGAGGGACAGACTTGTGCCAGGTGTCCCTCATGCAGACATTCCGTGCAGGCTATCGGTAGTTGTAGATCGATGGCGTTGATGTCGCGGTCATAGAATCTGTACTTCGCCTGAATGTCCATGTCATCACGATCCAGATCGGCGAGAGTCGAGGGGGCGGTGGGGTATTTCTTCGAGAATCGGAGGAGCGCGTCCTCTTTCGACTGTGTTAGAGTAGTGTCCTGTCCATTGACGGCTTTTCCACCCAGGCCGTCGGATACTGGTAGAGCCTCGGGGTCATATTCGTCATCGCCGTCCGGTGTGATAAGGCCATCCTGGTCCTGACCAAGGCTCTGACCGTTCCGAGACCCGATATTCAGTAGGATCGAATCGTCCGCTTCCGAATCCAGAGACTCCGAGTCGTCTGAGTCGCCAGAGAGCTGCATCTGGCTAGACTCATCCGAGCTTTCATCCTCATCCTCCTCGTCCACCTCACCCTCTTCGTCATCCTGACTAGGTTTCGAGGATTCCGCGTCGTGATCCCCGCCGGACGAGATAGACGCGCTGCGACTGCGCCAAAACTTGTCGTTGACGGCGTCGAACTGGGAGGTGGGCTTGCTCTCGTCTGTCTTCCCGCGACTGCGAAGCGATGTCCGAATCCCACTCTTGCTCCCCTTATTCCAGCTCACAGGCGGCGCGGGTGCGGTGGACGTGGACTCGGCCGGTGCATCACCACCTTCGGAAGAATTGCCATCATCGCTGTCGGAACCCGAAGAGGATGTGTGGTCTGAGTCTACAGCGAGGGCTGCAGCGCTAAAGGTCGCGCCCTGGGGAACAAAGTCGCGGACATTGCGGACATCGGCGGAGCCATTGCGTCGTTGTCTCTTCCGCGGGTTCGGGTTGGGATCCTGAGAGCTCTGGCGCGAGGAGTGGCGGGAGCCGTTTGTCTGAGGACGGGGGGCGACCGCGGCGGTTCTGGAGTCGTTATCGTCGGATGGTGTGTCTGCCATCCTGGAGAAAAATGAAGGGGAGAGAACGGGGCAGCGGTGTAGATGTGAAGAAGCAACAGCGCGATGTTGATTCGTGATTCGGGCAGATTTCGTGGATGGAAATTTACGGGGAGCGGCAGGGACCACCAGCGCGGGGGCGGTTTGGTACGGCGACGGTATGTATTGTCATTTGTCCATCCGACGCATCAGGGGCAGATCGATCCGAGACGGAGGTTTACGGCGTCGTCCTAGACTCGTCGCGGGGGGTCTAGAACGATGAGTTGCAGCAAAGCGTCCGCTTGGGGCTATTCTTAGCCATGCCGACGAGGGTTGAGGATCGGCTCGCTGCCCCTCGGGATTTTGGCGCAGCTGGCATTTTCTCTCCTTCTCCAGCGTCGTTCTTTTCTTCTTCCTTTCGGCCCTGTGTCTTTGATTTTCCGTTGAGATTCTGGCCTTTTTCTTTGGCACCTCGGTAAGGTTACCCCTGTTCTGGTATTACGGAGACGTGCTCCCGTGACCAACACCGCCGCCGATCGTCTTCAAGATCGCCTCCACGCCAGGCGAACATCAGCTTCCATCCAGCCAGCTTGCTCTCTTGTTGCCTCTCCGCCAGTCCCTCTTTTCTCTGCCACTTCCTCGCGGTCTCTCCCCCTCCCTCCCGACCACTCGAGTCGTCGTCTCACTGTCCGATTCCTCCTCTCGATCCCCCCGGTTCCCGCTCAACACCGCCAAAGTGTCTTCCCTACTTGTGCCCCGTGCCATCTCCTTCCCCCCGGACGTCGACGCTGCGTCGCGCCGGTTGACCCCGGACTCCAACATGGCCCAGGGCAAGGCTGGACGGAGGAGACGGTCGAGTAGTATCATCTACCAAGAGCCGGCTGAGTCCATTGAGCACACCAGTGACCAGGCCGCCCTGCCCAATCTGAATGCGAATTGGGTCAACGCCAAGGGTGAGTTTTGGCCACCTCCACCTTCTCCTCCACCGTCGTCTGTCGACGCAACATGAGGGGTTCCCGCGGGGATCGTTTCCAAGTGGCTGACCACGCTGTACTTCCCATTAGGAGCCTGGACCATCCACTTCGTCCTGATCGTTTGCCTTAAGATCTTCTACGACATCATCCCCGGCGTCTCGCAGGAGACTTCATGGACCCTCACCAACATCAGCTATATGTTCGGTTCCTTTATCATGTTCCACTGGGTGCGGGGTATCCCCTTTGAATTCAACGCTGGCGCGTACGACAACCTCAATATGTGGGAGCAGATCGACAATGGAGATCAGTACACTCCCACTAAGAAGTTCCTCCTCTGCGTCCCTATTTGTCTCTTCCTCCTCAGCACGCATTATACCCACTACGACTTGACGTATTTCACGATCAACTTTCTCGCTACGCTGGGGGTGGTCATTCCGAAATTGCCATTTGTTTGTTCCCTTTTTGCCCTGGTGTGAGTCACGCATACTAACCATCGTCTTAGTCGCACCGTCTGCGAATAGGGCTCTTCTCCGATATACCGGAAGAGTAGCCGCACTCTTTCTTTTTCTTTTCCGTTTCCTTTTTGGCTTTTCCCCATTTACTTGCCTTTATTCCCTTAACACTTACCTTGTGTGTTTGTATTGCTTCTTACTACTACTAAACTATTACTTATCCGTTCTTGATAATATTCTCCGCTTGGCGTCGCTGTCTCTTTCCTTGCCCTCTCTCTCTCACTTTCTCTTCCTCTCTTTTCTTTCTCGCCTCGCTTCTTCCCTTGTCTAACATATCTCTGTTTCAATTCGCGGGTTCACACCCAGGAACTGGGCGGCCGGACCCGTCGGAGAGTGCCGGAAAAAGAAAGAAACCGGAGGAGCACTTGAGGAGACCAAGGGTTAAAAAGGGGAAAACTGTGGTTCGGTTTTATAGAAAGGGTGATGGCGTGAATGGGGCGTGCGGAATAGATGAAGATAAGGGGGCCGGTCGGTTGGTTCTGGACTCTCTTCTCATCACCACTACACTCTATATAAGAAGATATTCCTTACTGCTTGGTGTCTGGTAGTGTGGGCGCATCGCGTAGACAGCCATATGGGGTATAGACGATGGCGTGATCAGTAACCCATCGTAGATCCGGAGTAATTTATATGCGTGATACGCTGTATTGTTTCAGGTTTGGGGCCGTATGGAGTTTCAGTTGTCTGGCAGTGATGATAGCTCCAATCGCTTGATTCCGTTGAAGTATACGAACCGAGACTATATTAATACTATAACCTCTAACCACGACTATGAAACGCAGCGCCTTAAACACTGCTACCTCGGCAGCTATCATCTACAATACCCGAGAACATATATGCTAGTAGTACTCAGGTGGAACCGGTTCATCGACATGCACATGGCTAGAACCAACTCCGGCCGTTTGCTAAAAGTGTTTCTAGATTCTCCCTCGCTGGTTGTGTTGTATAATTCGTATGGTTTACGATTTGCGTCTATTCTCCGGTGGTGGTGGTGGTGGTGATGGTGTGATGGTCGGCCGAGTTGGTCACAATCTTGGGACACCGACTCAAGGAGTTTATGTTGATGTTGATATTCGGAGTCGATATTAATAGCCTGTACAGCATTGCGGTTGCTAAACGAGCATTGGGTCTATATCTTCCGAATCGTATCCCTGCTGCTCTAGTATTCCAGAGGTAACGCCGTTCGGCTTTACGGAGCTGGTCTCGCAAGCCATCGATTATCGATGCCCTATCTATGAGTAGATATAAACAATCGACAGCTATTTATGGCGTTGCATCGAGAAGTCGCTTCCATCTGCGAGCAAATTCCCCAGAGTAGTGTTCAATCAGCGTCCCCATAAGGGTTTGTTTGGTGTGATTGCAATGTCTAGGTGGGAGGTGAGGACGGAAGAAGAGCGAGGCACCAGAACCAGAGGGGTCAGCTGACTGACTTGTGTAGCTTTTCAGTTATCGGGAATACTTCAGGTTTCGGTGCTGCCACGCCCGAGCTCAACGAGCTTTGACCCTTCGATGTATTCAGTCACCTCGGGTCAACCACGGAGTCTTCAAGCAGACATATCGAGCAGGCTACGCAGAGCTCTTGGTGAGTCTGTTATCGTACTCATTATGGGGGAAACAGTTCCTATAAGCCCTTCGGAAATGCCGGGAAATAGGTCGATAATAAGTCTAAGATGGAGTCTCACAATCCCATCTTAACCTACAAATCACCTTCCCCAATGGGGCCTGTCAAACTAATCTTTTCAGTTGAATTAGGACAGCATCATTAGATTGGTCCACTGTTTCTATGAAGCAGCAACAAATCTATCGATACTCCCTCGAACATCCAGAACAGTGACACAAGTGGTGGCTGGCGTCCGAAGTCACGTTCTCTATAATGAAAGGTGGGATCGAGAAGAGACCAACGATTAATATGGTTGAGTTGCTTCAAGAGGGGACAAAGGAGAGAGGAGGCAGTTCTAGTACATTTGAGAGGCCTAGCTATGATCCTCTTCCGATACTCGATATCCGATCAATGCAACTTATCAGAGTCCAGACACTAAAACCACCTGATCCTATCGCCATTATGACTCAAAAGCAAGCCGCTAATCTCAGCATCCAGACGCTCGATCACCTGGAGACACTTTCTAACACTTTCCTCAGGCTGAATCTGCCCCTTGAGTTCAGGCTCGGCTGCTTGGAAAAGTTTCAGCAAAAACTCGTTCGCCTGTACTACCGGAAAAGGTTTCTCTCCTGGATTATATGAGTGTCTATCATTACTATAGCAAGGCAAAGGTCACTTGCCCTCCCATGTATCAACCCATCCAGGGCTCAAAGCCAACACCTTGATCTCTCTAGGCGCAAACTCTGCTGCGTACTTGGCGACTTGAACATTCATCCCGGCTTTTGCGACAGAGTATGCGACAGCATTGCTGACACCCGCCGCCTTGATCAAATCCACATCCGCCATGGCGCTGGAGATGTGCACAATTTTCTTCTGGATGCCGTTTTCAATCAGAGGCAGGAAGGCGTTTGTCGTCCATAGGCCGCCGTAAATAGCCGTACTAAATGACGGGTCGAAAGCTTCCCTTATGGCTTGAGCATCGAAGGGAATTTGGGTCGGGTTGAGGGACATGGTGGCCATATCAACCGCGTTGGAGTTGTGAATAAGCACGTCTAGCTGACCGCCAGTGACGGCGGCTGCGGCCGAGGCAGCCTCGAGAACTGACTTGGGGTCCGTCACATCGCCTTTGATAACGTGCACGTTAGGGTGATTAGAGGCGAGCTCAGAGATGTCGGGCGATTCAGGGTTTCGGACAATAGCCAGAACCGTGTTGGCCGGATTGGCAGCAAGTTGACGCACGAACTCGCGGCCAATGCCCTTGGAGGCTCCGGTGATGGCATATGAAGACATTTTGATATCCCGATGATAAAGTAGATCGATTAGTTGCTGGTGCCATTGCAATGTTGGATTTACTTCCATTTATATACAATCGGCCGATTACAAACCCGTCCGACCGGATGATCCGGTTTCCCCGATCCAACGGCTCAGCAACCGGAGGTCCTTCCATCAACCGACCGCTCCGTTTCCTCGCGGGCGCCTTATGCGACATCATGAGCGCCACCATATCTGCAGTCAAGAGGAGGGCCTGTGTGGCGTGCACGGCTGCCAAGGCGAAATGCACGCCGCAGTCTGTTAACCTGTGCCAGCGGTGCGCTCGTCTAGGCAAGTCATGCACATACCTTGAACTTCCCCAGACGAAGCGGAAGCACAAGGCTGCTCCGAGGTATTCTTCCGAACCCCCACCTGTGGCACTGGTGGTATTAATTCTGGATGCAGTCGTGTGGAGGTGCTAGAGAAAAGGGTCGACCAGTTGATGTCGCAGGTGGCCGCCTTGACCCGACAGAATGGACAGGCATCGCCATCGCCCGATACTTCGAACCCACTCCCCAACGACTGGGGCTCATCTCGGGATGCCGAGCCGGATTCAGCAGACATTTCCGCGATGCTAGACGCTGCTCAAGACCCGTCCCACGGCCTCGACCCGCCGACCAGCTCTGTTCTGGAGGGCCAGCCGTCGATCGTCGACCGAGGGCTTTTGAGTGAAGCCGAGGCTGAACGCTTGGTTGCAACCTTCCAGCTTGACTTTGTTCCCAAGTTTCCCTTTGTATTAATGAGACACGGCGAGACAGCCGCTCGTCTCAGGGACCGAGAGCCTTTTCTGTTTCTGTGCGTCGTAGCCGCGACCATGGGCAGTGCGCACCCTCTGCGCAAGATCGTCACCGAGGAGATTATGAAGCACGTCACCTTGAGGGTTGTGGCACGGTCCGAGAGGAATCTCGAATTGCTCCGTGGTCTGTTGGTTCACAGCGCATGGTACTCATATCCTGCTGAGAGATATCATCCGCGACTTTTGCTGTTGATTCAGTTTTGTGTTTCGATTCTGCATGATTTGAGGCTTCACAGAAAGCCCAGTCTACATCCGGATGAGCAGCGGGCGCTGCTCGGTACATATTGGCTTTCGGTTGGGTGAGATTTGTCTGCGCTGCTCGATGCGGCTTCGGCTAACTTGATTACAGACTTTCTGGCATGCTCGGCCGGCCAATTATGATGAAGCATGATGGACGAATCGACGAGTGCATGGAGAGGATAGCTTCGACTGAGCACCTGTCAGATCGGTGGATTGCGCCATTCATCCACCTACAGACTTTCTTGGCAACAATGGATGAAATTTACGCTTCGATGCAAGCAAGTGGTGGAAGGGTGCTCGTCCAAGTGACGCGCGGCTCTCTGCAGCGACAATTTGATAGCGTAAGGGCTCGTGTAGAAAAAGATCTCTCGCGCTGCCCTTTATCAACAGGTATGTCTTGAAACCCAAAATGATTGACGGAGATTGACCAACCATTGCAGCGAACGCAATACGCACTGAGATCAAATACATCGAAATGCGACTCGAAGAATTATCCCTTCGGGAGGTCCTATGGATAGCAGAACCCGCCAGTGCAGTCCGAACAACCATGCTGATGAGTCTAATCCAACGAAGCAAGGAAGTCATACACACGATCCACAACCTACCCGTGTCGGAAATTGCCCAAATGACAATCATCACCAGTGCTCATATATGTGCCGCCGTGGGCTACATACCCACGGCAGTAATGACGCTTCTCAAACTCATCACTGGCCCTACCCCCACCGACCCTGCCATGGAAGCCCAGGTGCAGGCCATTGTTGAAGTAGCCGACTACCCCAATCTCGTCACTGAGCTGGCCAACACGCTGGAGACTCGACTTGAGGGAATGTCTGCTGCAGACCTCGAGATGGATATTGTGGGGAGCTTGTGCTCTAAGATGCGGCTGCTAGCACGTTGTTATCCGTATCAAATCAGGGCCATTGTTGGGGATACGTCCATGATGGCAGCAGCTCCCACCAATGTGATTACTATGACCCCCCCTGTCTGGCCGTCTATTTACGGTGACCTGGATGATAGCATGTTCCCTGTGGACAACATCCAGTGGGATTCTCTATTAAGTAGTTTTACTGGGTTTAGCTAGCGTAGCTGATATTTTTATCTGTCTTTACGACAGAGAAATACACATCAAGTGAAGTCCAAGACAAATAACAAATGCACCACTTTCGCATCAATCCCAAACAAGATACGAAACTGTCCAGAAACAATTACTCGAGATAAAAAACTAGTACATATCATCCCGCATGCCTACTATAAGAACACGCGGATTTAAGACCTGCAAGTCTGTCAGATCCTCCCCCCAAAATCCACAGTATACCCGTTCCCGGCCCCGGTCCCGGCCCAGCCCAGCCTAGCCCTAACGGGTGAACCGGACGCTCCGGACCGGGACCGGTGGACTGAGTTTCCGAAACAATTACTAAGACATCATCAGCAAAACCAACTTCAGTCGGAATGGGGGAGTACCAAAGGTAGATCTTTCCTCTGACTACGTAGATTTATCTTGAGGAGCTTTACCGAGGATTGATTAGTATGATTCAGCACTAGTAGGTACATGCTATTTCTTGCCCCGGGTAATTGGAGGGTGGTTCTACTGCACAGGTTCGCCCTTTACTAGGTATTTGAATGTACTGGATTGTAAGCTCGTGGGACTCGCGATGTGATGTCTCGATTTTGTACGTTGGATTTTATAGACTAGTGAGTGGTTGATGGGATGAGGTATAGTAGAAAAGGGCTATACAGAGAAATGATCCGAGTAGTAGGATCTCAGGGTTTAGTGTCCTGCATAGAGTAAACTATTCTCATGACATAAGTTTCTGCTCTTCACTTTAAGCCTATGTACTGTTAATGGATGGATCAAGGAATACCGTGACAGTCGAGCGGACTTGAGCTTTCAGGAGGAAGTAAAATTGTGATAATAAATCATAATGATTGTTCTTCCTGGACCCTCGGGGTAAAGAAGTGGTCCATGTTCAAGACTCATCAGTTATGGCTACAATATAGAAACGGCTTCAAGAAGAACACACACCATCCTCCAAGTTTCGCCGCAGCTGGATAGAAGCCTCGATCAGTTTTCCATCAACGGTTCAGATGGAAGCACTGATGCCTGCGGATCAAGGCACTCATGCACGTATTCCATGTCGGCGAATCCGTCTGCAGCATTCATCCCCAAAAGTAAAGCTCCCTGGAAAACCTCGACCATCACAAGTCGATCTAGACACTTGGTTCAACCCCATGGAGTCTGGTGTTCAGCTCTCTGATGCCCAATGCAACTTGTCCATCCGTTCATAGTAGCTCGCATCCGTCTCTCTCTCTTCCTTGGGTGTATCGACCGCCCTCGAGCAAAGCTTTGGGTGGCATATCCCGATGGCATTCGTCAAGGGTTGGTCACACTCGTTGTCAACCCGATAGTGGTGGCAGATCCGACAGTTGCCGTGCGTTTGCCGGATGCAGTCATTGTTGGAGTAACAGCCGTAATCGTAGCAGAACAGATTAGCCCGCTCCGTCAGTATCTTGTCCAAGTCGTAGGTCACCAACCAATCACCGGCGGGCTCGTGCTCCGGCAATTTGAGGTCCGGGTTATGCCTGTTCATTCCCCTTGCGAAGAGCACCCTGGCGTAAGGGGGGTCAAATACGAATGTTGTTTCGCCGGTCACCGAGTTTTTCAGTTCCGCGGTAGCGGTGACCTCGTCGATAGCGACGTATTCCTCTGGGTTCGGTACAGTGGCTTTCTCGATTTGTTCTTTCACGTGCTTGGCCGTCTCGGGGTCGAATCGCGTGTCGATGAAGTATAACTTGTTCGAGCCGGCCGCGGCTACGTATGGAGTATCCGGCGCTGCGACCTGGAGTCCGTAGTCGGTTTGGATCACGTTCGGTACGTAGCCGCCCCGGTATTCCTCTTGGAAGGTTGGCGAGCCCTCGCAGGGTCGGAAGGGGTTCAGAAGCATGGTGATCACTAGAAGAAAGAGCATGATAGAATAGGATAGAGACAAGTTAACCCTATATTCTGCTCATATGTTCGTGTGCGTATGTTGTTGCTCTTAAATAACTTGTCGAGGACTTGAGGTCAGAGGAGTATGATAGACCATCACTGGCAGCTACCACGTGCTAAGAGTTGAGATCAATTTGACATTCGCAAACACGAGCACCCATTGGCCACTGCATTGCTATCTCTGCGGTTGCATGCATACGGCAGCCTTACAAGCTGACCCCACGTGCAGGCTGCCCTCGTGATTGGCCGCCGCAATGCTATCACAATGCTACCGTTGCAGATCCGGTGATTCCAGAAGGTGAGACATTGGTTATCAATGTTGCTGCCTGTAGTGGGTCGTGCTTATAGTGATGAATGGTTCATGCAGCAGGCTGTCTGTCCCTTGTCAGGGTCTCAGTTTCGACAGGGTCAGAGAAATCCTGGCAGTGAATGAGCTCCATCACGGTGAGTGTTCGTCTGAACACTCAATCATTTCCTAACCCTGGTTAATCTGGATATCCTTGAACCTTCCAGATTCTCAAGATATTTAAAGATTGTATAGTATCGTATGTTTTCAGTTATGTGGTCAAGCTTATTCGGTACCAGGGAATCTCTCAGCCCGACTGCACTGTTGTCCGAGGGCTGGTCTGACCCCATGGCACTAATTCCTGGCAGGGGGTCTGAGTCCGACGACGTCCGGGATTAGTGTCTCAGGGTCCGACACTATACCAGCTCTCTTATAATAGCTAAGAAATGGTTCTAGCTCTGGTCAAAAGGGGCGCCCATCGGAGCTGCATGCCCATCTGGTGTCATCTTGGCGAAGCAGTAACTCTTCCATGACCGTAACAGAGCATAGAGAATTCACTGTCCGATGCTCTCTGACAATTCTCCTCTTGTTGCTTTTCATACTGGCTTTCCGTAGTCTGTTCCCTAGAGTCGTTCTTGGTCTGCGTACTTTTTCGAGTGTAGCGGAAGGGGATAACTATGGTGAGGTGAGAGTCAGTGCTCATCCCAGCAAAATATGACAGTGTTCCTTTCTTACTAATAGTAAGACATTTAACCTTTTTTAGACCCCTTCGTTCTCAGTTTAACCTGAAAGCTTGACGTCCTCCTATCTGCGAGCTTGTCCAATCAGTCATAAGGGACCTGGGATCGTCCATTGTCAAGGCTGACAAGGAGGGTCAGCACATGATACCCACGCACGACTTTCGACATTGCTCCTCCGGAACCTCGGCACACTCTGGCAAGGACAGACTCAGTCATGCTCTCCAGATGGTATCTCATTTCCTTCGAGCCCATTCCTCACCTGGGTGAATATATGGAGGATCCAGAACCATGACTTCTGTCAGAATTGGTGGAACTGAACTTTCTGGTAATATTATGCTCTGTCAGGAACATCACCGTTAGCTATGTCCATCACCGTCCTCGGGATTAGTGAGCAGCGCTTACAACCGTTTCCCATCAACAAGGAGCTCTCATACTCACTGACGTCCTCACTCCTTCCATGTGCACACCTAAACAATCACCGAGCTGGCTGTAACCACTAAGACGAATGACCAAGATCCGCAGTCAAACGTACCATGATCGCACGAGACGCTCCGTGGTATCCTTTCTACCTAAACTCATGATATAACTGCGGATCAGTGTATCGGTATCCACTACCATGCACTGACCGATGGTATCCGTGTTCAGAGGTACTGCCCGTCTTCAACCTGGAGTGGTAGAGGCAAGAGAGAGCACGAGTGCGTGAAGCCGTTGGGTGAGAAGTTGCTCCCATTCGATCTTCGGAAGGTTAACGATGCACGGGCCGGGGGAACACTGTTGACATTGCGAATGGCTAAGTGGGAAGGGAGACAGGAAATAAAGACGAAAGAAAAGAGAGAGAGAGAGGGGGGGGGGGGGGAGGGGGGAAGGGAAAGGGAGAGGGAAAGGGAGAGGGAGAGGGAGAGGGAGAGAGAGGGAGGGAGCGAAGAAAAAAGAAAGTGAGGAGAAGACGATTTCGTACTCAAAAACGGGCTTCAGAAGGATGGGAGATGCTGTACAAGATGCCAGAGAGATGAAAGGATAGAGGCAGTTAGTATATGGTTGGCAAAATAGAAGTTATATTCTAGAAAGAAAATGATGGTCCGGGGGGTTGGGGGTGTATTTTCGGCTCCTCCCTCACTGCGGTCGCTGCGAGAGCGTCTCGATGAGGTTGAGCGGAGAGCAGCGAAAGATGCGTTTGGAAATCAGCCTATGGGTAAATTGAGGTCAAGGACCTACTAGTAGATAGCTGATGTTTGATGGGGCTATAGCATCTCAGGTTGTGAGCAGATTTTAATAAGAATGATATGTTAGATAACTTGATGTGGTAAGTCCATAGATAGATAGACGTGCATTATAACAAGTCAGCTGCAAACTTTTGATATTCAGTATATGACGCACATGCAGTGGCAGCCTACATCCAGCCAGATCGTCTCCTATATACATACATGCATGGATATCATGTGCACACACAACATGCAGGGTCAATCGTCCCACAGATTGACAGCACATCGGGTTTCCGGAAGCTACCTCAGTCGTTATGCTCTCTCACTTCCTCTTGGCGAGCCGTCGGAGCGTGGGACCCCTTCTTGATATCCGACAGACCGTAGAAGGCAATCATACCCATTCCGAGGAAGGCACTCACACACGAAAACACCAGCGCCACAATACCCCGGGCCGTGAATCCAGCGGGCAGCCAGGCGACCTGCTTGTTCTGGCCGGTCAGATCCGTGTAGTCCTCCGTGTTGGCCGCCGCGTTGCCTTCATAGGCGATTCCGGCCGCCTCACACACATCATAGTGTTGCTGGGGAATGGTCACCCGTTCCTGGATCGCCAAGGGCGCCTCGATAAAGAGCATCGCCAGACCCTGCGACAAGTGCCAGTCAATGTGGCAGTGGAAGAACCATACGCCGGGGTTATCGGCCTTGAAGCGAATCACGAAGTATCCCTGGGGCGGCAGGACAAAGGTGTCTCGACGCGGGGGGTAGGCGGGGAAGGCACTGTGGTTGGAAGCGTTGTAGGTGATTGGGTCCCCGTCCGCGTAGTCGTAGAAATGCTCGCCGTAGCCCGGGTAGCGGTCAATCATCTGGAAGGCATGGCCGTGCAGATGGAAGGGGTGGGTGCCCGTATCGCCATTGTTGAGGATGATCTCGACGACCTGGTCCTCATCGAGCACCACGGAGTGGGTATAATCCCCGTAGACCGTGGCATCCGTGGCGAGCGTGCCGGCCGACATGACGGTGTACAAGGTGGGGACCTTGGGCGCAGTGTAGGAGATGTCGTTGAGGAAGGCGTAGTCGGCGCCGTTGTCGAGGACTTGCATGGTGACGGTCAGCTCGAGCGAGACGTCGGGGTCCTCCAGGAGGGGCATCCGGTCGGAGGGGACGAGGTTCATATCATCGTAGGGATCCAGCTCGGTGCAGTCGGACACGGTCATCACGGCCTGGGGGAAGGAGGCACTGGAGTTGTATTCGAGCCAGTTGGTGAGATTCAGCTGGAGGTCGGAGGGAATCGTGTCCAGCAGGGCCGAGTCGGCCACCGTCACGATCGGGTAGTTCTTCTCCGTCGAGTTCTTCATGGTGACGAGGACTGAGTAGCGCTGGGCCGCACTGATGTAGAGGATGTCGGCCTCGGCGGCGTCGGTGTAGATGCCGTCAATCTCGACGATGCGCATGGTGTGGTCCTCGATGTAGAAGTACTGCGCGACAAAGGCACCGATGTTGATCAGACGGAACAAGTACGTCTTGCCCGGCTCGACGGAGATCTTGGTGTTCAGGGTGTCGTTGAAGAGGAAGGCATCGGGAATCGGCTCGGCGCCCGTGGGGTTGTCGACGGTGATGAAGGTCGGGGCGATCTCCTCGGTGAGCTCATGGTACCAGTCCGTCATGGTGATGGTGAGGTCCTCGTCGTACATGTCGGAAAACCAGGAGCTGTTGTCATGCACGATCAAGGCCTGGCGGTAGCCATCGGGGTAGCAGTAGTCGGTGTGGCAGTGGTACCAGTACGTGCCGTTCTGGTTGACGGTGAAGTTATACGTCATGGAGCTGCCCGGAGGCACGGGGCATTGGGTGACCATCGATGGCCCATCCATGTCCGTGGTGTTGGTCTGGTACATGCCGTGGAAGTGAATGGAGGTACTCTTGTCGCCCAGGCCATTGTACATGTTCACCACCAGCTGATCGCCCTTGTCCACCTCGATCACGGGCAGCGGCCATTGACCGTTGATACCGACCACCTCACGCTCGGCCAGGCCATCTGGGTTGGCCGTGACCCAAGTAACATTGAAGTCATAAGTCACGGTCTTGGCCTGGCACTGGGCGAGAAGCACGACGGCTGCGAGCCAGGAAAGCAGATGATGAGGGAAGGCCATCCTGTCGGTTCTTGTTCGGACAGGAAGGGAAAGAAAAAAAAAGAAAACAGCACGAGGGGGACGCCCTGCGTCTGGCTTCTATATACTTTTGGGCCTTGGCAGTTGGCAGGCCCTCCTCGCGTGGGTGGAGCAGCGAGCAGGATCAATCATCCCACTTATCAATCAGTTGGGCCGTCGCCGGCGGTGGTCCATGACTACCTGCATCCACGAATGTGCGTGGTGAGACGAATCAGATAGCCCATCTGATAATCTGATATTGACTAGCGCTGGTGGTTGCTGGAGCGGAAGCGTGCCAACCATGGCCCGGTCAGGCAGATTCTCGGAGTCCCACTCGAACTGCAGTCCCACCCCAGGTTCCTCCCCAGAACGAGTAGCCTTCGCCGACTTGGCAGCCTTGGCTATTTATCTCCGACTTATTTCTGCTTAAAGGCGCCGGTCCAGGAGAATTTGCATCGACAAGCGAGCAGTCCAATACATTTCTCACCGCTGGCAAAATCTTATCATGTCGTCGCTCGCCAGGCCGGGCTTATCTGATGCACGGTGGTGGTGCCAAGAGCGGGTATTACACTAGTATCAGCCCTCGGTAATGGTTACTAGTCCGTACGCTGGCTATTGCCCTACTTCCCTCCGGGTTGGTATCTATCCAACAGATGGATCCTACTCTACCAATTTGACTGCGCAGTTTTATTAGCTAGGGAAACAATACCCTTGCCAGAGTCTGTGGCAAATTACCAAGCCTACCCGCGTTACGCGGTTCGACGAGAAAAAGCTCCATTTTCTACAACTAGTCTCCTACTACACAGCCCTAACCTCCGCTTCTCTCACAGACATGGACGGCCCTGAACCAACCGCTTTCTCCTTCCCACTGCTTTCCAAAATCCCTGGTTGCTCCACTGAATCATAGTCCTCTTCAACCGGCCGGCGAAGAATGGCAGCTATCGCCCGGGCCTTGAACCCCTGGTAGCGCGCAATCATCGGGTCAATGACGGGAATCGCACCCCTCCGCTCCCGATACAACATCGCCGCATAGGCAAGCACCACGCACACCCAGAATAGATTATAGCCGATCACCGACCCGTAGGTTGCCGAGTTGGTCCATCCTAGTAGGGCATTGAAAATACCCCAACCGCCGCCGCCGCCCAGCTCGGGATTGCAGCAATTAACGTGCCACACGCTCTGCCGGATATCATAAGATCCTGGACCCGAGCCCGTTTCGGATGCATCCCCACCGATGATCTTGTTCCAGGCGTTGTCCTGGAAGTACCACACCCCACGGGAGAACAACCCCGCGGCCACCAGGTACAGGAAGCAGGTCGAGACGATCAAGAAGAACTGCATGGTGGTTTCACTGCCTCCTCTACAGAGTGACGACTCATTAGCTTGGACCATCTATCAATCCAGTGCGGCCAGAATCACGTACCGATAGATCAGGTATCCAACCAGACACCCCGCAATGAGACCACAGACAACCGCCAGCGGGAACGATGTGGCCGGCAGGCCCAGCCCGACACCTCCGACATAAACCACGGCCTCCAGTCCTTCCCGTAGAACTGTGATGAAGGGCAGTATAAACATAACATATTTCTCGAACCACATCTTAACCCGGCCTTTGCGAGAGCGATTGAACCGGTCGTGCTGCTGGAGAGCTTTGGTAAGCTTCACCCGCCATTTTTCCTGCAGCTTGGACACCCGCAGCAAAGCCGCACCCATGACCGCAATGATGAGGGATGCTAAGATGCCCAGAACTCCTTCCCAGATATCTTCGGTGTTGGAGAACGTGTCCGTGCCCAGGCTATAAAAGGCGCCGATCATGCCGGCACCGACACAGAGGCAGATGAACAGCCCGAGTGCACATCCTAGCCACACCTAATGTGAAGCAGACATGATCAGCAATGGGTTTGGGTGTCAAGATGGGATTATCACCGGCCACGCGTACCTGTCGTTTGAGTCGTTTGTACGTTTCGCCTTCCTCACTGTTCCCGAGCGTCTGCTTCAAGAATGCCAACAAGACAGACACAACGACACTTGTCTCCAGACATTCTCGGAAGCAAATGAAAAAGACTGGAAAGGAATCAGTAACTTCCAGACTGCATTATATCATGATATGAGATCGTGGTGATCCTACCAGTGACGGCAAAAACCGGATTGTTGCCCATGTTGACAGCAGATGCAGCAAGGGAAACCACGGCGTGGACTGAGGACAGGAATCCGGTGCACACGCGACAATTTTTTATCAGATCATCTTTCAGGATACGAGACCCGCTGATTGATAAGTAGTCGCTCCTACCTGGCCTTTCCTTACTTACCCCTCCCGAACAATCTTACAGGACGGGTTTACTGTATCGCGTACGGACCTTGCTTCGATCGCCACGGGTATAACGGAATGTACCTATTACTATCAGGTATCCAGATACCCCCTATTGATGGGGGCAAAAGCTTCAGCGTGACCGTGTTTGTCACCCCACTCACCGAGCCGATTGGTTTGGATATCCGTCCCGCTTATCAGAACCAAAAAGGAAAGTGACTTCAGCCACTCGTTGACCACCCAAGACACACGTGCCGGTTGAGAAGAAAGTGTCCACTGTCTAGAGCCCAGACACTGCCACTATCTAATGGTTGGACGGTGGGGGGGAGGGGGGCTTGAGCGATTGATAACCCTTGACACGCTACTGGGAAAGTCAGGGTCCTCTCCGGTGAGCCAACCCATGGTGAGACATCTGATAAATTGCCTCCTTATCGATAGGCCAGCATTGCGTACCATACGCCTTTCAGGGTACCCCTTTCGGCATAGTGACCAGTAGGTTGCTCTCACTAGTCTAGGATTGAGTCGTATTCGGCTCTGGGTTTGTGTTCCAGTGCCGAGGGTGACCATGAAGGCAACGCGTATCGACTAAAAGACGGCTCGGATGCAGCTCCCTACTTCTCTGCCCGCCTCCGAATATCCGAGGCTGTCCTGGAGGAGGCTTCCTTGCTGATCCTCACGGGTATCGCTGATTTTGTGCACTGCGGAATGATTTAAGGGTCACCTATCCTCACCATTGAGCATAGATGGCTGCCCTGATATAACTGGGTTCATAGCTTAGGATCTATCAGCAGCAAGGGCCAACGATGAACCAGAGTCAAAGAGTCAAGCTTTTCACCGGACGGAACAAGTGGATCTCGGGTGGCGGGTCTCCGAACACCCTGAGTCCGAGTGAAAATGGTCCGTATAGCCAGTCTTTCAGGGCCAGTTGGTACGTGGCTGTGAATATCCATGGGACCACCCACCTGCATCGGACCACTTGGCTGGCTCTGACAAAGGACCATGTGGTGCAGAAAATTCTTTGTCCATTGTTACAGCGATGGGCGTCTCCAGAGTTACCATACCTGGCGTACTGGCCCGAATCAATGCTCCGAATGAGACGACAAGCATGGGACGTGCAGCAGGCCGACTAATATGCCTCCAAAGGTCAGTTGTCTGGCTGGCCACTGCACCTACTCCATGCCTGCATACAGCTGCGAAAGACACGACATAGCCTCCCCTGGCCCGCCTCGGCAAGGACATACATCTCGATCAGGAAGTGGAGCGACACCAAACAGCTCATATCTCCGAACGTATGGGTGGATGGCCTCCTACACGATGAGTATGCTCAACAGCTGTGCATACATATAGACTAGCGAAAGGGCATCTGGGAAGATGGTGAGACAAGGTAGCTACTAGATAAGGAATAACAAAAAAGAGATAGAGTCCATCCAAATGACAGTTTAGATTGGAAGGATAAAATGAAACAGCAAAAAGTCAAATCAAGCACAAACGCCAATTGATGGCGCTGCTGGGAATCGAACCCAGGTCGAAACGGCGCTGCGGAAAACCACAACGTTTCATGATGACCACTACACTACAGCACCTTGATTTGTTGGAGGGCCCGATTCAAATTTGCTCTAGATACCCAATGCTGGGAGCCCGGAAGCAACACATTAACAAGAAGTACAATCCTCAATCTGCTATGGTCATCTCCTGCAGATTTAGCATCATGGACAGAACAAAAAGACCCCCTTCGTTGTTAAGCACTCATCAGGCTCAGGCTGGTTCTGAACGGCATTGTTTAAACCAGCCAATGACGGGCCGCGGGACGCGCTGCTATCGATAAGCGTCGCGTCGGCCTTTATCATTCTGCCATCTCCATCCCCATCTCCTTCTCCATCTCCTCCGCATCCTATTCCATCCACCAGTGCCATTCAATCGCGGCCGCGATGACGGTATCAGATGCCTCCGGGGCAACCATCCCTCTCTATCGTTCTGTAAAACCTGTCCCGTTCGAGCTGGCCCAACATGCAGCCATCTTCTTCGAAGAGAGACTCTGTCTGCCCCTCCGCATCGCCGCTCCTTTTGTCCACATCTGACCACCCCCTCCAGATACCCAAGCCCTCGAATTCCTACTAAACATTCTCACCTCTGGCACGGTTGCCTCCTCCCCAGCGTTTACTCCACCCGTTCAACAGCTCGCCGTGGCAGCAACCCTCCTCGTGCACCCTTCCACCACGACCCGCGCAAAAACCACCGAAGAGGAAGAAGCGCCTCAGGCCGCTTTACGCCTTCTTCGATTGACCAACACCCTTGTCGGACCCATATCTTCCAAACTCGGTGTCGCCTTTACCTTCAACCACTTCGAGACTTCCCGCCATACAAGACGACGTCCCGCAGAAGAGGTCCCCGCCCCGGTGGGCTTGGCCCTGGACGATACAAAGCCTTTGAACCTAGACCTCAGTCAGTCACAGTCCATCTGGTCTAGTGCAGAAGACTTTTGGCATGCAGTTGGCTGGGCGTTCAATTGTTCAGTCCTGCATCGCAATCGTTGGGCTCGATGGCAGGTCTGGCTTGAACTCATGTGTGATGTTTTGGAGAGTGATTGGAACGAACGATTACGCCAACAGAAGGAAGCCAAACCCAGCGACACTACCGCCCCCGCGTCAACGCCCATGGCATCCCCAACGAAGGCAAGAAGCAAGAAAAACCACAAAGGCAAAGGTCAAGACGAGGACCCCTCCCGCCAAATCCTCAAAGACAGCTTGATCTTCCGCTACATCAGCGGGGCCAGCGCCACGTACGGTCGAAACCGGCGCATTGTCCGGTCCATCTTCGCAGATGGCGGTTCAACTTCCCGGAACGAATTCCGCGAAGTCTTCCACAACGAACTCAAACATGCAAAGACCGACAGCTCCAACAGCAAAAAGCGCAGCGCGCAGGTCAACATCGACGAAGACGAGTTCGGCGACTACCTAACAGACGATGATGAGATTGAAGAGGGAAACGAGGGCATTGAGGAAGAGGACAGCTACGCGATCGAACACACCGACTTAGACCTCAGCACCACAGGCTCCTTAAAGCGTCGCCAACCCAAACGGCCACGACGGGCCCCTCGCGCCAAACCCAAAGGCAAACCATTAGCCCTAGGCCCCGGTATCAACACGCCCCCGGGCCCATACGGTGGCTCTGCCCCAAGCAATCGCATCATCGTGCCCATCGAAGAAGTCCCCACCAAACACATCCCCTACATCCACGGCGACGTCGGCTTCTTCGGGGGCATGCGTTCCCTCGCTCTCCGCCAACGTCTCCTGTATCTTCTCTCCACTGTCTCCGAATCCCTCCCCGACGACTTCACCTCCCTCGAAGACCTCTACCACCTCTTCGCCGAAAACATCCGTCACCTCCCCCTCCCCGTCTTCCAAGCCTTCATCAGCCCCTCCACCCTCCCCTACTTCTCCCCCGCCGCCAAAACCACCCTCTGCGAATTCCTCCTCTTCCGGATGCGCGAGACCGCCGCCCCCGACACAGACGAGGAGTATCTCAACCAAGACAAATTGGAACGATGCTTCCTGCCCTACATGGCCAGCACGACCAGTCTGGCCGACAACGCCAAGATCTCCATCACTCTCGAGTCACTGATCATTCTGCTCGCTGATAGCAATATGCTGCGTGTCACGCCAGAATTACGCGACGCCGTCGCGCGGGGAACTCAGCGACGTGTTCTCCGAGCACGCGGAGACGCGCGAAAGAGTGGCCAGGAGGCGCAACAGTGGGCAGATGATCTCGAGATGACGTGGTTGCTTGAGAGCGGGGAGCGCTTGGTGCTTCTTGTGCACGGGATTCTCCCTAAAACGGAGGTCAAGTCTGAGTAACATGTTACTATCTGTTGATGATTGATTGATTGATTGATTGATTACTTCTACATGCGTGCGGGATAATGGGAGCGGGTAAAAGCGTGCTTTTGATTTATTCGTCGAGTCATTGATTGATTGACCTATTCCTGTCTGACACTTATTGTTTGACCAATCAAGAGAACGTCCTTGAAAAACTACTACTAATGCATAGATACCCTTACTGCAAACCATGAAAATTGTAAAATGTCTATCAAAATTTGTGACCCAAATCACGGTGCAGCGAAAATAAATAACTATTTACATGATGCGATTTTTGTAAACTAAAACCCAGAAATCATCCCTCCGCCCAAAAGCAAACCTAGTGGTAACTAACCAAGACCGCGTAGGGTAAAAGGGTATATGAAACTTCGCAGCTGCGGAGGTGGATATCAATGAGGTGAGATGATGTGGATACTGGATAGATGTAAACTTCAGTTGTTTACGATTGTGGGCGCGGGCCAATGATCTGTCGGCGTGCTCCTCCAACGCCTCTGGCGGCGGCCTCTTGGGTTTGTCTTTGGTCCTCTTCCCACTCCCGCTGGCGCTCTCGTTCACGTTCCATCTCCCGCTCGAGGAGGGACTTGGAGGCCCAGCCGCCGGCTTTGGTCTTCTCCTGGGCTGCTGCGCGACGGCTGTTCTCGGCATCGACCTCCGCTGTTGTTGTGTAGTCCTGTGGACGGTGGGTGGCGGGCTTGGGTGCGGTAGGTGGGCGATTCGAGGCGAGGAAGCGGTCGACACGGCTGTCTTGCGCTTGGGCCTGAGCGGCGTAGGCGACTGGGTCAGGGAGGGGACGGGGCGGCATGGCTGGCTTCGCCTCGGTTGGCTCTGGGAGGGGCCGTGGGGGCATGGCCGGAGGGCTGTTCGGCTCCTCGGCCAGTCCCTCATCGCGGTGGTTCTGCCATTCGGTGCGAAGCATGCGGCGTTCCTGCTCCAGCGAAGACAGATCATAGCTTGGCTTGGGTGGCACAGGGACGGGGCGGGGGCTTCGAGGAGACTGGGGCGACCCCGGGCCCTTGTCCTGGCGTTCGCGCTCATATTGGCGCTCTCTCTCCTTCGCGCGCTCCAACTCGCGTTCAAGTTCTCGGATCCGTTGCCTTTCACGAGTCTCGCTGGATACCGGTTGGGCAGGACTTGGCAGACTGGCTTGATATTGACTGAGGAACTGTCCGTTGAGGCGACTGTCGTGCGCCTCTCGCCGCTGCAACCGTTCACGCTCCAGCCTATCTTCAGTTTCTTTCTCTTCTCGCACACGTTGCTGTTCCTCTTCTTCCCATTTGCGCTGTTGTGCCTCCCAACGCTTTCTCTCATCCTCAACATTGCGTCGTTCCTTTTCCCTCTGACGAGCACTTTCCTCCTCCCATCGGCGTTCCTCCTCAATTCGAGCACGCTCCTCGTCCGCCTCACGCTCTTGTTGGCGGCGACGCTCAGCTTCTTGCTGCTCCAAAAGCTGTCGTTCTTGTTCCTCCTGTCTCCGCTTTTCCTTCTCCGCCAGACTAGGCACCCGGGGGGCAGCAGAGGTAATCTGCCGACGGGCCCCAAAGGCGACACCTTGGTTGCCCTGATTGGCGCCACCCATGTAGCCGTACTGGTGAATGTTCCAGGCCGGAGCCGTGACAACCTCATCTGACTTTTTGCTCCAACTGCTGACGGGCTTCGGAGACCTTGCCGGACTCGAGTGTCCGGAAACACTCGACTTGGTGGGCGTGTATGCGCCTTGGCTGGAACCGGTAGCATTCGGGCTCAAATTCGCTGCCTTGCTCTGGGGGCCCAGTGCGCGAGGGAACTTGCTAGGCTGGAGGGCATTGGCACGTCTGCTGAAAGACGTAAGACACTGCAGGACCTGTGCGGGATCCTTGGCTTCGTAGAGATCGACAGTGAGGAAGACATCATGCGGAGGAAGGCTGATGGGCTGAATTTGACACGCGCGAAGGAAGTGAGAGATATTCTCCATCTGCACAAAGGGCATCGAGGACTGCTTGTACTTGACGCCGGGGGAGACTGCCAGATTCACAAGCCTGCGATGTCATTAGTTGCTGTCTACGTTCTCAGAACAACAAGGTTGTTGTCACTCACTTGCAAAGCGCAACGCCATCTCGTAAGGCATCAAGAAGATCTCCTGCTGGGAGCTTTTCGTGAAGCACTTCTTCGATCCAGGTACGGACTTCCGCTGCTGCCTGCGGGGTATAGCGGGACAGGCGCAAATTGCGCAGGTCCTTGTCGAGCGAGGTAACGGAGGCCATTTTCAAGTTCGAGCCAACTCGATCAAGTAGTCAGGGACATGCAGACCGATTCGAGAAGCACCGTTGGGCAGCTAGCGAAGAAAATAGGGGGGGTAGCTGTTTATAGTGGCCGTCGGTGGGACAAACGCCGGTACGTCACAGGGGTTCAGGAGGGGGCTGAGGGGAGGGCGGATGGACCGGAAGATCGAAAGGGTCTGGATGGGAGGCAGAAGAAAGGCGTGAGGCCGACGAGATGAGCAAGTGTGATGGATCCAGAAGATCAACCGAAGAAGGCCAGGGAAAAACACTCAGCAGCAACCGAGAGGGACAAGACTCTCACTCTGGAATGCGCAATGGAATTTACCAGAAGGATACGCGCCGTGACGGCCCAATCTTACCGATGACGTCCTTCCGCCGCGGCTGCCGGTGGCTGCCTGCCTTTTCGGGCTGCAGTCGAGTCCGGCCAGTGACCGGCGCCGTTTACCAATCCCTCGGCGTCCCTCAGCCACCTCCACCATCGCCCTTCGCACTGCCCCAATCTCGATCGCACCCCCCTCTCCGTCGCCTGAATCGTCCCGGCGCCCCAATGAGTCCAGTGAACAGTCTCTGGTTCAAGTGGAAGAGCCTTCGCCTACCCTGGCGAAGATCCTTCCTCGTCGGTACGTTGCGATCAACCTGACCTGTCCGGTGTATAGATACCTTCTCACCAACACTGCCCCAATACAGGCTCCGATCTCTCCGGAAACACCTTCTGGGAATTCCGAGACAAGCTCAATGCTGGGCGCTTCCGCCGCATCGTCAAAACCGACCCCAAAACCCACTACAGCGATGTCCAAGTGAGCCGTGAGTTCTATGCCACCCCGACCAAACCGCACCATCAACTAACATCCCACCGCCGCAACGTCAGCCCAATGGCACCAATGGCTTCGCTACGTGCGCGCAGACCCCCCTTCCCTCGAAGAACAGCAACAAGACGTCATCCGCCAGATCCAGATCAAGGAGCTCGCCCGACTAGCCGATGAACGCTGGGCCAGCAAACCGTCTTACCTCGACATGCCCAAATCCCAGCAACAGCAACAGCAGCAACCGCTCCCCGCGACGAACACGAGTGACGCGACTGTGAACCAAGCAAGGAGTTCGCCGAAGGCTCCGGATGCCAAACAAGATCCGTGGGCGAAGGCCGCGGCAGGTAATCCCGGTGATAACTGGCAGCCTGATTCGTGGAGTCCGAATAGTTCGAAGAGATGAGTAAGGGATCTGGGGGGAGCTTGATACGAGGGAGGCTTCGATACTTGCCTCTGGTTGAGCTTCTTGTTGAAAAATATTATTAGATCTGTCACGCCTGAAGGCATCTGGGTCGCCTTACCGGGCTTGCCATCCGTTCCCGATTTGCGGAACGCGCCCCTTGGAACAGCGAGTGGTTGGCGGGCGTTGTCGGACTGCTGCTGGCTTGGGTTGATTGGGGAACCCTGGTTTGGTATTGATCAGTGAGGGGATGTCTATTTGGTCTTCTCTCGGGTCGAGAAACCATCTGTATATTATGAATCGTTGTATCATGAACCGTGTATATTATTTCCATCCTACCACTCACTACACTAGAAACTTGTCTCTGGATCAAATCAAGATGATGTGGTATATTATAGCCGCTGAACGCGCAACTTCGGTATCCACCTAGTATTCGCATTTATATATCGCTTCCACTCCATCCCAGGTTCCCATGTAGGCAGTATTAGTAGTGACACATATATTATGAGTATCCAACCCGGAGAGGGCACCGAATGTCCGCCAATCTAACGCTTTTTGAGGATCCAACTCCCAAAGCCCTTTCCTTTCCTTCCCACCGCGAATAAAAGAAAGAATGATTTGAACACCAAACAACCGCTGCCTTGTATCGGGGGTTAATAATAATAGAGGAAATAATTTAAGAAAAAACAGAGAGAGTATAAAACAAGTACTCGAATGGTATAACGCGGGCAGCTAGCCCTAACCGGCTAGCTGTAGAGACACATACACAACAGTAATGGAAACAAGTAACACGACTGCAAAGTGCACGATGAATAAGTGGATGAATATTAGTATTACATGGATTAGCAGAGGATGGCCTCGAGAGCCTCAACGTCGCCTCCGGCCTTTCGGATGGCCTGCAAGGCGACTTCTGAGATTTTGCGCCGTCTATCGCGGGCTTCTTGCTCGCGTCGTGCCTTCGTCTTGGAGCTGCCACTGGGGGCAACGCCAGTGAGGATCTTCTGGTGATCGCTTGGGGTGAAGTTGACGAAGGACACGGTGACGGACTTATTGCCTCCCTTAGGGCTTGTTGTGTGGAGTCCCTTGACGGGTTTAGGCGCGTTCATGGAGTTAGAGGATAGCTTTCGGTTGAGATTCTGGCGGTGGATCGTCCTTCTGCTTCCATTGTGCATCATGGTTCCATTCTTGGGAGAGGCACCCGAGCCCGGAGACAGTGACGGGGACCGCGAGTGAGTGGGAGGCATTTGCGGGGTGACAAAAGAGGACGAATCCACTGGTGCTGCGGTGTGGTGGGTGTAGGGACGGCTCTCGTGGCCGTTAGGGGCGGAGGGCATGCCAGCCGACGGGAATGACGAGTGTGTGTTAGATAGGTCGAATGATGAGGGGTCGAGTTGAATCATCAGTCCCCCTTGCAGCATGTCATTCTGGTTGGCGGAGTTCTGAATCGGCCGTTGTGCAGCTGGGGATGCTACCATTTGCTGATATGACGGTTGGCGCTGGGGAACTCGAGACGTCATTGGTGACCACCATGCTTGGGCATCGTGCCCGTTCAGGTCAGGAGTGCTGTACGGAATCCCAGAGGAGCCAAGAGAGTCGGAATGCCACGAAGACATGGACTGAGGGCCCGAGGAATGTGGGGAGGAGAAGATCTCGTCGGCCGAAGGGGGGCTTGAGGTGGGCAATCCAGAGCTGCTGGACTGGCTTAAATATCTCGGAGGCTGTCCCGCCAGTGTAGCTGTCGAAGGCGAGGGCATAGAGATGGCAGGCGATGGATTGAACATGCCAGTGTCATAATGGGGAGGCATCTCGGAGGAAGGCTTCGATAGCGCTTCGGCGCGGTTCAGGTGTGCGGTGTCTGCAGCCATGTTCTCTTGCTGCACGAGGATATCTGAGGGAGGTGGGGATAGAGGCAAGCGTTCATCGGAATTGCGGAAACTGAAGTTGTTGAACCGCTGAGCCCAAGCTTCGGGGTAGGCCATTCTGGTCCGTTGGATCTGTGTTGAGCGGGGAATGCCGGGGGAGAAGCTCGGTTTGTGCAGCGGACCACGACGGTCATTAGGCTCACGGTGACGGCGGATGGCCTTGGGCGTGATGACAGCAGCTTTAGTCTTGCGACTGGGAGTTGCTGGGGGTGTGGTCGGGGATGGGCGGGATTCTGGGGCACACGCAGCAGTGGGCGGGGCCTCGAAATTGACAGCTAGATCGGAGACGGCTGACGGATGAACAGTATCCTGTAGAGAGAAATGGGCGTGACCCGTAGATGAATCTGGGTCCTGGGACAGACACCAAAAGTCCTTAGTCCAAGCGTGGACGGCCTGATGGGGTTGCGTCGAGGTGGAGATGGCCGGAGAGTGCTCGCCACAGTCGCTGGACAACGACTCGAGCTGAAATATTTGGTCAAGATCGCCAGGGAACGAGACATCTTTGTTGCCATCCACGCTGGAGTTGTCCATATTGACGTACTGATTAAATAAATCCAGGTCATTCAAGGAATGGTCGAACTGGTGGGCGAACATGGTGCCGGTGGTTGAAGGCCTTCCGTTTGCGGCGAGGACCAGAGGAGCTGTCAGGCTGTCACAGGTCGACCCAGCGAAACACCTTGGGCTGATCAGATATGACTGGCGACGCAGCCTGCGGCAGTCCTAAAGCTTGACGCAGAGTAAAGCTTGACGCAAGGCAAGGGCCGGGCGAACCTAGCCGGCGATCCGTTCAAGTGCCGGTGGTGGTGACGATGGCACGAAGTGATGATGATGGAATGTCCCAGCGGCGAGGTGTTGGGATAGTTTGACGAGTTGACAATCGAAGAAAACAGTGCAGAAAATGCAAAGTAGACAAAGCAAACAAACAACAGACTGAGGGCTCCTATTTGAATTGCTACGACGGGCCCCAGCCTCTGGATTCCCCTCTGGATTCTGCATACATTCCAAGAGCTCTCAAGAAGGGCAAGATGGGCAGGGAATGTGCCATCAAGGAATACGCAGCTCCTCGATATGGCCCACCCCATCCCCATTGCCTGAGCAGAGCAGCCCATGCCTTTCGCACACGCTGCTGGTGCCAATCAGAGCGCCTGGAAACCTGGTGGCTGATTCGTGCCATCCACCACCAGACACTCGCCGTCCAGTGGGCTCGGAGCACAGATGGCCACCCGCGGGAATGCAACCTTTACTATGCCAGAAACAGTCGGCATAGGTGTCACCAGGGCAGGCATGGACGGGTCCTAGAGGGACCGGCGAATGCTTCACCAATGACACCGACCTGTTCATTGTTTGATAATCAATGCCGGGACTGGATCGAACTATGAGTGTCACAATGGAGCTCGACCGGCTTCGACGGCTCGACGCGTCAAGGGACCCTGTGGAGCGTGGTCCAGCTGCTGACTGACACCTGGAGTGTAAGCGTCATTGCGTTGCTTTCCCCATCCCCAGTCGAATACGTAGGATAGCAGCCGCAATGATTTGCACTACTTTTCCCCCGACCGATCCTCGCTCCACGCTCCTCCCGCCTGGTGGAGCTAATGATCCTCGGGTACTAGAGGCGCTACCGTTGGGGAGCTGGCCGGCCTAGACATTGGAATGCTGGGTCTGGGAAGAATGCATACCCCCCGTAACAATGCATGGAAAGCAAAGTTTGGCATCCCGAGCCACACCCTCCTGTTTGCTTTTCATATTCGAGGTTAGCCTGGAAAACTTTTTGGCAATAGATTTGCAGGTCAACACTTTGCCTGCCCCGATTTTCTATAATTATCCTCCTTGACGCGGCAAGCCCTAGCGGAAGAGGGGCATGTAGCTAATCGCATGCAGCTTTCTCCTTGACACTGAGTAATCAGGCAGTGTGCTGAGCTCACTACTCCGTATGCCGTGCCCATTGACATTTGTCCATGTTGAAGAATAAGCGGAACAGATCTTTGATTCGTCTCGCGAGGACTCGAACTCTAAGTGCGATGTTTCATCGCCAGTTCTTTGTTCCTTGTCTTAGAATAACCAGTCTGATTCGTTAACCTGACGAGAGTTCATAAAGCACGAGTGTTGTCACAGAAGCGGCGCCATCTCATTTCCCTGCCGAGAGGCCCTTTCTTTGTTCGAATTCCTCAGAACATGGTTGAGCGGTGGTTCAGGATCTACTTCCGACGAACCACAAGCATTCGCTCAAGGCCACGCAAATCCCAGAGACAGGAATGAAAAGTGGTGTTTCGAAGATGTCGAGTCAGAGGTCCGCCGAAACCGTCGCTCGGGCAGGAACAGTGAATCGAGCAAGCCACTCGGAAGAATTCTTTCAGCATGGGGCATGCCAAAGCCCAAACATAGATACCCGAACCTGGTTAATGTAGGATGAATAAGATTGGATCTCTAGAATATCATAAGTCAGGCCCGACACGAAGGAACGGCCTAGATGGTTAGCCCTGGAGCGAATGCGAAGTCTTGCTGGGCATTGCCCTTTTAGGTAATAACTATGGCGTTGTCCTGAGACTGGATAGAACTGGCTCTTTCAAGAGCCAAGCAGCCCAGATTGATGTGGAGACATGGCCAAGCGTAGATGATGGAGCGTCTCCATCTAGCAATGTCGAAATGCTACGTCTCACAGGGCGGAGAGCCCAGGGACTCCGGGGCGGAATTACTCAAAAGTCCGAGCCGAGGAAAGGTGATGTTGATTGGATCGAGTAGCGAGACTCAGCCGCAGACGCTAGACCACATTAGAACGCCCGAGGTCGGGCCGATGGGTTCGCCGGAAGGGGAGGCAATAAAGGCCCAGGTCATGTGGTGATGACGGAAATCTGACTATTGCCGCGAGGTTCGCCTTGTTCCCATCCCTTTCTCTCCCCAGCACTGGTTACCGTGCTATTTCTCATCCATTCTAGTCACTTCTCGACAAACTCCCGTACAACCGTCGGGGTTTATCATTCCTGGACATCCTTTGAGGAACACTCCATTGACGGATTCTGTTCCTTACCCCTCGCCACCCCCGCTGCAACACCATTTCTCACGCTCCCCACGAAAAGTGGGCATGACCCTATAGCGCCAGGACCCCTCTTCGCGGATCAAGCACTCAGCCGGCTTCCGAACAGAGCCGACCTCATCGTCATCGTTGACACGAGTTGACGGCTACCTGAATACCCAACGCGTGGTGTTTGGCTAGCATCGAACATTGCACTTCCTCTTCTCACGCACAACCCATCAGTCTATATGTATCACGTCAAACAGTTCATCGGAATCGAACGTGTTTTTAAAGGGAAGAAGGAACTCAACCCGTGTTTCTCGGCCAGTATCCAGAACAACCAACAGTGCATGCGCTACAACCCGAAGAATTCCCCCAATTTGAAGTGAACAGACAATCTTGAAAATGTTTTGCGTTATTTACCTCAAGGGCCTTGTCGGCTCCCACTAGGTGAATCATCGTTCACGCCTGTGCTTCACCATGGACCCCTCTAAACCATTTGGAGGCCTTCGAAGCCATTTACTGAATTTCAAAACACTCCTCATTCATCCCAATCAAAGCAATTGACTTGCCAAGTCTGCTTCGCTTTTTCTTGACCACGGTTCTATATTTAGCAAACATTGCTCAGCTTCGGCAAAAGGACGTCTGTGTGGTCAAAATGAGCCCTCAAAACATGAACAAGAAGTCATGGGAGTCTCTTTCTTCGACATTCTCTCAGCTTGAAGTATCGATCTCTCATGACAGTTGCTATGCCTCGGATGAGGTGTCTGTCACATCGACCAGCCAAGCTGGTGCGTCGACCTTGGCGCCTACAAGTGGATCGTCTGTGGGATCCTTTTTGAAGCCCATCTTGAAAAGACCGTACTCCGAAATTGAAGAGTCAGAGACAGAATCCGAGTCGGGCTATGCATCGGAAGCCTCTGATTCCGACTATGACGCGATCTTCGAAGACAGTGATGACGACGACGATGATATATACTATGTCTCTGGGTGGGACAGAGCATCCATAATGTCTGAATCATGCGATGAAGATGATGCGGAATCCTTTGACGGATCTTTCATTTCCTTCGGGCCTGTGGTTCGATTTGACACAAACATACGCTATATCGATGCGCCAGTCCTGGACGACGAAGGCTCTGATGCCGAGCTGACATGTCATGAGCTGATGGAACGTGCGCGAGCGTCTGGGACGCTCCGATTCCAGGAGACATGCGACCATGTCGAAGACGTTGATGACAGTATGCCCGAGTCAATGAGACAGCTTCCTGAAGAGCACCCCAGTGATGTCGTTGACCTGGACAAGAGACTATTTGTTGCCTACATGAATGGCATGCACGGGATTCCTGATCGCAAATACCGATCTCGTCTCCACAATCAGGCCAACGACTTCAGTATGGGTCGCCTGGACTCGCCATACCTGGACCTGGACAGTGCCAGCGCCAGTGGGGCCTACTTTGACAACGTGCTGAATCACGTCATTGGGCTCTTCCGCAACATTGTTGCTAAAGAGGATTTTGGCGAACTTGCCAGCCTTATCCACGAAGAAGGCGCCTCAGGACACCCTCTAGGTTCCAGCAGAAGTCAGGAGCTGCTGGCCAAGATTGAGCACATTCTTGCAGAGAGACTAGCGTGTGACGCCAATATTGGGCCGGACGAGCTGAGCTTTTTTGCCAGCGGCGTCGCGTATGCTTTGGAGAACTGGAGAGACTTCCTGGTCCGGTAGATAGGTGATCGTACAGCATTCTGCTGTGAAGGGAAACGGACTGGAGCCGAGTTCGGCCCAGCAAAAATTGATTTGCTTGACATGATGCGTGAGATGCCAGCTGTTTTACAAAAGCTCATGAGCGGGGTTCAAATTCCTGATGATATTGTCTATAGCATGACAAAATAAAAGTCTTTCTAAGTACCTACAGCGGTCGTTATATTGCCTTATTTGGCAGTTACAACGACCGGGCCATGAAGCGTACCTGTCTCATTATCGAACAGAAAATGAAACAGACCAACCATAATGTGCAGTACTGGCAGCCGTGCCGTGCCGTCCCTGTCGAACTCGAAACAATCCCCATCTGTCAAGCAAGGCATACAGTGACTAGCCCGTGCAGCTGTTACACAGAATGTATCCACCTGACATGAAACGAGGCTTGGGGACGAGGACCGGGCACCGGGGCGATGTCTAGTACCCCGACTCCTGCCGTGAAACGGTGAAACGGATGGACCATTGGGGCCAACTAACTAACCTAGTGCACCCTATGAACTGGAGACAACCATTTACCTCCGCGTATACACCTACCTGCGTGTCAGCATGATCACACTGACTGACTTGCATACAGACTAGCCCTCAACCCATTTAAAAAAAAAAAAAAAAAAAAACCAAAGAAAAACAAAACAAAAAGAAGGAAGAAAAGAACCGAATCAGCCGGGGCTGATGTCAGATATCCCCGTACGCAGCACCGAATCAAAATGCCCGAACTACTTGACTTTAATCTACTTGAATTTGCTTACTGTAATCAATTCAGCTTAGCCACTCGGACCCGATCGTCCATCATCTCCTTGCGTTGCTTCAGCTTACGTCGGAAGTCGCCTACGCGGGCTGAAAGGGTCACTAATTGACTACTTACAGAGTACTAACTACATCTTGGTTAGTTACCGAAATCAAACCACTCATATCATATGATGGGGGTTGGGGATGATGTCAGGGTTAATTTATCGTGCAGGATTAGGTTCGTCCTTGTTATTATGTATTACTAATGTTGGTAGCTAGACTTACTATGTATGAAGTCAGGTTGATTTGTGGTTAGTGGATCGGTGATATTAGATGAATTAATTGATTTGTATACTTATCTGGTAATCTGCCCTGGGGCCGACTTTGTACCTTCAACTTCGGGTTATGTTGGATGTCTGTAGTATCTATGCAAGTATTTGAATTCCGGCTACAGGGGTATCGACATGGTCTGCATGCATGCATGCATGTACTCGCATGGTATCTATTCTCCGATGGGATCTGGACGTGTTGGTATCTGTCTCTCTGGTTGTTGGTCGGACTGGGCGGTTGTACACCCCCCCCCCCCCCCC